AAAAAATGGTGGTTTGGGGAAAGTTTAAGGGGGAAAAAAAAAAAAAAAAAAAAAAAAAAAAAAAACAGATATAGATAAATAGAGGTAGAGATAGAGGAAGAGATAGAGGAAGAGATAGAGGAAGAGATAGAGGAAGAGATAGAGGAAGAGATATAGGAAGAGATAGAGGAAGAGATAGAGGAAGAGATAGAGGAAGAGATAGAGGAAGAGATAGTAACCAAAAATGTTATGTCCTCGTGTGTATTCACCAACGATCAACATGCAAATACATGACTTGTGCAAGCATTTACCGTATGAGTATATAAGCTCACACAGGCCAATAGAGCTACTTCCCTAAGACAAAGAGAGGAAGAGGGAAGAGGGAACGAAAAACATCAATCCAAAAGTCTCGTCACATATGTACAAGTATGTATGTTTGTTCTACCACTGACCTAGTAACACAGCCCGCTGCGATTTTTTTCTCAGACGCTTCTCCAATCTTTTCCCTTTTTTTGCATGTGGGCCCCTCTCCCCACTTTATGAAACCGAATGCGGATGTTAAAACAACACATAAATTGCCAAATCCAGTGGAAGCGGCTAATTTGGAAAATAAAAGACACAAATGGAAATCGAATAGGTGTCAATTATGCAAACGTGTCGTCAACATGCAAAATTGTTAAAGGTGAAGTGGAAGGAACTGCAGGGTCAGACGACGAGCAGGATGGTCAACATGAATTCAAAGTAGAAGATTCAAGTGGTGGAAGAGGAACATTATCCATAGTCAGACACAATAACAACAATAAGAACTTTCATAGCAAGTTCAAAAGGAACATGTTGACAAAACTGCCATATTTGTCAAAAGATGTTTCTCTTGAAAAATGTGAAATTATAAGCAAGGAAGTAGATCCTGTTAAAAAGAAAATAGAACTACTCATACGAAAGAACATGTTAGGGAATCTAAACGAAACGGTGTTTCAAATTCTGTCAGTTATAAATGAACATCCGAGAAATAAAAATGTGTACATAAATAAAAACCTTTTAATTTCTTTTCATAGTTTGCTAATAAAAAAGAAATATTATCTTAACATTTTCAAGAACAACATATGCGACAATTTTTACATGAACATATTTGATTACATCCACCACAATATCAACTTGCATCTAAGACACTACAACTTGAAAAATGTGAGTGAGTTCCTCCCAGATATTTCAAAATATATGCACAAAATTGATCCAAGTAAAAACACGAAAGAATTAGTGACTAATATTTTTTATTTCCATTTTTTTGTCTATTTTAATAAATTTTACTACTATCGAAAAAGGAGAAATGACATTCGGACAGGTGACCATTACAGCAATGAATGCAGATCAAATTATTACATCTCTAAGGATGAGGAGGTGGAATATGGACACAGAAAAAAAGATACAAATAATTACAAACAATGTAATAGTTTATCAGATTATATGTATGATGAAATTCAGAAAGATCGGGAAAAGTGCAAATGGAAGGAAGAAATCTCTAAAAGAAGAGGACTCATATTTGGTGGAGACATTCCAAATGGAGTTATGGATAACCGAATAATCACAAATGAAAAAGAAGTGGAATTTCCACAAAAAGTAAATAAGCAACAATTTGACAATGTTCAGAAGGATGAAATAATTTTTTACCAATTGAATAGATATGTTGTTTTCTTAAGTAACCACACTGCATATGCTAACGAAAAGATTCTGCATAACATTTCAACACTAGCTAAAAAAGTCATAGAAATAGGAATAAATGACAAATTAGCACTTTCATTTCTATCATCAAGCATGAGCATTTTTAATAAGCTGAGAGGAAAATACAAGCTGAACATTTTGATTTATAAAAAAGTGAACTATGAAATACTGCACTTTATTTTAAAAAAATGGGGCACAAAATTTGGAAAATTGGTAGAGAATAAAGCAACTCCCGTAGTTGGAAATTTTCTACATTCACAAGGAAGTAATAAAAATGATTCCCTTTTTCAGGAGGAACATTCAATCGAAGCAGCTTCCATCATTCCCTTCGCTTTTGAGAAAAAATCGAAAAATAATAACAACTCAAGTGAAGCACCAAAAATGTGGGAATACTCGCACATAATTCATGTCATAAACATTTTGAAAGTGAAGAATTTACTGTATTCCCAAATTTCCTTTTCAGTGGAAGTGGAGGAGCATCTGATAAGTCTCTTCAATGCTATTATGAACCTCTTTCAGGATCGCTTTTTTTCATGCATGATGGAAGGACAAGAATCTTTTTCTCAATGGAATGGTGCACGTACTCAAAATGAGCTTAACAGTGTTATTTTAATATACGTAAATTTGTCAATCCTATTGAATGAATTAAAAAATGGGGATAAGCTTCTTTTACACATTTTACCAATTTTGAACAAATGTCATTGGATCGTACACACATACTATTATATGCTCCACGAGAATATGATAATCAACATTGTGAGAGGAATTTACCATGAATTATTAGCATACTCATACCTGAAGCCATTTAAAAGTTATTTCTATCAAATGGAAGAAGAAGAAGAAGAAGAAGAAGAAGAGCCCATCAGTTTTGTAAGCCCCTTAGACAAAATTCAACCACATCGAGCAGATAAATGTAGAGGTGAAGAATTACTAGTTCTGAAAAAATTGCTACATCTGGCAAAGGACATATCAAACTCTTTCATCTTCCCCATCAGAGATGAGAGGAAACCAAACATGAATAAACTAATAACAGTAGTACATTACTTGCATAAAATAAATAAGATTTTCATTACGTTCAATACCAATGATATGCTAAAAATGTGCATTTTAAACTTTTTAAAAGAAATTGAGAAAAGAGTAAACAACGAAGAAGGGGAATTGTCAAACCATAACATCTTAATATTTCTCAACATATATTTATCACATCGAAGTGAAAAATTAAATATATCTTTACTGCACGCTTGCTTCAACTATTTGAATACAAATGATTCCAATTTGTTTGAACATGAAACGGAAATTATCATGTTTCTTAATTTTCTCAAAAAATTCAATGATATGGGAAAGACATGGAATCGTTCGAAGTGTCCCCTTCCCAATTGGAATAGCTTAAATTTTGTGTTTAAATCGGAGGGAAGTTCCCACGATTATGAACCTTCTGCTGATGCGGATGAAATGGCTGACACGGATCGGGACAAACAAGACAGCTTTTTTCTGCAAAGGAAAACAGAATCTTGCGACAGGACAGTAGACAGTGTAAACAAAATGGTGACACATCTAGCAGATAAAATTACAAAATTGCTGTTCTTCCAAAAAGAATCACCAAAATTGAATTCGTCACGAAAAAGTGAAAAAAAACCAATAAATGAACCCATTTTTGGCATGAACACAAGCAGGTATTATCCACACATTAGCCAATTTTCGAGAAGAACATATCCAATTAATGTGTACTTTATGGCATATGAAAACATTTCATCAAATTACATAAATGAAGAATCTACAAGAGAGACATTACTTAATTACTTAACTGAGCTTGTACAGCATGAAAGGAGAAAATTAAATGAAGAAAATTTCTTTTTCATTATTTCTTCTCTCTTGAAAAACAGGAACCTCGACCATGATATTTACTTCCTGTATAATGAATATTTAAAATCAAATGCGAGAAAAGTACAAATGAAGTATGTCTTTTTTGTGTTGAAGCGAATTTTTGAGGAATTTGACCAGGTTAAGAAGTTTAGAAAACATGCTTCTGCCCCTAGCTGCATCCATATGGAAGCAAAGAAGAATGAAAAGGAAATGTATAGTGACGGATACCCACTGTTGAATATCATAAGAACATCTTGTAATCTGATACTATGCGATAAAAGGTACCAACAAAATTTCAGTTTTTTAAAAGAAATTTTACACGTATATTTTGAGAAATATCCAAACTTAGGTGATATTATACCCGAAGTTAACATGTTCGTGTTAACCCACTTTAACACTTTTGTTAATTGTAAAGAGAAATTAAATGAAAATGAACTCGTCAGGATCATTTACAATATATCTAGCTTTTACTACACTATTAATAGATATTCATATGAAACAAACAAAAAATTATACCTTATTAATACTAGTATAGATGAAAAAAAAGAAACATTAAAAATTGGAAAAGATGCATGCAAACACATGGGAAACACAGTATTTATAGCAGACAGAGTAGAAGACGTAGATAGGGAACCCATAAACATACAAGTACCACTATTACCATTGTCTTCAACTCAGAATCTAACTCCTTCATCAGAATCGTCATACAACTTGACTCTCCTCCCTGGATTGCAAACTTCTTCTTCGTCGTCTTCTCCACTTTCACAGCATAACATCCTCCAGAAAGAAACAAAACAAACGCAAATAAAACATAGATGTGCTGATAATTACGATTCACATGGGAATAGACAACATGACAATTTCCCGAATTGGGAAAAAAATATCATAAACTACAATGAGCATAACATAAAAAATAAACTAATAAAACAGCTAAATTGTCTCTTAGATACATTATACAGTGAAAAAATAAAACGTGGAATTAAGGACCATATAAAATTAACATCTAGTAATATTATACATGTGCTTATTTCTTTGAAGAATGCCAAAATACGCCATACGGGATTAATTCATGTTCTATCGAAATGGTACATTTCATATATTTTTTCTTCTAAAAAAAACGAGGATCCTAAATTAGAACTACAGATTAGGTTCTTTAACAGTGTCGTGTTTTTGGATTCTTTAGAAGAAATCAATAAGATCTTTCAACAGATGGATCCTTGCCAGCTTACTGTACCTGATCAGCCTCAAACGGAGCAGCAACAAATTGAACACCCATGTGAGACTCATGAAAAGAAGAAATTGATACATGTTTTCTATGCACACTTTATACAACTCCCCATACAAGCCTTGTACACACCAAACATAACAAGTTATCTTCTCAATTTCATCTCCATCGTGGATTATATGCCTATGGAACATCAGAGACGAGGTTGTTGGAAGGTAATCATTTGGATCCATGAATTGGTTAAAATTTTCTTTCCTTATAAAGTTGTGGATTCTAAATGTCTTGCTCATTTCAGCAGAAATGTTGCTAAATGCAGTAATAAATACACGTCCAACTATTCTCCCATAACCCATCTTGACAAAAGAAATATCTTTTTCCTTCTAACACTGCTGCCACTGGGAAAGTACCCGAACGTACACGTTTCATCATTCCCTCTCGATTTCCTCAAGCGGTTTTACAACAATTTCATTCGAAGTGATTTGTCCTATCTGAATAATTCAAGGGTTAGATCTTCCTCCACTCATCAAAGCATTTACGAATTTGTACACACATTTTTAAAGAAAGAACTAACCGATTATGACATTTACAACGAAACACAGGTTCTCTTCTACAAGGTTGACATAGTCATCCGTACAAGAGGTAATACCACCCGTTCCTCGTGCTTCAATTTTAGCCATTTCGATTCACACTCAAAGACGTGCTGATGTATGAGGCAAGCGCATGTACACCCATGCATCATCTTTATCACCCAATTTTATCATTCTTTGCTGCCTGACACATGTACTTGTTTAAACACCATGTTTCTCACAAATCGAGAGGATCGACCTGTTTTAGTAATACCAACCACCAGACCTCGCACAATTTACACACTATATATATATACATATATACCTCAAAATTCTTATGAAAACATTAAATTTTTTTTATTTTATTTTTTTCTACCCCTTTGTAAAAGGCTTTCTAAAAATTTTTAGAGAGGAAATATTACAGCATCTCTGGGTTACCATAAACCTTGAGCATCTTCCTCAAATAGCTAATCAAGCAATCTAAGCAAATAATATTCTCATTTTGATAATTCCTTTTGTCACTTTCGTCTTTCTTCCTATTAGAACCCGACTTTGCTTTTCTCTCCGTTTTAGAAATCATCCTATTTATAAACAACTTAGACGCAATGTTTTTCTTTGGAAGTTTAAAACTGTACCCCATGGTCATATCATTTGCGTGTTTTGTTTCTCTTTCGTTTATCTTCAAATTGTCGATGTGGTCTGACCTAGGCCTATTTGTTTTCCCCTCCTCCTGTTGCTCCTCATCATCATTCTCCACACTGGAAAAATTCATCACATTTATTGAGTTTACTCCACCTGTTGAGTTGACCCCACTTGTTGCATTATGTGCACCCGCATTCTTCCCTTTCCATAGAGACTTAAACTTTCCATTTCCCACTTCGAATTCGTCATGTGTATTTTCTGTGCTCGAAAATGAACTTCCCGCTCCGTTTAACCTTTCCTTCGATTTTTCTATCAACCGATTGTTTATGTCGACACTTTTTTTGGTGCTAAATTTTATATCGCTTTCTTTGTTAAGCTTATAATATGTTTTTCCATACCTCACATTGCTACTATTGTAAACATATTGCATGTATTTATCATATTTGCAATCAAAATTGAATTTGTTCATATTCAACTGTTGCATTATTTTATCCCTTCTGAGGTGACTACTCGTTCCTCGCTTATTACTCTTCTTATTTTTCACATTCTTGTATTTACTGGGAACACTAATATCACAACATGGGTCTTCTTTCGTCTCCTTAATCTTCTCCTTCTTCTTCTTCTTCTTCTTCTTCTCCTCCTTCTTCATCTCCATTTTTTTACTTTTTCTGAACAATGGGAGACATTTCTCATTCGCATCAAATAATGTACTTTTTCGTACCACTCCATTCGACGGAACTTGGTATTCTTTCGTACAACATCCTTGGGCTATCTTTTCCTTCTTCGATTCTAATTTTTTTTTTTTTTTTTTTTCTTCTTCCTTCTCGAGTTCTGGATTTTCCCTTCTCTTTTCTTTGGAATTGCTAATCTGATTGTGGTCATCTGGCATATTTTTTCTCATTCGCTTTGTGCATCTCTCAGATTTTGCAGCAACTTTTTTATCTGCTTTGAATGGAGTGTCCACCACTTGTCCTGTCTCTTCATAAGCCTTTTCAGAAGTGTCCTCATCAGCCTCCTCATGAGCCACTTTATGAACCTCATCAGACACTTTATAAACCTTATCAACCTCCTCACCAACTTCTTTACCCAGCCCTTCCCCACATATTCGTCCAACTACAGTCTTGAAGACATGATCACCTTTCTGATTGTTGCGTAGCGAATTGGGGTATAACTCACTTTTTACATCACCCTTCGCGAGATCAGAAGGGCGTGTCTCCTTCTTATTCAGTTTATACTTGTTTATGGATTTTCTTTTTTTTAATTTAAGAGGGAAATGATGATTAAATGTAAATTTGACAAAATACCCATAAAAAGATCTCCTCCTCCTATTTTCCCCATTCTTGAGTTGTGTACTTTTTATGTATGAGTAATTATCACTTAAGCATATATTGTATAACTGAATCAGATTTGCTATGTTGCTGTTTTTGTAGCATAATAAATAAAACAAATTTTTAAAGTCCTCAATCTTGTTAGTACACTTGGGCAGATAGCTTTCGAATTTTTTCCTGCACACGTTTTTCTTTTCTCTCTTCTCCTTCGCATCACTTGCTTGGATGAATGGCTTATTAACCATTGTGTTATATGCTGTATTCACTGGGGTCGTGTCTGAAAAATGGCACTTGTAATTTTCACTCTCCCCAACTGTTCCAAGTGTTCCAACTTCCGCTCTTCCAATTGCCGCTGCCCCAACTGCTGCTGTCCCAACTTCCGCTCTTCCAAGTGCACGATTTTTATCCCTTCCTCTCTTCATACCAATCCGCTTCACTTTCCATACACAATCTTCTTTGCAACAAAATATGTTTGCAGTGTTATATTTATAAATAAAATTTGAGATATTACTTTTGTCAACGCTTTTGTGATCATCCGATTTTCCTAAGCTCTTCTTTACAAAAACAGGTTTTTCCCTCTTGCTAATAGATTCATCATCATTTTCATCTCTGTTAATACCTTGGCTCAAGTAACAACTATTATGCAACTCGGACATGTCATGTCTTTGCACATTATTATGCACTCGTGTGTCTCTCTTCTCACCTTTCTTCTTTATGTGCATTAATTCGAGGGATAAAAAAGCAGCAAAGGGAGGAATTTTCATGGAATTTTTTTTAATACCTACACAAGACTGGAAAGATAAAATGGCAGATTGGTGAGTTAAATAAAGTATAATTTTAGGAATAAATTTCTTTTTTTCCCCTTTGTTTCTCTTGATTTTCTTCTTTTGGAAGTTTTCATAAAGTCTGACATTTATCATAAAGTTAATAGCCACATCTATCAGAGACATGCCACTGCAAAGCCATGACAGATACTTATTGCTGTATTCCAATGCACACATGTGTTTGTAACATTCGTATATTTTTTTGTAAAAGGTCTTTACTTTATTTTTCTCCTTCTTTTCCAATGTTTCGCTGGTTTTTTTCGAAACATTTTGGTTGTTCTGCCCTTTTCGCTTTGTCTCTTCCGTCTGCATTGGGCTTCTAGCCGTTTCACCACTTCTAGCAGGGACACCATCACTGGAAGGGCCCTCTTCTCCTCTTCCTCTTAGAGACAAGGGAAAACAATTCACGTGCGCCTCTTCTTCTTCTTCTTCCTCCTCAATTCTCGGTTTGTTCATGCAGCTCTTAATCCCCAAGTGCAACAAATTTGTAGTGCAGTTTTGTGAATATTTCTCTTGCCCATTTTTACCCATTCCTTCTTCTGTCTCATTATTGTGCCATTCTTGAGGATCTCGCTGAGTCCAATTTATCACCTCAAATGCATCATTCGATAGAGCGGAATTCTGTGGAAAGAAATCCCTTGGCTGCTTCTCCTCTTTGGTGGTTAAAACTGTATTTCTAATTTGATATAAGTTGTGGGGACTTTTAAACCTGATTTCATTCACATCTGTTATATCTTTATTATTTTCTGTTATTCTATGTGACAGTAAATTTTGACAGTTGTGTGTATTCATTGTATATTTAAACAAGGTATCATTCTCTAAATTGGGAAGACTTTCTCTTGAATTCAATATGGCATGATCATTATTGAATGAATGATTCCAAATTCTTTTGTTCTTTATATTTTCCTTCTTTCCATTTTTGATGCTTACCATTGGGTGTAATAACCCATCACTAGAACCATAATCAACCTCCACATGTTTGTATGCTTTATGAAAATCTAATACAAGATGAACATTATGATATACATATGCATCATAAGCACTAATAAACTTTTTAATTATTTTAATATTTTTCCTTTTATTATTAAAAAATAAGTGATGTCTCAAATTTTTAATTTTTTCTTGTATTATTTTTTTTTGTCCAAAATTTGTAACACTTAGCGAGGTAGAACTAACAGAATAGTAATTTAACTTTTTAAGATCCTTAAGAATAATGGATTTATTTAATTTTTTCTTCAACTTGTACAATGACGAATTGTGTTTTTTTAAAATGTTTAATATTCTATTTTTCATTTTTCTTTCATTTGCAGGGGACCTTTTTGGTGCATTCTGTGTGCATGTCTCATTTAGCAAAAATTCTGACCTGTTCAGGTAATTTCGACTATTCCATTTGGTGATATAATAAACTATGGAAATTTCCTCTTTGTAATAATTATTTAACAATTTGTATATATTGGAATTATAAAAAATGTGATTTTTTAATTCCTTTATATAATGATTATTCGATTTTAAAGTTTTCAACAATAGGGAATTTCTCTTTGCTACACTTACAACAGAACTTAAAATATATATATTTTTCAAATAATAGAAAAGATTTTTAATGTACCTAATTAGGTATGTCAACAAATTGTTTGTAACTCCTTCTTTTTCTACGCTCTCATCATGTCTCTCACAATCATAGCAGCGTATTGAAGAAGCTTTTCTGTGCATTCCCTCTTTCTCTGTTTCATACACCCTATCTTCAAGTGAATGTGCAACCATGTCCGAATCTGGTACATTTCCATCTTGGCTATCATTTCCATGTGTGTCATGATAATTTCCTTTGTTTGGTTTACCTCCCTCGATGTCACATACAATTGCATAATTATTGCATATTTTGGTATTCTCATTGAAAACATATATAGAATTAATGTTCACCACGTCGCTTTTATCCTGAACTTCTTTCTTAGGTTCTACTTCCCTATGACGCCGTTTTTCACACATCTCTGATTGATACTTCTTTGTGCAACACACATAATACTTAGTGCCACGAGAAGATTCATTCAAACAGCCTATATAATCGGAGATCTCGCTTAATATATATTGCATATATAGTTCAAAAATAAAATAAATATAAGACATTTCTACCTTTTTTTCATTTCCACTTTTGGCTTTCATCATCTTGCTGTAAAAGAAATAAGAATTACACTTGCTGTTCATAACAAATTCAAAAAAAACTTTCATATTGTATATTAAGCTATTTCTCATTCTAAAATAATTCTCTCCTTTTCGTTCTTGTCCTCCTTTACAATGCCCACTTCTAATCAACATTTCTTCCCTTTTGAATGACTTTTCCATCTTACAATTAACACATTTCACAATGTGTACGTCCTCCTCTTCTCGTTTTTCTTTCATTTTTCCTTTATCTTTTGTATGTCTTTCATCTGAATCGTTGTAATAATTTTGTTTCTGTGTAAATTGTGTATTATCATCAAATGTACTCTCACTGAAGAGGAAATTTTGATCGTTCCTTTTCACATGATTCTCTTCTGTTGTATTCTCATAGCAATTGAATGGTAAATTGGAAGCAAAATTTTTTAAAATATTTACATCTCCAATGCGATGATTATCAGTGTTGGGGTATCTGTTGCCATGACTAGCTTCCCTTCTTCCGTTTCTTTCATATTCGAATCCGTGTAAAATTGGGTTATCGTTATCACTTTTACCTGAACTGTGCATGCAATTTTTTCCATGTGGTATGGATTGTATATTCTCACTTGTGTTGCAGTGTCCCCTAGCCTTTTCCCCCAATAGGTGATAATTCAAAATTGGAAACGTAGATGTACGTCCAATTTGGTTGTAAGTCTCGCTAGAAGTGTTGCCCTTAGAAGTGTTGCCCTTAGAAGTGTTATTCCGAAGGGTGCAACTAGGATTGGAATTACAAAATGTGGTGTAAAATGGGTTCCATTTTATTAGATCATTATTGTCAAGACTTGGGGACACGGTCTTCACGTGTGAATCGACAGAATGATAATCCTTATTATTGGAAAGTAGCTTCTCACTCAATGGAGAGTGTGCATTTTTCGTCCCCTCATCGATGCTTTCAATGTTTGGATGTCGATTGTGTGGAAGGAATATGGGATATTTTACATTTCCCCTGTTTCTGATGGTCTGTAAGAGTTCATCTTTACTCAGTCGATTTTTATCAAAGAAATCTGGATTGCATAAGTTGCGATTGCATAAGTCTCGTCTGTACAAATCAGACGGCTCACTATCAAAGGATAATAAAAAAAAGAAGAAAAACATCTTTTCAGTGATTCCAAGAATCCCACAAATAATCGCATAAGCTGTTAATTTGCATCTTTCACTACTTGTAGTTTTTATGCACACGAATTTATTAATCAGATTGATAAGTTTGTCATACTTTCTTTTTTCCTTTTCTATATTAAAGTTTTTCAGCAGTTTCTGCAGGTAATTCTTTTTACAAATTATTTCATGCGACGAGGATTTTCCCAACATAGAGCTCATCATCTTCCATCTGTTATTGTAAGAATCTTTCATGTTTTCTCTACCATTTAAAAGATCATCATATGATGGGCGATTCTTCCTCTTGCGCGATGGCATGTCCATTAGGTTACTTCTAAAACTAACCATGTTGTTGTTTTTATTGTCCTTTTTGTTTTCTTCTTCTTCTTCTTCTTCTTCTTTTTTTTTTTTTTTTTTTTTTTTTTTTTTTTTCTTTTTCTTCTCCTTTCTATTTCCGTAATAATTTGCGAACATATTCCTGAGTAAATTGATGTCTATAGGTTCTTCTTTTTCCATTCCTTTTTGCAGAAAATGGATCCATTTCATTTTCCTGTTAACATTCTTGGAAAATTTTCTTGTAGGTATAACAAAAGGCGCCTTTTTATGCAACAGCATTTTGATTGTTTTGTTTACCTTTCTCTGCCTGCACACCCATTTCAACAAAATCTTCTTCTCCATCTTTTCCGTCTTCTCCATCTTTTCCGTCTTCTCCATCTTTTCCGTCTTCTCCATCTTTTCCGTCCTCTCCATCTTTTCCGTCCTCTCCATCTTTTCCATCCTCTCCATCTTTTCCATCCTCTCCATCTTCGTCTTTTCTGCCATTTGTACTGATGTGCTGTGCGTTTCCTCACGCTCCTCATCCGGGTTCGATTCATGCTTTGCGTTCTGCCTCTTCTTCCTCTTTTGTTTATCCAAAGTGGCGCCTTCCATATGCATATTTCCAGATGTACCCGAGTCGAATAACGTACTCTCTTTACTTGACAAGTTACAGTTGCCGTTATAAATTTTGTTTAATTTTCTCATGCTATAATAATACTTCCTCAAGTATTTTCCAATTTTGAGAGATTGTTGAAATCCCAAAAATGTCAAATCGCCTTTCCCTTCTTTGAATGGCCATACATTTCGGATTTTCTTTTTGGGGGTTCTAGCACCATGTCTCATATAAATCACATTCGTTACGTTATTAAATTCAAAATAAGTAAAAAGACACTTTTTGCAAATACTTACATTTTTTAAGAAACAATCTGAGTTCAAATAGTAACAGGAGTAGTTGCTCTTCCCTGAATCACAAGAATTGATTGAAAAGCGCGAAGATGATGATGACCTCATAAATATTTTCCTCCCATTCCATTTGGATTTCTTCCTGCTGTACGTTTCGTCCATGTCGACAGTGGCAGAATCTGAGGAGTCATTTGATCCCCCTTCCACTTCTCCACAGTTGGCAGTTACCATTACGTGCGTTTTCATCCCAAATGAGGACTAACGCTAGCATGCACTTGATTCATGCACTTGATTCATGCACTTGATTCATGCACTTGATTCATGCACTTGCTTCATACATGCGTGCTGCATGTGTGTGTTACGCAAGGGGTTTACAAAAAAAAGAGGGCGATGAAGTGTAATTAAGAGTTACATAACTTTTAAGGAGAGGATGTCACTGTGGTTCCTGGATTTGTCAAAACAGCAACATGTTTAAAGTTAGGGAAAATGGTGGGTGGAAATAGAAACCAAAGGCGTAAAAGTGGTGTGTGGGTTCATGAACTGTAGCCACGAGTGAGGGCCACGTGCTTAGAGAATGATCCACATTCGCAGGTGCTCATGCATATCTGTGTGTGCATGTGTAAAAAATACGTAAATATATATATGCATATGCAAAACATACATGCATGGGCAAAACATACATGCATGGGAAAAGCATACATGCATGTGCAAAACATACATGCATATGCAAAACATACATGCATATGCAAAACATACATGCATATGCAAAACATACATGCATGGGAAAAGCATACATGCATGTGCAAAACATACATGCATATGCAAAACATACATGCATATGCAAAACATACAAGGGCAAAACGTGCATGCACAAAACATATACATATTGTATGTACATATTTTTTGTGGGGCCATGTTTCACATGACATTATGCAACTTGCTTACTCCCGAAGTCTCTCTCCACTTCCCGACCCCCCAAGTTGTGTGACAAAACGTGTATACATCCTAACAAAAAATATGTACGAGAATGTGCAAAGTAATCCAAGTGTTCCTCCTCTTGACTTTGCGTTATATGACCTTGATGAAATTTCTGTTCAAGTTCATGTCGAATAAGTATCGTATCTCTTCAACACCGTTTCATTTTGAAGTGTGATAGTAACCTGATAGGGCACTTCAAAAAATGTATAGGAACTTTGCACAGATGGACTATTCAAAAGTGTTCACAGCTTCTTTCCTCGCGTACCATTGATCAACATTTAGCCATTTAAATGCACATCCGATGGTGTACACGTATGTATGTATGTATGTATATATATGTATATATATGTATATATATATGTATAGACGTACTGCAATATGTATTCACGTATGTTTTTTTTTTTTTTTTTTCTTTTTTTGTCTGCACTGTTCAAGTTTCACGATTCTCATTTCGAATGTAAATCTTTTGCGTCATTTTTTTTTTTTTTTCATCCCACCCACGTTATAAAAAACATTTACCACTTAGTAACAATCCAAATTTGTGTAAAGAACACGGATTTATTGCATAACATAAAACAAGGCACGTTGAAGTTGTTTTACTTGAATTGCTGGAACATGGACTTGAGGATTTTTTTTTTTTTTTTTTTTTTTTTTTTTTTTTTTTTCACGGGGTTTTTCCACGAAACGTATGTAAGAAGGTTTGTTGATTTTTTTTTTTTTTTTTTTTTTAATATGACATTGTGTAATATTCCCTTTATTTGAAAGAAGTATAAATAGAGGAAAAAGGAAGTACTTTTTTTTTTATGTGATTGAGTTATTTAACGACCCCCTTAACCTTAAGCATTCGTACACAAAAGTGCATACATACATAAATACATGAACGGTAGAACACGCTACGGACACACATGCATACAGAAACCATATAAAGATAACACACACACAAACACACACATGTTTGTGTGTGTGTGTGTTAACCACAGTATATGAGTCAACAATTTGACGAATTTCCAATTCTTAAAGTTTAACACTATGTCAATAGTATACCTATCAATGGTTCTTCTTTTGCTACCCTGAAAAAGAATCGATCAGCGTGTAAGAATTTGAAAATTTGCAAAAGGTATTCATTTGTTTGAACTCTATTTAGTGAGAAGGTGGTCATGAACGAATTAAGAGAAGAAGAAATATGGTGTCTACCACGACATTCATCACCTCTCATCACTGTATTATATTTATACTCAACGGTTAAAAGCGTTATTTTATTTTTATTGTAATATTTGAGTCATAACCCAGACATGGGCTGTCCATTTTTATATTCATATTCACTTGTCCGTGAACAGAATTGGGCACTGACAAAACGGATTAGACATGGAAAATGCCATAGATCATCAAAATAACACACCACATGTGTGTGCACATATACATATATATATGTATATACATACGTATTTATTGGTCATCTATTTTTTCCTCATTTTTCAACTTTTTTTTGATGACATCACCAAAGGGGTGAAGAAAAATCATCGATAGGAAGATTGACACACAAAATTGAATGGTTTAATCAATTTCTTGAAAAAAAAAAATATACATCACGTATACACGGTTTATACACTGCTCTGCCAATGTGTGTCTCTAGTCCATTTCCAATTGACAAAAAAAAGTAGCACACAACTACATTCACCTTTTTATTTTTATGTAAAGCTCATATTCTCATGGTTTTGTTAGTCAGATAGAGATTATATCAATTCATGCTCTCTTATATTTTTTCCTTTTTTAAATACACATCTCTTTCCTATCTAGAACAGAAAATTGAGATGAGACATAAAACCGCACGAAAAAGATGAATTCTTTGTGTTATATATTTCGATTCATAACGATTTAAAAGATAATGTCAGGATGGTTGGATAACGGATGGAGATACATAAAAAAGTAAAATGAATAAATAAAATGAAGCAGAAAAATGTGGATATTATATGTGTGGGGAATGAAGAGAAAAAAAAAAAAAAAATAAAGCACTAAAAAAAAAAGTGTAACTTACATGCACATATTTTTGAATACACATTGGCTGCTTCGACTTGCTGGAGGGAAAATCTATCTACTTCAACATTATCGTTTTAGGGACACGTTCCATTTTTTCTCTTTTTAAAAAAAACAAAACAAAGTAAAATGAAGTAAAATAAAAAGAAATAAAATAAAATGAAATAAATAAAATGAAATAAATAAAATGAAATAAAATAAAGCTAAAATGAATGAAAAATAGAGACAAAATAGAGGCAAAATAGAGGCAAAATAGAGGCAAAATAGAGGCAAAATAGAGGCAAAATAGAGACAAAATAGAGACAAAATAGAGGCAAAATAGAGGCAAAATAGAGGCAAAATAGAGACAAAATAGAGACAAAATAGAGGCAAAATAGAGACAAAATAGAGACAAAATAGAGACAAAATAGAGGCAAAATAGAGGCAAAATAGAGGCAAAATAGAGACAAAATAGAGGCAAAATAGAGGCAAAATAGAGACAAAATAGAGGCAAAATAGAGACAAAATAGAGGCAAAATAGAGACAAAATAGAGACAAAATAGAGACAAAATAGAGACAAAATAGAGACAAAATAGAGAAAAAATAGAGACAAAATAGAGACAAAATAGAGACAAAATAGAGGCAAAATAGAGACAAAATAGAGGCAAAATAGAGGCAAAATAGAGGCAAAATAGAGGCAAAATAGAGGCAAAATAGAGGCAAAATAGAGGCAAAATAGAGGCAAAATAGAGACAAAATAGAGACAAAATAGAGACAAAATAGAGACAAAATAGAGACAAAATAGAGACAAAATAGAGACAAAATAGAGGCAAAATAAATGTATACCCCCCTACTGGCCAACCACCCTTTAGAGATACGGCTGAGAAAATGTCATATGAAAAAAAGCTACGGAATGTTGGAGATGGTGGTGCAGATCGAATTATATCCATTTAAGTGCACATTTTTCGCTTAAAAAAAGGATAAAAAAAAAAAAAAAAAAAAAAAAAAAAACATAAAACCCTACCCACGTGGTTAAGTAAATCTACAGGATATATAACACTGAACGTATGGCATACGTTTGAGGTGTTATTATTATTTTTTCTTTTTCTAACCCAGTGCTTGCTCTATATTGAGTTTGTCACCCATCAACATGTCATTTTTGCAAAATTTTTGAGTGTGTATTGCTTTCATTTAATTCTGCAACTACCACCGCACCACCCTCGGGAATTTACAACAGGTAGTACTTTGGTGCATCTTTCCTGAGTAGTAAAACAAAGAACCGTTATTCTGTCCTCGTCACTTTTATTTCATTTTATTTTATTTCATTTTATTTCATTTTATTTTATTTCATTTCATTTTATTTCATTTTATTTCATTTTATTTTATTTTATTTCATTTTATTTCATTTCATTTTATTTCATTTTTCCCCATTTACAACACATCCGAATTGCACGTTTTATTTCCCGCATGGAGTGAATTTCTCATTGTGCACATGTTTATCCACATACATTATCCCTACTCTTAGAAGCATATCTTTGTTAGAGTTGTTCCACAAAAATTGTAAAAAAGAAGACTATAAAATCGAAACATGTTCTCAAATCGTGCAACGTGAGAAGAAGCTTATAATTATTCCAAGAAAGGAGCAGATTAGGTGTGACTAGGCTTGCCGTTTATAGGATAAAAATAAACCGTACTAATTAAACGATCCAAAAACGTGATAATCATATTTGTGTGGCATCTTCCCCAACCATATTCACACCCATTTGCCTCTCTCATTATGAAGATCCAGCTTCTTTGGTTTATTTTCCTCTACGCTGTGAGTGGTAAGAGGTGCATACTTTATTTTATTTTTTATATCCATCCCATTTTCTGAGAATTGATTGATTTCCCCCCCACTCCACATAGTGCATAAATTTAGTTGTACACAATCATTTTTGATTTTTGTTTTTTCTTTTTTTTTTTTTACATTCCAAATTTATATCGCATTCTATCTTGGCCGCTTACTGTTTTTTACAACTCCCCTCCTTGTGTAGCCTTTAAAAATGCAGGAAATAGTGGAACTTACCAACAGATGGGCAATAGGAAAGGATTTATAAACTACAGGATAACAAAAAAAAATGACAACCGTGTAATTCGAAGAAGAGATTCTCCCAATTATCTAAGAAGTACATTTGACGACATTAAACAAATTATTTCGAAGCAATTGTCTGTAGAGGAGGATAAAATTAAAGTCGAATCAAACTTTACAAAGGTGAGAACCTAACTCCAGCATGTGGCTAGGGTTTTCCCATGTACCTGCCTCATCACTTGTCTATTTCACTGATCATACATGCATTTACTTGGTTCGCGCCCCTCACCCAGTTGCCCAACATTCAATTGTTTTTGCTTCTCACGTATCACATCTCACTTCTTACGTATCACTTCTCCCCCTACGCAGGATTTAGGAGCAGATAGCCTAGACCTCGTGGAACTCATCATGGCCCTCGAAGAAAAGTTCAGCATAACAATCTCGGATCAGGATGCACTAAAGATAAACACAGTGCAAGATGCGATTGATTTTATCGAAAAAAATAAAAAGCCGGATGCATGAATTGGTTTAGCAATGCCCTGAAAAAGTATTCGCAGCAAATACAAAAAGGAGAAGAAGATGAAGATGAAGAAAAGAAAAAAAAGTTCATTCAAAAGGATAGCTTGAACCCCATGAAGATGCATTGTTAGAATACATAAGAAACAAAGTAATCTTAGAAAAAATCGACAAGAGCAGCAAATATTCTATTGTTGCTTAAGCAATCGTCAATTAGCAATGCAGTTTATTCATGCCCTATGGCAAGCACCCATCTCTCTCTCACTCTCTCATTCTATAGAATCCCCAAATATGTGTTACCAAAAGGGGTGGGGGGGAGAGAAGGATAAATGAAAAAACTACAAATAAAAAAACCACAAATGAAAAAAAAAAAAAAAAAATAAGTCGAATGAATTCTCCCATTTTTTAAGATTTTCAAAAACACAAATGTGTAATCTCAAAACATGGATAGGAAACCACTTTTTGCCTATGCATATGAAACGCAGCAACAATTTCATTACCCTTTTTTTTTTTTTTTTCCTGCATTCAACACTATTCATTTATAAACTGAAATAAAATAAAAAAAAAATAAATAAACATTTGATATTAGCTGTGGCGTATAAACTATCAAGGTGTCCTTAGGAGGGAAACGATTTTACCAGCGTGTACACTTCGATTATGCAGATGTCACAAACGAACTTTCCATATGCTCATACAATTTTGGTGGATATTACATGTGCATATATATACACATATATATAGATGTGTGTGTCTACAACTTATGAACTCGTGCATTTGTATACTTGGTTTTTTTTTTTTTTTTTTTTGCAAATTTTTTACATCATTCCTCCTTTTTCACCTTCCCTGTCGGTTGGAGAAACAAATGCTACATATTACTATGCACACGTGCTTCTAAACAAGAGTAGTTACTGTTTTCAGCGTATCCAAAACAGGGTTGTCAGATGTGATAATTAAGAAAACTGTATACGGTTCACTAAAGGGGGAATTTGTGACATTTGTAAGTATACTGTAATAAGTCTATGGGTGCAACTTTACTTCTTCTTCCTCTTTAACATCACATCGAATATTATCATTTCCGTCATCATCACTTTAAACATCGCCACTTGTGTGTCACAAGAACAGACTGCTTTTTCCCATCCCCTTAACCCTGAGAAATCACTTAATTATTTTATTTTTTATTTTTTTTTTCTTTGCAAAAACAAAATTGATGAAATAATTTTATTAAAATGAGAGAACATAAACAAAAAAAAAAAAAAAAAAAAAAAAAAAATCCTCAAAAATGATATAATCTTGGGAGAGCATGTCATGTCACTAAGATTTTTTTTTTTTTTTTTTTCAGAGGTAGTAGGCATGCTACGCTACATTTTTGTGTTTCCTCCCACTCTCCTAATTCATGTTAGTACGAAAAAAAAAAAAAAAAAATTAAAAAAGTAAATAAATATATATGCAAACAAATAGGCAAACAAATAAGAAAACAAATAAGCAAACAAATAAAACCATTACCCATGTCTGTGAGGGGAGGGGGGAATATGTGGGAGTACCCTCCAATGTAAAACTTCTCACATTTATGCTTATGTTCATATGTATACATGCATGCGTGTGTTGTCTGTTTGTGCGTTTCCAAAGGAGACCAAGAAGTGGATACACGAATTCGTTCATCAAGCTTAGAGGGCTAAGAACAGAAACTGCTTCTTGTCAGATGAAGCAAAGGAAAACATATGGAATATGTACAATTGATTGCTGAGACCAAAGTTATCACGTCCCTCCCCCACACACATACATTTACCCGAGAGTAACTACTCCATCTGCGTGATTTGCAATATGTTTTTCTTGGGTATATGAAACATAGGCAACAAGACTTGTCATCATCACTGGAAGCAGCGGAAGAAGAAGAAGAAAAAAAAGAAGAAGAATCCAAAACAGCTGTATAGGAATATTGGGGCCGGGATCAGGATTACCCATCGACGGTGTCACTGACGATTGCACTGAAAACTCCAAGGAAAGATAACCTCCATAAATGGAAATTAAACAGAAGAAAAATTTTGCAAAAAAAGTGATATGGTTCGTACTAATGCTATCTCAATTTTGCATCATCAACATCAACTTTTGTGATGGTTTCAGCGTGAAACGAATTTCTAAATTTGAAGCATTTCTAACTTTCAGAGATACATCAGATTGGAGTTTTATTAAAGATAAATTCAGGGTAAACAAGTTGGGAAAGAGACACAATGATGTGATGTACAATAAGAATGGAATCGAACTACAAGAGAGGAAGAACCATAACATTTTATATGTACACAAAAAAAAGAAAAAAAAAAACCAAAACAAAGATGAATTACAAGTACAGGAAATTATAAACAATCAAGTTGTATCTAAAAAGAATGAGGAAAATGACACGAAAATTCAACGCACATTTATCCCTCCTGCAAGGGAGAAAAAAGTCACTCACAAAAGTTACAAGGGAATGGTGCTAGAGAATGCAAACGAATCAACATACACGACAGGGGCGAGAAAAACAGGAGATTCTTACATACTTAACAATTTTAACATAAGATCTAGTTTGAAAGAGGACGAAGAGGAAGAAGAGGATGAAGATGATGAAGAGGACGATGAGGACGACGAAAATTTCCACAATGCTAGAACTGGCAATAGCATAGGCAAAGGTGGAGAAGCAGAGGAGTTCAAGAAGAAGAAGAAAAAAAATAAAGCTGCAATCAACGATGAAACAGACGAGACAGATGAGACACATGAGGAAGACTCGGGGGATGAAAGCGTGGAGGAGGAGGAGGAGGACGACGACGACGACGACGAGGACAGCGAAGAACTACCATTCAGCGAAGAAGATCTAGAAATAATGAACAAAACATCTGCTGAAAAAATGAACAATGTTTACAACTATATTAAAAGGGAATCGTACCGTTTTAACCTAAACAATGTTTCGAATACCATGTTGGAAGATGAGAAGGTAAAAATAAATGAACGGATTTATATCATAAAGCATATATGCCACATTAAGAAAAAAGAAAATTTATTTATAATTACTCCATATGACCCTTACTATGTTAATTTCATATACAACCATTTCACAAAAGAATACAATGAACTGAAATTTTATGTGAAAGATAAATCTGTTTATGCTGTTATCCCTCCATTATCTGAAAACTTAAAAAATGAAATTCGAATAAAAATAAAAGAAAAAATAGAGGATGCTAAAGGTACTCTACGAAATGTGCGAAAGCAGATGATGTCTAAATTAGACAAGGTAAAAAATAAAATAGGAAAAGACGTTTATTTTCGACAAAGAAATTACATACAAAGTTTGCATGATCAGACACGCAAAAAAATTGAAGCCATAATGGACGACATTAGATAAAGTGATCAACGATTATAAGAAAATTTTATTCCTACTTGGGAAGGCAGAAGCTGTTAGCACCTTTGACATAACATGAGATGTGTGCACGTCTATTGTACTTCAGGGGGCGAGGGATAACTGAACGAGAAAAAAATTTTTATACATATATATATACATACATATATATACATACACATATCATGCATGCTAGTTTGTATCATCTCCATCGACAAGGACATATTGTATACCCTGTTCCCAAGTTAAACTATTAAATTGTTGCATTCCAAAAATTATTATTCAATAATTTATTTATTTATTTTTTTTTTTTTTTTTTGTCATACGCGTTTTTAGTTTTTACGCAAATATACAAACACACGAATGATTTGTGACATTCGTTCTTGCTAAAAATCAATAAAAATGAAAAAATGTAGACAAAGATGAAAAAAAAAAAAAAAAAAAAAAAAAAAAAAAAAACGAAAGTGGCACATTTATTACCAAAACGCATTCACACATGGAATGTGTATGTATTTGTGTGTGATACTAAAACAAAAGAGAGAAGTGGGCGACATACATGCTAATATACATGCATATGTGCATATACTTATCATCACTTCTTCCCTGTCTAAATACATCCAATGAGCTTAACATTCGAGCCGCACGGGGAATGGGTAACGCTACAAAGGTGGAAAATAGACACCATGTGTAGTAAAAAGTTGCTAAAATTAAATTGACGAAACAATGTTTCTCCAATGTGTGTGTATTTTGTTTTTCTTCTCTTTTTAACATACTTTTTTATAGTAAAATTGATAACATCGTTCAGGGAAAAAGTTTTATTATCCTTTATGAATGTATTCTGGACGAAAAGGGGTTGGGGGTGTGGGATGCAAGAGGGAGATCATTTAGAAATATAATATGCATAGGAAGAATAACAATATGAATTAAAAGATAGGTTCAGAAATATTCGAATAGGGAAACAAACATTTTAAGACGTAACAGAAAATAAATGTACATGTATAATCAGATATGATCATAAAAAAAAAAATTCCCCTATTTTTTGAACAGCAAAAAAGGAAGACTTTTTTACACTTATATCTGTTCAGGGTTGTGTTGTAATAATTTTGACAAATGCGACACATTTATGTCTTGTAGGTGAACAAGAGGGGTTCAACAAATATAGGCAGACACATTCATATATATACATATGTATATAGTGACACGAAATGACAGATGTGGAGAATTACATTTCTGGAATTATAGGAAAATTCTTTAAATAATTCTTCCGCGAATGTTGCTTCAATGATTCCAAAAACGTCTAGGTGAATTCTTAGAGGTTCAATTTTGTTAATTTGTACCTCTACAAATGGTGTACAAGAAAAAAAAAAAAAAAAAAAAAAAAAAAAAATGAGAAAGGGACAAAGAGAAACCGTTTTTATTTTAATTTTCGTTTAGTGTGCTACATTATCTGTTTTTTTTTTTTTTTTATTTTATTTTTTTTTTTCTCCTCTCTGTTTGCACTCCTCCCCATAATTCTAGTTATATGGTGGGTAGGTCTACACATCATTCTTACACGTATGTTCAACCCATCTTACTTATTCTGTAATTCTCCTTCAAAACCAAAAGTAAAAGCTTGAAGCTTATCTTCAAAAACATAATCGATGGATCTCCATTAATAACTTTAGGTTCTTTCTCTTTCAGTTTGATGCCGTTGAAACATATGGTGAATCCCTCCACATCGTGGTTGGCCCTTCGTTTCAAGAAAAAAATAAAATAAAATAAAAATAAAATAAATTTACACTGCATCCATATCAACACATAACTTTCTGCGCGAGCACTAGCAAATCATTAAGGTTCACTAGCAGGGTTCACTAGCAAAGGTTATGCATTTGTATGTAGAACCTCTCCACCTCTGCCCTTTTCTTACTTACTTTAACATAAAGTTGGAAAGATAAATGCTTAATCCATCCTTAACATTGTCCAAATGTCTTGGTTGCAATTGTGCTATACAACTGAAATGAATGTCATAAAGGATGAAATGGAAATGATGGTCGTTCAATATGAGCACAAAAAAAAAAAAAATAAAATAAAATAAAAACAAAGATTTTACAAATGTATGAACACGCATGCAAATATACGCGCCAAACATTTATTTTGTGCTCTTTCAAAATGAAAAAAAAATATATATTTACCTTATCCGAACTATGTTAAACGTTTTTTTATTAATTATAAGTTCTGAGTTCTCGTAAATCCTGTCTAGAGTATTTTTTATGTTTCTAAATTTTGAAATATACATCAGGTGGGCATATTCTTTAGGATAAGGAAAAAGTAAACAGTCGTATGTATAATCAGAAACAGTTGCGTTATATATTATTAATAGATTATTGGGAGATGAACAGATAAATGGTAAGGGGTAGAGAAAATTCTTTTTGAAAAAAGTTTATCTCCATTTCATGTCTCTATATCAATGTTATGGATACTTTGAGAGAATCCTCCCCTCCCCCTCTCCCCATCTATCACCTCTATTTCGCCTTCTCTCTTTTATGAAGGGTAAAAAGTGCTAACCTGAGTTGAATTTGTTAATGATTTTTTCCAACTTGCTCGTTCTTAATGCCTTCGATTTTTGAACATACCATGGGTTTTGGGCCATGTTACCATTCTAATATGTGACGTGTGTGTAAAATATAAACAAATTTATATCAAACTTTTTCCTTTTTTTTTTTTTTTTTTTTTTTTTTTCTGTTCTGTGAAACATCCTATCACGTACTTTTTCTTGTGTGAGTACGCATGTACAAATATTGAGATATAGATCGATGTGGAATATAAGAAATCAGGTTTCTGAGACTGAGGCTTTGCTCATTTCTGGAGTCCTACTAATTCAGGGCTATGTGTGTGTGTGTGTGGTGGTGATGTGGTCGTAAGGCGGTAATATAACCTGACTACCCTTTAAAATACACTCAAAATGAAAATGTTTCTCATTTCGTCGATACATGTATATATCTCTTTTTTACGATGGTTAACTTCTACATGTAAAAAATATGGTGCTTATTTTCGACACATAGATAGATATATTCATGTATACATAATGTAACACTGATCTAAAGGAATCTTCTATAATATTATTTCATCACTCAGATATATACTTGTGATATTTTTTTTTTTGCCTTAACGTTCAGTTTTGTTGGCAGTTTCTTCTAAACCATTCAGGTAAATATGAACATGCTATGCCAAATGAAACGTTCTTTTGGCTTTTTTTTTTTTTTTTTTTTTTTTTTTTTTTTTTAAATCCTTACAAGGCTGTTTTTTCTGAACTACTCAGGTAAAAAATTGATCACACTTTGTGATGACTTTTTTTTTATTTGGGGTAAACATAATGTTAAGTGTATGTTCACACTACACTGCTCTGCACATGTATAAGTGAGAAAAACGTAGGATATATATATGTATATTTTTTTTTTTTTTTTATGGAGAAGGTACTCATTCGTTGTTGCCTCTTTTGCTTTTGTTCCCTTTTTTTTTTTTTACAACATTTTCAACCTTTTACCTGTGCCAATTACCTATACCATTTACCACTGCAATTCCCGACGTAAACTTTTCAGCGTCAGCATATGGGGAAAATGAAACGAGTAGAAATATGCTAGGTCGCACCTGCAAAAAACTCTCCATATTTTTTGGTCATTAAGGACCAAACAATTAGGAATACAAAATTTACGGATTAAGCTCACCTTGCTCAATTCCTAAAAAGGAGAGGGAGAGAGAGAGAGAAGAAGGGAAATTCAAAAAATGTGAAAAAAAAAAAAAAAAAAAAGAAACGAAGGAAAAATTAAAAGAAAACATAATATAACAAAATAAGGCAATACAAAGCGAAAACTAGTGAAGAACAGCAAACCCATAGCGAAGCATAGCAAAACATAGCAAACCATTGCCAAACATTGCAAAAAGGGGTGAGAAGAGAAGGCACAGAAAAAAAGATGGAGCTTAAAATAATCGCTCTTATATCACAGGCGATAATATTCCTAACCTTAGCAGCTTGTAACAAAAACTTACTTGAACTTAATTATCAAATAAATGCCAACTCAAGTGATAAAGGAAAATGGAATAAGCTAGGGACATTTGTACTAAACAAGAACCAAATTTTTAACACCTCAAATTCGTATGTAGAAGAAAAGGATAAACTTCTAGAAAAAATAAGCAGTGAAAATTTTGAGTATGTCTTATTTCGACTATGTTACGACACAGATGAAAAGAAGTGTATACAAACATATGTGAGTAAGAAGAAGATTCAAAACAACAATGATTTTTGTCTATTAATAGGATTAAATAATAATTACATGCCCTATATATTGAACTATAGAACACTGGAAGAATTGGATGAAAATGCGCATATATACTCTGGTATATTTGTGGTTAAAGCTTTATCAGTTTCGGCACCAATTGATATATCTAATTTAAAAACGGATGAAAATATAGCAAAACCTAAGAATTCACAAAATCAACAGAAGGAAAAAGAAAAACCCAAATCTTTTATACGTAAGTACTGGATTTATGTAGCCATATTTTTTTTATCATTGTCCATATCGAAGCATTTTACAGAGAATATGCAGGAGGTGAGGAACAGATAAACATTCCGATTTTTACCAATCGAGGAGGCTGCCCCACCAACCCTCCCCAAAAAAAAAAAAAAAAAAAAAAAAAAAAGTTCACACGTGAAAACATACTCTTTAGATACATTAGAAATTGTGCGAGCTTACATATGGAAATCAGTCTACATAAACAGAATCCTAAATAAAGTGAAATAATTTTTACTTCAAGTTACCCATTTTAGCCTCATGACTATCAATTTTGAGCCACTTAATTGTCTGATTTTTGGTAATTCTTCATTTTTTTCATTTCTCCTTTTTTTCACGTCTTTTGTTCACTTCTTCTGTTCACGTCTTCTTTTTTTGTCAATGGAGATACGTGGTGTCCGTTCAACCATTACCATCACCCCAAGTGCGTAGAAACAAAAAAAAAAGGGATGAATGATGATGGTGAAAAATCCAGGTCTCTTTCATATGAAGCACGAATGGAACGCTTATTAGAATTTGTACATGAAACCTTTTTTACAATAATAACCATGAATCACGACATAAAAGGAATTTTCCCTCGTTTTGAAATTCACGTACAGATAACAAAACTTGAATATACCCCCAGGTGTAAGGGAAAAAAAACGTATAAATAACATTTCGTTAGGTAGAAGGAGCCATGGAAGAAATAGAAAAAAAAAAAAAAGTGGAAAAAAAATATAAGAGGGGGAGGAAAGAAAAAGGAACAATAAAATAGAGGAGAGGGGTGTGGGTGGGGAGAAAAAAAAGAAAAAAAAAAAAAAAAATATCCTACGCAAACGGAACATATGCGCTCCTTACTCTTTCCATTCGAAGTAATTAAAGAGAAATAAATTCTCCATGCTTTTACCCGTTCCATCACGTCCATTTCATTTCTCGCCATTTTCAGTGCACCTAACACCTCTGTGGTTATCCACGTCGTCGATATGAGACACGGGGAACATCCTGAGAGATTGTGCATATAAATGTGAAAAGTCTCTATTTGCTTGAAAGACAAACAGCTGATCTTAATGGAATTTATTTTTATTTCATTTATTTTTTTATCCCCAATAGGTATATAATACGTACAAAAGTGCACATGTCGTGGTAACACACAAAAAGTGTAATTTTCCTATTTTACATATATGGCTATAATACATCTATGTATGTATTTAACGATGCGCTTATACTCATGAACTAGCCAATGCTTAGAAAAAAAAAAAAAAAAAAAAATTCTAAAATTGGGGAATGGGTGGGAGTATGTTTATGTTTGTTTCTGATCTCGCCTTATGATAATGTAAAAAAAAAAAAAAAAAAAAAAAATATAAATATAATAATATTCTCTCTTCGAATATAGGTAAAAATTGCAAACATAACAAGTCCCATAACGAACGTGTAAACAGTCCTTGCAAAGGAGAGAAAAAGATAAAAAAGGGGAGGACGAATAGTGGGTCGGGCTAATGAAATAACGAACTAACGAACGAACTAATGAGCGAACTAATGAATGAACGAATGAACCCAATTAGTGATCCCAATTAGTGATCCCAATTAGTGAACCCAGCTAGCGAACCTAACTAAATAGTAGACAGGCAAGAATAACCATGGAAAATAAGTAACAAACGAGAAAAAGAAGAAATATTAAAATATACTTAACCAAGTGCATCCTGCTTACAGATAACGGTTTCGACTGTTAGATGCACTTGACTGAATATACACATATGTATACATAATTCCGCTCGAGGGGAAAAATAGCCATTTCTGATCTATACCAGTAAGAAGCAGGAAGGAGAAAAGGGGAGGGGGGGAAAAAAACGCAAAAAAAAAAAAAAAAACAAACAAACAAACAAACAAACAAAAACCAAAGCAATAACGGAACCAAAACAGTAATAAAACCAAAACAAATTGTAGCATTATATATTAATAAACAGGATACCTTTGCAGTGAGTGCTCCCAAAGGAAGAGAAGAACCAAACTGAACAAAATGGGGAAGACGAAAATTATTGGAAGTTTGTTACTGTGCACTACATTTGTCTTGGTATTAATTACCAGTTATGGTAATATAAAACTGCTGATACAGCGTGGAAATGACAAGGGAAAAGGAGAGACTCACACAAGTGCTGAAAATTGGCAGAACATGTTCTTAAGTAAGCACATGTATGACATGTATGCTTACATGCTTAATGTGTGGAAAAGACAGGAAGAGAAGATAAAGGAGAAAAAAGGACTTTGCTTTTTTTTCCTCCCACTTGGATGTGACAAAAATGAAATATCGAAAGAATCAAAGGAAAAGAAATCGCAATATTCTGCTTTGATAGAGAAAATGAATATGAACAAAGTACGTAAATTATCAGATGATGAAGAAAATATAGAATTACGTCCTTATGTTAAAAGAGTAGATGATAATGAGACAATTGTTAATCTGTTTGATTATTTTGTTAAGGGTAAAAAAAGAATAAATGGGAAAGATGAAATTTTTGTAAATCCAGAAAATGTATTACACAGAATAGTAATTATATGTTTCAAGCCAACATTGAACTTTTCTCATATTATTACTCAACCTAGTGATGCATTATTAAAAATTATTAAAGTAGGAGAAGGAGAAATTTTCACACAGAATGAATTTCCAGTTTTATTTTACTCAGATAAAACAAACTGGGGATTAAAAAATGTCTTATCTACTGGAATTATTGAATTTTTCATTCCTCCCTTCACACGAATTGTATCTGATGTTGTACTTCGATGTGCAAACACTGAAATTAATGAAACTTATACATTTGAAGATAGTATTCAGGTTCGAATTCGAATACCTCGCAGTGACAGCAAAATTATAGGTCTCAGTACAGATCCGAAAGATAGAGAATATTTTGAAAGAATTGTAGAAGAAAATGTAGATGAGTATGAATTTGGTAGTTATAAAGAAGGGGTCGTGGGTCTCAAATTGGAAGAAGATACAGAACTAGATCCTGAAAGTTGTTTCAAAATGGTATTCGAAGATGATACTAAAATTTTGCTTGAAATTGAATACCCTTTTTGTAGATGTATAAATTTAGATAGACCTAATTTTAAACTACGATTATTTTACATTAATGATGAACATTTTGAAGAAGAAATTCAATTTTCTTGCTCCTTTACCTATAAGGGAAAGAAAAAGAAAGCTATTTTTGGTGAATCAGATAGAGATGCATTATCTGATGTACATCTGTTAGAAGAGGATAAAAATGAATTTCAATATTTCAATGGAGTTCCTTACAAAATGTGTCATTTTGAATATTTAGATATAGATACAGATACTCTACAAGTATGTGAAAGAACAATTGATGAATTTTCCCTTTTTATTTATAACTGTGAATCTGTGAAAAATGAACAAATTCAAACAGAAGAACCCATTACAACTATCAAATATTTGAATGGAACCAAACCGTTAAATAAATTCACAGACATTGCTTTATTCACAAAAGATATACATATTGAACATTTAAAATGGAAATTTCCAAATTATAAATATTTTATGACCTCTTTTATCAATCATGGCCCGCATCCCTTAATCATTGAATGCTTTATCCCAAATCCAAAAGGGAAAACTTTTCAAAAAGTAAACATTTTACTCCACATAAGAACAAATTTATTAAATAAATCAGTCTCATTTTGTGATTTTAAAAATTCAAAGTTATATGACTATCTTAATACATACATTCATGGTGATGTATGTGAAATAGAAGCTACATCCAATACCCGTTTTGGATTTCGATGTCCAGATGGAACTGTCAAAAAGCCAAGTAAATGTTTCTCCCAAATGTATTATCTTGGAGATTTACACTATTTAAAAGATATATTTGCAAAAAATATAGTTATCTACTCTAACAGAGATGAAAGCTTTGCATTAGCTGCATTTACAAGTAGTTTATCTAAATCATACACAGTAGAATGTTTTTGCGTTCAGAAAAAAAATATAGATAAAATTGAGAAAAGAGTAATTGTGCATTATGTGAATGAAGATCAGTTATATGATTATAATTCTCTCCCTAAAGTGAACCACGAATCTGTAATTGCACACCCAACAAAAACACATCTTTGTGATTTTATGCATAATAATGCAGTGTTAAAACCAACAAGTAAGAAATCAGTTAATTATATCTGTAATGTTTTTCCAAAACCAATGGAATATATTGCCATGAATTGTCCAACAAATCGTGTAGATGAAGAAAATGAAAAAATTCTCTCTGATCTATTGTATAAATATGGTACCCCAGGCACGAAAGAAAAGATAAGAAACTTTGGAAAGAAGAGAAATAATTATTCTAGATCTTTTCATTTACCAAAAGATGCACCTACATATGCTATAAATAGATATATGCAAACTGTTAAGGATATTAATGAAATGATTCCAGGTATTCTTATCAAAGACACGGTTAGTATCAAAATAGGTAGAATTCGAAAAACAGATGCAGGTGTAGAGGATCCATCTTTGGATCCAGATGAAAAGGATCCAATTAATGAAATGTATGCAAAACATATTGGACTTCCAAATAATATACACTATGGATTATTCATATTTCAATTACCTCCTTTTATCAAAAGAAATTCTATTATCGAATTTGCATGCATTAATGATAAAACTAAGAAGCAAGGTAATAAGGGGAATAATGGAATCATGTCTGTGCATCTGAGAAGTGAAGGGAGTGAAGTCCACGGATGTCATTTTTACAAACATAAAGCAGAAAATACTATTTTAAAAAAAAGAATAAAAGTAGGTTCTGGGGTAGATTGTGTTGTCCAAAGTAATGGAGAAATTGAATACATTGGAGTTGCATGCCCAATTCAAAGTGGTTTATATTTAACTCCACCTGGATGTTTTCTCAAATCATATGACAGTTTAGATGCACCTATAGAAGTGACTGACCATGACAAGGATTTTAAAAATTTTACAAATAATAAAGGTGTGTCTTATTTGAAAATACCTCAAAGTTTTGTAGGCTACTTGAACATTTTCTGTTATTGTAATGAGGAACCACCACTGCCATCTACAGAAGTTACAGAAAAAAATATTAAAAAAGAAAATAAAATAAACATAGAATTGAATATATCTAATAGGGGAACACCAAAGGTTCTTAAAATAGACCATTTGTATGAACCCGACTTTCTCGTAGGAAATGAATTCTTAAACAGAAAGCCTGCACCCATTTTGAGAAAAAAACATATATGTGATTTTACCAGACAAGAAAGTACTCTTTCTCCTGAAGAAGAAGCCGTGTCTATTAATTCTTGTTTTATCGAATTGGAAGAAAATTTAAGTCTAATAGAGGTGCGATGTCCACGAAATGTGAACCCGAGTAGCTCAACACATCTTAGCAGTCTTCAAAATATGCATCATTTTAGAAGTGTTAATGGAGTGATGAATAGCTCATTCTGGTATGGAAAATATCGAAGTGGTGAAGAAGTAGAAGGAGAAAGAAGAAGAAAAAAAAATGGAGAAAAACAGTTAACTGAAGAAGAGTTGAAAAAATATGAAAAGATAAAGTATGTCCCAGAGGAATTCGATGATGTGATGCATTTGAATAGTAAAAAAAAACTGGAAGATATTCTTCCAGGGGTTATTATATTTGATAGAAACAGAAAATTTGGAGAAAAAGGAAATTTCACATTTATCACTCCCTTGATAGTGCAAAATAATATAATGATAAAACTTTTATGTGATAACTCAGAAACTGTTATTGATAAGAAGAAAGGGAAGAAAGGAATTATTGTGGTTAAAATTCCCAAACATACAACAGAGAAAAAGTTCTCTGGATGTGATTTTTCTGGAAATGCAAATAAAACATTTTACTATTCAGAAGTACAAAACCTGGATAGTAGTAATAAAATGTGTGAAATTAATTTGAAGGAAAATATGATCATAAGTTTGAATTGTCCAAATGGAAAAATCAACCCGAATAATTGTTTCCATAATGTATATATAAAAAGCACAATGGATCAAGAGAATGTAGAAAACATTGAAAACATATTTAATCATGTGAAAGTTATAAACACAAACTATATGTTAAAAAATTCTTCAGCCTTTTTAATAATATCTGAAATGAATAATAATAATAAAAATTTAAATTTCTATTGCACTTGTGAAGATTACAAAAGTAAAAATGTAGGGACGATTTATTTGAAACATCACATAAAATCATCTTCTATCACTCAGGAAAGCTTTTCTGATTTAAATAAAAAAACCCTTATACTTGATGTTCCTCCATATTATTCTAAAGACACATATGTATGTGATTTCACACAAAACCATTATAATATTCTTCAACGGAGTAGTTTAAATATGGATGAAATTTTGAAAAAGTACTTGGACGATATTCTTCACTATGAACATGATGAATTTACACACTTCAGTTTGAATTTGAAGTTAAGAAAAGAAATTTTGAAAAAACAATATATTGAATATGTAAAGAAACAGATGAAGCATTATAGGGAAAACCCTACTAATATATCTGATTATCCAGATCATACCATTGTCTATAAATGCAACATTGATTTAAGTGCCTTCGATAAATTTGCAATTAAATGTCCATGGAAAGAGTCTACCACCACTAACAAAGGATCACTCCAAGGAGTGCAAGAAAGAATAGACCATACTAGTGCACCTCGTTTAAAATATACATCAAGTTTAGGAAATAATCTTACCTCAATGATAAAAGGTTTAAACAATCTTTTATTTGGAACCTTAATTGTTAACAAAACGAATGAACGTAATGTTTCTTTTTTTGAGAGAGGAGGAGAACTAGGACTAATAATATCACCATATGCAGATTCTTCAAAGAATCTAAGTTTCTCTTGTGAGAATTTGGGAGAAAATGGAACTAAAAATATCATCATTGGTTTTGCATCTATTTTTATAAAAAAAAATGACAATAAAATCTTGGGTTGTGACTTCTTAGACCCTTCAGATGTAAATAATAATCGTTTACCTACAGGTACTATGACAACTCATGAAGGGTCACATAATGGTAGTGTTTACATTCCTTACAGAAATAATTCATTCGAATTTGAAATGGAATTAGTGGAAGGGAAAAATATATATTGTAACATTGAAGCTATAGAGAATGATGTTGTTGGATTTAGCTGTCCACACAATTTCCTTACATCACCAGAGGACTGTTTCGAATCGGTGCAAATTGAAGGATTAGACAAAGAATTAGAAACACATAAACTTGAAAAGTTATTAAAAGGGGTTCAAATTTTGAAGAATAAAATATATGAATATAACTATACCCCATCATATATTATCCTTCCTAAGAAAATTAAAAAATCGTTGAAAATCTTCTGTACATGCAATTCTATAAAATCGATTAAAACAGGTATAATCCAAATTAACGTAATTGGGGATGACTTAAATAACTGGTTCAAAAAGGAAATAACTCACAACATTTATGCTTTTGAAAAGCCTTATTATTTTTATGATTTCTCGTCTGGGCCTTTAAACATAAGCTCCGAAAATGTGCTTGACATCTCCACTTTAGCTATTCCTAGGGATGCTGTAAGCAATGGGTTCAGGGGATCTAATCAGCATTTGCAGCATCATTTGGTGGAAAAAAGTTCGAATAAATCAGAAGATGGAAAAGCAGAATCCGATTTGAATGGAGGAGGCACCACCCATGCACACGTCTCACTTTCTGCTCCTGCTTCTGCAAAGAAGGGAACAGACCAACAGACAGTATTTCTCCATGAGGAGGATGAAGAAGATGAAGAAGATGGAGAAGACGGAGAAGACGAAGAAGACGGAGAAGACGGAGAAGACGGAGTGGAAGAAGAGAACATCCTGAACCCAATGAGAACAAAACAAGTGCATGAAATAACTGTAGCTGCCTCCGAATTTAGTGTAGTAAAAATTGTGTGCCCTTTGAGAAACTCACAGCACTTCAGACAATCCAAAATAAGTCCAGAAAATTTTTTCGAATATGTATATGTTATGGAAAAGGATGAAAAAAAGAAAAACGTACGTAGTCGTGAAGAAAAAGAAAGATTGATAACTCAGCTCGTGCAAGGAAGTAGAAAAGATGCTAATGTTGAAAAAAGTGATGGAAGGAGAGATAGTTATGATAAAATGAAACAAGGAGAAAGGAAAGAGAATGAAGAAAAAAAAATAGAATATGATGAACTGGGAAATAAAATAATTATTTCTATGAAAACAGAAAGACCTAAAGCAACTATTGAAGAAGATGGAATGAGAATTCATGATCAGAAACAATTATTAAATGATAAAAGAGATATTTTAATTATAAAAAATATTAATGATGTTATATCTTTTGTTAATTGGGAAAGAGAAATTAGTGAAAATTCATATATTGGAGCGATACACTTTTCTCCTCTACTTTTGAAAGAAGCTAACTTTTTTATTTCATGTGACAATTCTTTAACATTAAATGAGAATAGAAGAGGGAAAACAGGAATTGTAAAAATAATTGTTAAACCTAATTATGCTAAAATCCTTGGTTGTGATTTTGTTGGAGATTATTCTTCACATTTCTCCATTAGTAAAAAATGGAAAGAGGTTCCAAAAAGTTATGTATGTGAAGTTCAAGTTGAAGACGATTCAATTATTGGTCTTGCATGTCCTGAAAACACAAAATTACATCCATCAGATTGTTTCGAAAGTGTTATTAAAGATAATGAAGTTCACAAAAGGGATTCTATAATTGAATCCATCAATTTGTTCTTATACAAACATACTAATAAACCTATATTAACATTCATACAAATTAAGAGAGTATTTGCTACCCACTTTATTTGTAAATGTTATGACACAGGAAACGGAGACTACAAAGAAGTTACTATCAAAATTAATTACGAACCCTATGTTCTGGGAACTCCCAAAAAGACTTTGAGCAGTGCAGTTATTCAATATAGTGACATAGACCTCCGAAAGTCTACACCTCAAAGGTCATAAAATTAGAAAATTTTCCACTATTTGCAAAAAATTGAAAGCGTTATCAGAACTAGCATAGTGTTGTCGTCCATTCTAGAAGACGACGAGAGAGCAACAGAGGGGTTGGGGGTGGGAGAGGAAGAAAAAATATTCATTATCATAATATTTTTTTTTTTTTTTTTTTTTTTTCCCAGTCTAACTTGTTTTTCACGTGATTTCTGTGTGTGCATCTGACAACAGGTGTATTTTTGGGAACACACTTGTTCACCTAACTTTTCTGCATCTCCTTGCAATTTTCTTCTTTTTTAATAACTTTCCCATCACACCAACTGATCATGTAACCTAAAAATGGAGGGTAGCTGTTTTGAAATGTTCCCACAATTGGTCAGTTGAGAAAGAGGGGAGAGGGTTCGACTTGGCATGGTGGCAGTGACAAAAGATGTTTTTTCCTGGGCAAAATGAGAGAATGTAGATCCTCCATGAGACGTCTTATGTCAACTGTTCACTAATAGAAGCGTGTATTTATGATTCTTAAATTAGAAAGCAATTGATGTCTTGCAAATCCAGTGAAAATCATAGTCACAAAAATGGAAAAACATGCGCACGATTTTTCCCCTATGCATGCACATACACAGATACATACGTACACACACACATACGTACACACACACATACGTACACACACACATACGTACACACACATATATATATACACACATATATATACACACACGTGTATGTATGTAGACCCTACACATCACGGGGTGGGTAAAATAAAAAGGTAAGACCCCATTCCAACAATTTACTTTTGCAATTAGTCCAATCCACTTTTGTAAAGGGATTGCAACACAGTGTATATCACGAGATGTTATTAAATGAATAAAAAATATTGAAAAAAAAAAAAAAAAAAAGAAAGAAAAAATTCACACACATGAAAAGTACACTCAAGAACTCGCGAAGAATATATATATATGTATACATCTTGAGAGATATGCAAATAGAAACACAGTTTTATCAGAAGGAACACGTAAAATGGCCATGCTTGGACGTATTCTTTCCATAGGCATATATCACCTACTTGGAACCTTTTCTTATACCACAAAAAAAAAAAAAAAAAAAAAAAAAAAAAAAAAAATACGTTATTCAATACATGATTATGTATATGATTATATAAACTATTTAACAAACTATTTAATAAACCATTTAATAAACGATATAATAAACGATTGAAAGAGTGATCATACAAACGATTAACTAAGAGATTAACTAAGGGATTAACTAAGGGATTAACTAAGGGATTAACTAAGGGATTAACTGAACAATTAAGTAAATAAAAAAAGGGGTGAAACGCAATTTGACCTGCCCATAGGCGTGACAGTACTTTTTTTTCGCCTTTTTTTCTCCCCACCCCCTTTACTTCTGTTTATTCCTGTTTATTTCCGTTTCTCTCACTTCAAACGGATCATAGACATTTGCGTGACGATGATATGACACTGATTTGCCATTGCGTGTGTGTGTGAGTGAGTCCCCTGTATCTTCACAAACTCTTCGTGCAGAGTTCTTCAGTAACACATTGGAAATCCTATCGAGATTTTTCCATTATACCAATAGAAGAGCACACTTAGGTGCTCACACATGGTCATGCAGACGCAAAGCCATATAAGCACACACATAGGGTTATTCACATAGGGATATACACACACGGAAGTTGGAAAACCATTCTTCTCGTTTCTCCTCTTCCCGTTTATGCTCTGCCCGTTTCTCCTTTGCCCACATCAACTGATCCGCACCTCATGTATCATTCTCCTGCGTATATAAATGGGAAAGTTAGTTAGGATAAGAAATTTTTTTCTTCTGCCTCTTGTTCATATAATACTTGTGCGAAAAAATGACATAGATCCAAAAGTACACTTAAAAAAAAATCCATATTATTCATTACGATTGTTAAGTGATGGAAATGCTAGTAGTGACAATTGGAAGGAAAATGAATTTCTTATGAAGCATAAAGCTATAGCTAGCAATAGAAATAACAACTATGGAAATAAAAATGATAAATCTTTGTTAAGACAGAATGCCTTCGAAGGTATCGATAAGGGAAGAGACATTCCCAATAGAATCTCATCCAGAATTATACATTACACAAATAGAAACAAATTAAAATGGAACTTCAATCATCTTCAGTCCCTTGTTAAGAATGAAGATATAGAGCAATCGAAATTTTTACATTTTGTAAGAACTTCCCATTGGGTAGATAATAAAATAGATTCAGAATTTCCTACCACGGACGAAACAGAGGAGAAAACACATTACCAAAATATATGTGAGGAACAGTTTTTCTTCCATAAAAATGGTCCCTCGAAAAGTAGGATAAATCACCTGCAAGTTCAGACAAAAAAGTGGAAAGATGTAATAATGAGCGGTGCACACGAGCTGTTTGGAACGCTTCTATTTGGAAAAATCAATGATAGGAGAATAGGAAGATATTTGCAAGAAGACGACAATGAAGAAGATGACAATGAAGAAGATGATAATGAAGAAGATGACAATGAAGGAGAGGACATCGAGGGAGAGGACACTGAAGGAATCATCTCTGGACGAAACAGCTATCAACTGAACTCTTTGGAAAAAGATTATCAAATGAAAGGAATGGATAGTCCACCAGCAGAAGCTATAGAAAAAGAAGACGAAGAGGAAGAAGAAGAAATTACCCTTGAAGTGGATCCTGAAGACGACGATTTTGACAAAATAACTGATAGCTTTAAAACGACATTTAAAGGAGAAGGATTATCATTGGAACAAGCAGTAGCTGAATCATTTGCATCTAGCAACACAAACAAAGAATATGTATGTGATTTTAAAGAGTATATAAGTCCAAAAGAAAGCTCCAAAATAGTGACATGTGAAATGAAGATTCAAGAACCACTTGTTAAGGTAAAAATTATCTGTCCCACGAAAGATGAGGAAGCAACAAAATTTAAATCTATTGAATACTTTCCTAAAAAGGCACCTTATGTTGTACTAGTGAACGAAAATAAAAATGGAGAGGAGACTGAATCGTTAAAGGAGAAAAAGTTAGCTGAATTGGTTTATGGTGTTGTTATACCTCCACAGAATAATGAAAAAGATAATGAATTTGAAAAAGGATCTATCGAATTTATTTTACCACCTATAATGAAAAGTAAGAAGACATTATATTATATATGTGATAATAGTAAATCAACTGATGGAGGAAGTAACAAAGGAAGCAGAGGTATTACGGCTATTTCTATAGAACCATATGGTGAACCTGTTAAAGGATGTAACTATTCAGGTAAGAATAAGAATTTTTTTACATATAATTATGATGAAACTGCTTCTATTGGAACTCCATGTGTGTTTCAATTAAACGCTGGAGAAATTGGAGGTATTATGTTCCCAAAGGATATTAAATCGACTAGCTGTTTTGACAAAATGATTCCGAATACATTGAATGAAAAATGGGACAAGAAAAAAAAAGCATTAATAGATGTAATAAGCGGTTCAGTAATATATAACAAAGAAATGGATGCAAAATATTATGATGTAAAATATTTCACCATTCCACAAAGCTACAGAGATTCTATCAACTTGTTTTGTCACATCAAAGTGGGGCAAGAAAATAAAGTTCATATGGTATACATAAGCATAAATCAAGAATTAAACATGTCTATTTTTAACCTGTATGATTCATTTTCCAAAATAAAAAAAGTTTCACAAATTGCAAAAAAGACAGAAGGAAAGACTGAATATACATGTGACTTTACAGATCAATTGGAAAAAAGCTTAGAATTAAATGAAAAAAAAGTTATCATATGTAGAAAAAAATTAAAAGAATTTGATACGTTCAAAATGAAGTGTAATGTTAGCAAATCGAAATATGCAAATATCGAAATGATACCTAAAATGCTTAAAGATGAGAAAAAAAAAAAAAATGTCTTAAAAATTCAGCTAGATGTGCAATATGAACTCTTCAAAAGGTACCTTCATTTTCATACCAAGAATGCAGAATATCTAATTGGATATCCCTCTTTCTTAATGTTTCCATTTAACAAAATTGCAAAAATGGAATTGAAAAAAAATTCCATCTTTAAAAGTCATAAAGATTTTTCCTATTTTGATCAAGTATCAACTGCTTCTGATGGGTTGATAAAACTTCTCGCATATATGGATGCACAAGATACAGTTGTGTTAAAAGAAAAAATTCCAAATCTAAATATAAGTGATGAAGAATCCAATGATGAAATCTTCGACTTGACGTTTCAAGTGCCAGCATATGTAGACATATCCGAACCTTTATATTTTTTCATGGGATGTAATAATACAAAAGATGGAGGAAATATTGGAGTTGTCGAGTTGGTTATTTCTAAAAATGAACAAATTGTAAAGGGATGTAATTTTGCTGAAGGAAAAATAGAATACTTTACACAAAATATAGCATCTTCTGAAAATAAATGTGCCTTAGAGGCCTATCCAAATGACGTTATTGGGTTCAACTGTTCCAAGATAACTAGAGCAGATGCAGAAGAAGAATCAGATGAAGAAGATCCAGTAAACAATTTTGTTGAACCTGATGGATGCTTTGCACATGTGTATAATGAATCTGGTGGAAAAACAGACATCAATGAACTATTACCAGGGGCGCAACTATACAATATTAAAAAGAAAAAATCTCGTGCTTTTATGAAAATTCCCTCGATTATAAATAAACTATCATTATCTATTTCTTGTAAATGTAAAGTAGATTCTACCGTGAAAGAAGTAAATATAAAAATTGTGAATGGCAGAACGAAGACACAAAAAGGATTAGGTGTTGTAGATGTAAAAAAAGAAGCTACTACCAATAGTGATGATAACATATATACATGTCCAAACAAAAGTATTATAGAACCCAAATTAGCAAAGTGGGATGATAAGTATGTAAAACATACATGTCAGGTAGATGTAAAAAAAGAGAATAGTTACATAGAATTGTTTTGCCCATCAAAAGATTTTTCTATTCATCATAACATTAATATGAGTTACAGTACAACCAAACCACAAAAAGAAGAGCAGTTAAAACCATTTAATCAGGAAGTACTTGAAAAATTAATTCCACATTCAGAAATTCTGCATAAAACTAAGATCATGCTACCATTGACAAAAACGCATGAAAAAGAAAATGTAGATTTATCACACATATATTTATACTTCCCACAATATGTTAAAGAAGAACACGAATTCAATATTGTATGTGATAATAGCAATACTTTTGTAGATTACAAAAAAGGAGGGACATTATCTTACCAAATTAAGGTTCCACAAAGAAGCAAAAAAGTGAAAGGTTGTGATTTTACATCTACCAAATCGGATATATTTCTAAACACAGAAAGTGCTAATAATTGTGTAATAGATGCACTTCCAAATGATATAATTGGGTTCGTTTGCCCACCTGATACTGTTAAGATAACTAGCTGTTTTAGAAATGCAGTCGTCGATGAAAAATTAACGAACATTTCGGATCTCCTATCCCTAACCGATGATAATATAGCTAATCAAACATATACTCACAATTTTAATTACATCCAAGTACCAAATATTATCAGCAAAGATGTGTCGTTCAAATGTATTTGTGTTAATTTGAAAAAAGATTACCAGTTAAAATCTCCACCTAGTCCAAAACTTTTAGATGTAATTTATCAGAAGTTAAATATAAAAAAAGCGGACGATGCATTATCTCTCAAAGCAGATAGGAAACATAAATTCCTTATGAGTAGCATGAATATGTACTTAGCTCATAAGACAGATAAAATAGCTAGCCTTTTTCACAAAATAAACGAGAAAAAACCAGCTGAAGAAGATGCGAATCCAGAAGAAATAATCGAAGAAATAGCTACTAGCGAAAATTATGACGATTCTACATGTCCCAGCTGTTCCATACCACAGGTTCTTGGTGGATATACTGAAGAAGATTACTACTCAGTGTTACAAAATATACATAATGAAAGTGTAGAAGAAACTATAACACAAGAAATAGCATCATTAATTGCAACCGATTTTAAGGTGTATACATTAAAGATTAATTTAAAAGCACCAAAGTTGATAGAAGCAAAAAAGGTTAAAGAAGATGCATATGTGTGTGATTTTTCCAAAAAAGGTTTACTTCTACCTGAACCACTTAATGAAGATATACCGTCTGACATCCATTGTCACAGTGTACTAAAACCTCTTGACATTTTGTATGTAAAATGCCCAACAGAAAAAGCAGCATATGCTATTGCAAAAGGAAAAATGGAAGAAGATGATGATGAAGGTGATAAAGAAATAACTACTCTACTCGATTCTGTTGTACAAGATGGTGTATCAGATGCTAGTCCTTTGGATGATCCATCTTTTGTAAAATATTTCTCTAATTATACTATAAAACCGAATAACTTTTTTGAAAAAGTATTAATTTCAGAAGGAACAGTAGAGGACAAAGAGGAAGAAATAGATACAATACTACCAGGAGCTCTTTACACAACTATGAAAGTATTAAAAAAAAAAGATCCATACACATCATACGCTGCTATTGTTATTCCTCCAAGTATTTCTAAGAATACAACTTTTAAAGTTCAGTGCAATAATGAAGGATACAAAGAAGCAAGTAAATATGGAGGATACAAAGGAATTATTCATTTAAGCATATCCAAGAGTGAAAAAAAGGCTATAGGTTGTGATTTTACTTCTGCAAATAGTAAACTACTAACGAAGGGAATTGAGCTTTCTACTGGGCAAACAAAAGATTGTGAAATAGAACTAAAAAAAAATGACATATTTGGTATTAGATGTAATTCTGATTTTACATTAGATCCTGAAAAATGTTTTCACGAAATTTATAACAAATCTAGTGAAGTGAAGAAAATTTCAGAAGTTATTCCAAATGTAAAAATATTTACATTTCCAAATTCCAAATCTAAAATTGCTTATGGAAAAATTCCATTAGATTATGTAAATAAAGTAAATTTTTCATGTTCTTGTAAAAAACCAGATGGTGTTACTAAAGGTACTATGAAAGTTGTTGTAAATAATGAAGAAGCATCATTGGAAGATATGAAACTAGTAGATGCAATAAAGCACGAAAATGTTAACTTCTGTAACTTCTTTGATAATGAAATGTTGTCTTTTAAACAAAATGCAGATAAAAATATCCAATGTAAGGTAGAACCAGAATTATTTTCTGAAGTATTAGTAATTTTACCACGTTTAGGAAGTTCCAATGCTGGTGAAGCAGATTATAAGAATTTCTCTGTAACACCATCATTAGCTGTTTCAGAAGATATAAAAGTTGTCTTAGATGATAAGAATCATGTACCATTAAGTACTGCACTAAAAGGAGTGTTTGGACATAGAACCTTTTCTTTTAAAAAAAATGATAAGAATGGAATCGGATTCAGTTTTTTTATTCCTCCAGTATTTGAAAGCATAAATCTTAAATTAATAATTAACCAGAAGGAAGTTTTATCAAGTTCAAAACAGAGAGGTGTCATTTTCATTGTTGTGAGAAAAAATATGGATGAAGGATCATTAAAAATGTGTGATTTTACATCTAGTGAAAATTCCCTTTCTGATCTACATGGTACAAATAACGAAAAGGTGTGTAATGTGAAAATAAAAAAAGGAGATGTTTTTGGAATTACGTGTCCTAAGGGATTCTATCTCTATCCAGAGGCATGTTTCTCAAATGTGATTCTGGATTATTACAAAGGAGAGGTAAACGTAGAAGCGGAACAAGAAGAAGACGCAAGTGAAGGAAATGATGAAGACATAAACTACATAGAAGAAGCCAAGACCAACCTGAGATTAAAAGACTTATTAGAATTAGTAGGTGAAAATGATATAGATATTTCTGATTTGCATAATTTTTATGAATTTTCTAATATCACAGAAATGCTAAATTTTGAGAATTTCAATTTGGGTTCTATGCCTCTAGATTTCAAGAAAAATTACACCTCTTCTTATGCAAAGGCACCAGCTAAATTTAGAAGCATCCTTAAATTTTCTTGCAATTGTTACAATCCTCAAAAAAATGTATTTGGAACAATGAATGTCGAGTCGGAGTATACAGATGTGGAGAAGGTAGGAAAACCTGATGAAGAAAAATATGTACGTACTCAGCTCCTTCCTCTAAGAAAGAAAATTAAAATAGAAGAAGAATCAGAATCAGAAGAAGAAGAAGCAGATCCATTTATGCAGCAAGATGATAGTAGTACCGAATTGGTAGGAGGTGTTGGACAATGGGATCAAGAAGAAACAGATAATAGCAGCATGCTATCTGATGGTATAAGCTACACATGTGATTTTTCACAAGAAAATTTATTCGATTTAATTGAAGGAAAATTGCAAAGAAATACATGTAAGATAAATGCAAGAGCGATGGATGTGGTTACTATTAAATGCCCACCAATCAAGAATCATGTACACAAAGAAACAGCAGTTCCAGAAAGAAATGAAAAAGAAAAGGTAACAATCACTATTGATGAAGAAGAATATGTGACATACCAAGATGAAAAGACAATGAAGAAAACATTTTCGTTGAAAGAAATTTACAATAATGAATATTATAACATGACTACAGATGAGGTTAAACTGTTGAGAAAGTTAGATGCAGAGTGGGATGACAACCATATATTTTATCCAAAACAGGTTCTAGAAAATGTAATTGTAGAAAACAAAATAGTTAAGTTGAAAGAGGCATTGCCAGGTTTAATATTTCTTAAAAGCAAAGTACAAGATGAAATGAAATCGACAAATTTGATAACAGATGGTGTTACACGATTTTTCATTCCTCCATATGTAAAGGACGATTTCAATTTTCACATTTTTTGTGGAAAATCTTCTTCTAAGAAACCAAAAAGAAATGATACATCCCTCGGAATTGTGCATGTAAATATATCAGCAAACAGGAAAGAACTTCAAGGTTGTGATTTTGTAGCTCCAAAGGGAGATGTAGAATCTTCTTCTATATTTACAAATAAGAGAGATACATCTAATGATTCCATTTGTCCAATTTCTCTTACACCGAATACAGTGGTTGGTATAAGGTGTCCCAAAAAGAAGCTAACACCAGAGAATTGTTTTCAAGAAACATATTTCATAAAAGAAATTCAAGCTGGATCAACTGTAGATGAATTTGCTAACTTACATAAGGAGAAAATAACAGATATAATAAAAGATTCTATACCTATCCAAAATTTTGAAAATGAAGAAAATACATATACTTACTTGATTCTACCTAAAAATATGAAACATTTGGAAACTTTAGATACTCAGTTTTACTGTACTTGTGATAAAAACATTGTAAAAATGAAAATTGATGAAATTTACATAAAAAGAGAAAAGGCAGAAAGAATTGATAATGAAACGTGTACATATGATAAAGTGAAAAATGTAACAATTTGTAATGTAGTCGAATATATGGAAAGTCTTTCACAAAAGGACAATAAAACTAATCATTACAAAATTAATTTAACTGGATGGAGTAAATTAATTTTAAAATATCCAACAAATGAAAAGGAAAATTATGAAAAAATATTTTTAAATCCATTTAATATAAAAGAAAAAGTATTATTTAATAAGGTACCAACAGACATTGAAGAAATTTTACCAGGTTCTATAACAACAAATAAAGTGGATTCTAGGACAAAAATAGTAGAACATACATTACGTATTCCACCATATGTTCATAAATCTGTTCAATTTTCTCTAGAATTTAATAATTCTCTATCTTCCAAAAAAGTAAATTATAATTATGTGTATGGAAATGTTATCAAAATTTTTATCCATGTAAATGAGGGATATAAAGAAATTAATGGTTGTGATTTTACAGGTTATTATAATCATCTATTTAGTCATACATTTGATCCAAATTCGAAAGAAAATATAACATGTAAAGTTACTGTTGGATCTAAATCTTTTGCTGGATTTGCTTGTCCCCCTAATTTTGATGTAATTCCACAAAACTGTTTTACATCTGTTTATGATAATAATGATGACGACAAAGTTAAAAAGTTAGTAGATTTATCTGAAGATGCAGAACACGATTCTGTTCATTACAACACACGTGGATTCACACTTTCCTACGTCACTTTCAAGAGTGCTGTCAAAGGGCAAAACATTTCCTGCAAATGTGTCTCCCCTGAGAATGTTACTTACACCATCAATGTTGCTTTCGATCCTGATTCCAGCAACGCCTTTCCCTCCACTCGCATTCGAATCAGATACGTTGATTTGAAGAAGGGCAACTTTGCTTCTTACCTCCGAAAGAGGTGACCCCACCTACGCACCCTATTGAGACGTGTCTTACCATATCGAGCCGGGTCTTACCACGGGGGGGGGGGGGGTAGGACATGCTTGACCCCACTCTCCAAGGCTGGATTCCCCTGCAGCAGCCCCAACCCAAGTCTCAGCAGAAACTACAACTGAACCCAAATGAAGCTAGCTACAACTGAACCCAAATGAAGCTAGCTACAACTGAACCCAAATGAAGCTAGCTACAACTGAACCCAAATGAAGCTAACTACAACTGAACCCAAATGAAGCTAGCTACAACTGAACCCAAATGAAGCTAACTACAACTGAACCCAAATGAAGCTAACTACAACTGAAGGCACGCACACGAGCTCTCGCCACCAGCACCAATCCTCTCACCTTGCAAAATGGAAAATCTTGATTGCTTTAAATGCGCTGTTTTTTTTTATGCACTTATTGATGCACCTATTTATGCACCTATTGATGCACCTATTTATGCACCTATTTATGCACCTACTATTTTGCTCATTATTTTGATCACTATGTTACTAATTTTTTGCTAATTTTGACCCAAACTTCTTCCCCCGCATTGAGTCTGCTCAGAACTTCCTTTGGGGGTCCTTTTGCGTATCGTAACTTCAACACGAGTTCATCCATTTTTTTTCTCTCTCTCGTTATGTCTGTCTCTCTCACTATCTCTTTCCACTTGTTCTCCACTCACACTACTCCGTATGGGGGCGCTACCCCAACCACGATTAGGAAATTTCACAAAAATGGAGTGTTACTTCAACACCCACTTACCTCCTCCCCCTTTGGGTACTCTCATTTGGTGGAACTGTTCACTAATGGTGTATGATGAATTCAGTTATCTATGGTAATACCGTTTGTAAGTTAATTTCAAAAGGGGAAAAAAAAAAAAAATCATTTTTGCACATATGAATATGTAGTCAAACATATGCAGATGTAGATGCTGCTTCTGGAGCAGATGTAGGAACATATTTGAGTCTCGAAATGAATTTGTTTTCACCGTTGGGGTGGGGGATATATACAATCATGTTGACAAGATAAAAAAAAAAAAAAAAAAAAAACTCACATTATTTGAAATTTAGAAAAACATAAGGGTTGTAAGCGGTAAGGTGTAAAAGTACACATTCGGATGCATGGCTCCTCTCTCTTCTCTGATGCAGCTGGAGGAACGGATATAAAACCAAGTTTGCAACTAGGGGGAGGGAGATAGGGAAAGGCGAACAAGAATCAATTACAAATCTGATTTGAATGTAAAGAGATGAGAGTAGTCCTCCTCTCCTCCACTAGCACTACCCATGTCAGAGATACTTTGATCGTATGTAATTATTAGCCAACTTATGAGCCAAACGCTTAATCTCGTAGAACTTTTCATCAAAAAGGTAGTCTCTAGTGGCCTTGGAAATAATATCAAAATCTCTTACATCTTGACTATCAATATTAATATCTCCAATATTTGGGACATTAAAGCGAAAGTATGTATTGTCTCTTCCTGAAAGCCATTGCAATACTTCTCTATGTGTTTCATTTGCTCTTGTAAGTAGATGTGCTGAATTTAGTAGGATTTCAAATGTAGATGCTGATTTTCCGCTAGCACCTGATTGTGTCAATTTCGTTGGTGATTTACCAGTTCCTATAGACACTAAGGTATCTAAATCTTCTTTAATAAATGATGATAGATTTTTATTATTTAATCTTGCACATTCTTCTAAAGCTATTAGTGCAGGGTTACTTGCTTTCAAAGCTCCATCTACTAAATGTATTTCTGGTTTAATGAGGAAACCTAAATTTTTTATATCTTCTGAACTAGGACCTTTTAAATATGTTGGTGCAGATGCAGTTGCCCAAGCAGCTAGCCATAATGGAAATTTATTAATACCTTCATAGGATTCTCCATTTATAGCATTATATTTATGTGCATAATTTCTTAGTAAAAATAATTTATAAGGATTGTGTTTGACATCTGTTGCTGTCACAAAACAGTAAGCTCTTTTAAGAGAAGACATAAAATCACTACCAATCCTTTCCATAAATAAATCTTTCACATTATTTATATCATATCCTTCAAATAAAATTCCGGAAATTAAATTTCTATTACCTTCGAATATCTTCTGCATAGTACTTGGTAGCAAGTTCATTAAATCTTGTAAATTAATTCCTCTTAACAATGATAAGCAGATCAAACCTCCTGCGCTCGTTCCACAAACCATGTCAAAACAATCCACTAGTTTAACTTCGTCATTACCTATTTCTTTTCTTATCTCATTTTCTATTCTTTTCAAAACAATCAAAGTTGACATAGCCAAAATTCCTCCTCCATCTAGGGACAATATAGAAACTCTGCAATTGGGGAAGAGAGAGACAAAGGGGTGGATTTGGTAAGATGAATAATTCATCAATTGATTGATCGTTCGAAAGAGTATGCTACTCAATTTTTGTTTTAACATATAGGTAACTGTGACCTCTTAACATGTTCTGTAAGATATTTGGGGGTGAAGAGGTGATGCGCGAAAAGATTCTCTCCTTTGGACTTACGGTTTCCTGAATGGAGAGTAGGGGTCTCGAGGAATTTGATTATACTTTCCACAGAACATTAATCCATATCTACATTGAATACTCATTCCTAGTGACATGTAGGTACTAACATTGAGATGGAGAGTGCTATTAGTACTTTTGTTATATAGGTATATATATTTCTTCTTCTTTGAGGAGACTCTTATTTGATTTTCATCATTAAAAGTGCAAATAAAGGTTTCTATATTAGTCTTATGTTCATCTAAAAAGAGATAACTATGTTTTTTATTTTTCTCGATGATATTATCAGAAGAATTATTATTTTTCTCCTTATATTTATTTATATTTTTTTTTACATTTTTTTCACATGATTCTTCCAATGTTATATCCATTTGATCAAAATTGTATTTACATATTTTATTTATTTCATCATTTAAATCAAAATTTGCCATCATCATTGAATCTTTCCTCTTTTGGTTTTTATCATTTTCTTCTTTTTCTTTCGATTCTACTTCTTCATCATTGTATTCTGGGTTCTTAGAACCCATTTGTTTTCGATTTTCTTCTGACTTCCCCTCAGAAGTCTTTATATCATTTTGAATTATCAATTTGTAGTTCAGTTCCACCTGAATCTTCGATAGACCGAAATAAATACTGTCCCATTTGCTCTGAAAATAGGATTACAAGTAAATATTTTGGCAAAAAAGGAAAACATGCAAAATAAAAAAAAAACTGAAAGTTCGTTTTTTTTGCTAGAATTTTTCGACTTTGAGGCGGGTGTGGGGGGGGTAGAGTCGGATCGGATCTGAGTAGCCTTTTCTTTCCACCTCTTCTCTCGCAAACTTTTGCGTCTTTGTTTTTTTTTTTTTTTTTTTTGCTTCTCTACTTTTTTTTATTTTACTTACATTGTTGTTATTTTCCACATAGATGCAGTAAAATCCAGGCTTGTTCAACCGGATGGAGTGCTTATTTTTGATAAGTTCCCCATCAAAGACATTCAAAGAATGCTGCTTATTCTGTGGAAAGGAAATAATATCACTGTTCTGGTTATTCCTAACTGCATCATTATTAAAGCATTTAATAGGTTCAGTATCAAAATAATTATTTAGAATTGTGGAATTCTCAGCTCTCAGTTTACTGTATTCATTTTCCCCATTATTCAAATCATCACCTGAAAAAATTGTACTTTTTTTTCCTTTCTTTTTTTTTTTTTTCTTCTTCTCCATTTCTTTATGTATATCACTATTTTCTTCATCACTCACACTGTGTGTGAAAATATCAGTATACATGTAAATTCTTTCTTCATCATTGTTCATTATTATGGATTTTCCTCTTATATTTTTTGTAGCTTTTTTTTGAAGTTCTTTCTGCGTCTATTTTTTTTTTTTTATTTTTTTGCTATACGTATGTTTGGAGCAGTTCTGTTGACTTTTTTTTTTTTTATTTTTTCTCCTTTTCGTTAGGTAAAAAAAAAAAAAAAAAAAGGCATAATATCAGAATGGTCTGGGAAAGTTAACTCAACGGTAGGATAGGAATAGGAGCAGGATTTGTAAAAACTGCTTCAGATGATGTATTCAAATTTTCATCAACTTCTCAGTTGCGTTCAATCTATGCTATCAAAGCAACATTATATAATTTAAACCTTGTATAATTTTATATTTTTTTTTTTTTTTTTTTTTTCCCTATCTTTTATATCTACTCCTAACTTATTCCCCATCCTTCTTCATTATTTCCTACCTCTTCACCTCTTTGGAAAGCACAGAGATAAGAATGGCGATGTTTTAAAAAAAGTATACAAAAATCAATGTTGCTGAGAGAAATATGTTTTGTTTATATAAATATTTACCTGAATTGTAAGATATGACATGAACAAAGGGTAGCTACAAAAAACGGAGAATCTTAAATGGGGAGAATAGTCGAGTGAAGAAGTTTCTTCCCTCAGGTGATGCTACTGATCTGATTAAGTGAGAGGGGAACAGCAGGAAAAAAAAAAAAAAAAAAAAAAAAAAAAAAAAAAAAAAAAATCAAATCAAATCAAATCAAATCAAATCAAATCAAAGTCAAATCAAAGTAAAAGGGAATGATCGCTGCAGGAAGGAGGAGTTATCATGGAGAAGTGGAGTGACAAAGTGACGATGAAAAAAATCATCAGCGCGCAGGGATGGGTTGAATAAAAAAAAGATCAATAAGCGTACCGAAGCATTTACAAAAAAATTTGAAACACAGAAAAAAATGCAGCGGCGGATGGATGCAAAGAGTCACAAAAATGTCGCAAAAAAGTTACAAAAAAATTGCAAACTCTGTGTAAATACTTGCCTGCAAGTTCGTTAAGCGGCTAAAACTAGAAGCCCAAACAAAGTGCACCAAGTGTCAAATAATTGGATAGCATATATATATATATATATATGTATACACATTCAGACGCTTGTGGATCCACCTCCCCCTTCTCGCAAATGTTATGCTCTTTTTTTTTTTTTTTTTTTTTTTTTTTTCTCTCTTTCCAATTGTGCTTGACCCATTACTCACAAGAGATCTTTTGCTGCTATTTACACAACATGAGACCATAGCAACTTTGTACAGGTGGGGTAGATAACCTTTAATCTGTGGCACATATTGTGTCGTTAGGTGAATCAAAATGGCATCTGATGAATCTATTTTTGTGATAACAGCAACACATGGATAATTAAATTGGTGGGTTCATATGTTCCAAGTAGAAATAAAAATACTTTTTTTTTTTTTTTTTTTTTTTTTTTGTGAATCACTTCTCGGCACCCTCACCCCGGAAAAATGAACATTAAAGGGGGAAAAAAAAAAAAAAAAAAGGACTTTCTTATTTGTTTGTTTTCTGCGTGGATATGGATACAATGAACACCTGCACAAGCAAATAAACCAAATGAAACAGGAAAAAAAAAAAAAAATAATATTTAATATAAATTATGTAGCACGGAATTTTTTTTTTTTTTTTTTTTTTGCAACATGAAGGTAGCGAAAAAGGGCATAATATATATAGCATTATGTTGTAGGGAATGAGAAGAAAATTATTATTTTTGATTAATAATAAAAATGTCAGTAGTAAACTAATGGTCAAATTTAACTATTTTGTGTGTCAATATAAATAAGATGAACTTGTGTATGCACCATGTGGTGAATGAAGTATGCACTTCTTTTATATAAAAAAAAAAAAAAAAAAAAAAAAAAAAAATTGAACCAAAGTGGTGGTGCCAACAATAAATCATTGTTCAATTGCAAAACGTGAATAGCCCAACTGACAATTACATCGGTGTCACTATTGTTAAAGAACTAGTACAGGGGATGGGTACACACATCTGTAGGCATGCATGAAACGGCTCCAAAGTGTATTCGACATGACGGGGACAAGCAACAACATATGCAACATATGCAACACATGCAACACATGCATAAACAAATGTATGAACAAATGAATGCTTCTATTCCTTAGTACATATAAGGGGATTCATTCCACCTCTTTAAAAGCAAGACATATCAAAATTCTCCTTCATTTTATCACCCCCTGGATAACTAAATGCATGATATTTCCTGCTTCTTCATCAGGTAATTTTTTAATACTGTCTTTATCTCACACCCCAAGGATCTACAAGCACATTCGGCATAGCTGATAATCTGCACACAGGGAAAAGGAGAATGAAGAGAGGGTAAGATCGTACCTCCTATTTGTAATATATATAAGCTGGGGGAAATAATATACATACATATGGATCTCCCATGTTCTCTTCACATGTATGCATATTATTCCTTGCACCCCAGAAAACCCCCTTAGTGTTATACACGCGAAATGATATTGTGAAAGGGAATGGGACACATAATTCTTGAGATGTTTTTTTTTTTTTTTTTTTTTTTTTTTTTTTTTTTTTTTTTTTTTTTTTCTGCGCATACCTCAGACAATGATTTATTATTAAAAGAATTTCCTGACCCATGAAAAAAACACACAGTTTTGAGGTTTAGACAAATTCCCAAGGTTATACTATTCATTTCGTATTTACTTCCATAATATTTTTCCTCCTAAACAGGGGTACAAAAAATTATGCATAATTTTAAATATTAACGAATTGGTATAACAAATAGTCAGCTCAGTGAGAAGATCCGTAATACTACACCCTCGAATTAGGGAAACTTCTTTATTTTTTTTTATTTTTTTTTTTTTTTTTTGATTACCAAACTGTCAACATCCACAAGGTGAAAAACTCTCTTTGTGTTTGGGCAAATTATTGAATTCTTAAAAAAAAAAAAAAGAGAGAAAAAAAATGAAAAAAAAAAAAAAAAAAGACCATGCTTTTTTGTTACCAAATTATATCAACAGATACAATATTATAAGCTTTACATATTTGTGGTTCTTTTTTTCATTATTTATCTTTTATTTTATTCTATTCTATTCCTCGTATTACTATATTTATGGACACAATAATATCTCGCGTTTTTATTTGCGCATTGATTAATGCAAGTGATATACACGTCAGGGTTGCGCTCAGACATCCTTAAAAGATGAAGAAGTATTTTGGGGGTGCAGAAAATAACACAATTTTGCATATATTCATGATTTTCAATGTTTATGGGGGAGGGGAGTGATGTGTTCGACTCACGCCCTTATGCATACATTTTAGACATCCATAAGTATATATATATATATATATATAGATAGATAGATAGATAGATAGATAGATAGATAGATAGATAGATAGATAGACAGACAGACAGACAGACAGATAGATAGATAGATAGATAGATAGATAGATAGATAGATAGATAGATAGATAGATAGATAGATAGATAGATAGATAGATAGATAGATAGATAGATAGATAGATAGATAGAGAGATAGATAGATAGATAGATAGATAGATAGATAGATAGATAGACAGACAGACAGACAGATAGATAGATAGATAAATATAGATAAATGTTAACGCTGTTGCAAAATTACCTCCATCGTTTTGAATTATTAAACACTTTATGTTAATAGAACATTGCGGGTATTGTTCCAACAGGATTATGCCTGAAATACATTCTATTAACAAATTTCTTATATCTTCATCACTCTGTATAAGGATCGATAAGAAAAAAAAAAAAAAAAAAAAAAAAAAAGAAAGAATTGCAAAAATTAGCTAGCTATTTGGTATGTTGCCTATCATACGATATAAAAAAACATTAACGTTCATGCAAAATAAGCTATAAAAAAAAAAAAAAAAAAAAAAAAAATTGCACATTAGCTAGCTAATTGGTATGCTGCCTATCAGACCAAATGAAAACATAAGGAGGTTGAAATAAATTACCTTATCATTATCCTCAACGATATTCATATTCAGGCTCTTGATTTCTAAAAAAACTTTTCCCTTGTCGTAAGTTGCATTCTTAGAGTCGGGTTTCGGCCCATATCTTCAAAATGGAAATAGTGGATAAATTGCGTTTGTCGCCGGGGGAAGCATAAAACAGAGAAGAATATGTATATACATCAGGAAAACATGTGTAAAAGGCATATATATATCAGCCCAAAGAATTCATTATCCTCCAAACGGCTGCGTGAAGTGAGCAAAAATTTACAAATTTACATGAGTGCCAATATTTTGGTGTTTCCTAAGGAATAAAAGCATGATGCATCGGAATATTCATCGGCTCCCAGTTTTATAACTGAAAATGGGCGAGACAGAAGAGCATTTGTGTCATTATTATGTAGTAGAAGGGGGGTGAAGATTAGCCTGAACAGTATTCTGGAGATTTCCTCTGGAATGTTCGCCTAACGCGTTACTCCGGAGGGGCCTCGTCAAACACCTTCATTGAGCCAAGGTTGCGTGTGTCCCTCATCCAACACATGCATACGTGCATACATACATAGGTAGCACATACATAGGTAGCACACACGTAGGTAACACATATATAGGTAACACATACATAGGTAACACATACATAGGTAACACATACATAGGTAACACATACATAGGTAACACATACATAGGTAACACATACACATGAGCACGCACTGCACTCTCCGAATTTCATAGCAGGTGCACACGAATAATTACACATGTCCCTTATTTCATTGTTCTTGCGATTGTTTATTCTTTTGAATGTTCCACTCTTGCGGAATTCCTCATCGATTTTCTCTATTTTGCTTTTAAAGTTGTAGGGGGGGAGAGGGGCCTTATAATTCGGCATTTCCCTGGAACAGTTTTTTGTGGTTTCAGCAGTTATAGACTTTTACAATTTTCAATTTCTTGGAGAATTGCATATCTTCTTGTTTGCCAAGCTCTGCATCATAACTTAGCATTTTAATTACTGTTATGGTAAGGTGTACATATATAAATATGTACATTTACGAGTAAATATGTTAAATGTTCCGTCAACTGCAACAAGTGAGAACGCACGAATGTAGGAAGCAATTATAGTTTCAAAAGCTATATATTTTTTCGTTTATTAACTTTTTTATTTGATCTTTAGCATATTGGCTCTTTAGTTTTTTTTTTTTTTTTTTTTTTGCAAAAATTGCTGCGTGCAACCTGAACAACGTTCATATTTTTTTTTTTTTTTTTCCTCCAAACTTGTCATATCTGCTAAAGTAGCAATATTTTACTTCCAACTTGGTATACTAATTTTTTTTTTTTTTTTTTTTTTCTGTTCAAAATTAGTTTCCAAAATACGCCGTTTAAAATATATCCTTTTATGTATTCTCCTTTGTATGCCCCCCACTCCCATTTTTTTTTTTTTTTTTACACCATTATGTGCATTTTTTTGTTAACTCCTTAAATTAAAAATTTCACTTTAATCTCCATTTTAAGGAGAACTAGATGATGCTACGAAAAATTTACACTTTTACAACACTGATTCCTTACGTGGTCATTATTTTGCTAAGTTCATCAGAGGGGAGAAGAAAAGACGCCCAGCGGGATCGAGCGAAACCTTATTCCTTTCTTAGTCCAAATGTAATGCACAAACATTACATAAAAATATATGAACAGAATAAAAGGGAGAATAAGAAAAAGAAGAAAAAATTGGAATTGTTTTTTTCATACGACGATATAAGAATAGGCCAAGGATACGACATTCATAGGATATGCGTTTGTGAAGCGGAGGATAGTGCTTCTACGTCTGCTTCTACGCCTGCATCTACGTCTGCATCTGCCTCTACTTCTGCCTGTACATCTGGATCTGCCTCTACATCTGCCTGTACATCTGCATCTGCCTCTACTTCTGCATCCATTGATGGTGACACATTGGAACATCAAAATGATGGCATCGATAAACAGATTATGAAAAGATTAACTATAGGAGGGGTCAAGGTGAATAATATTTCCGTTCTTGCCCATAGCGATGGTGATGTAATTTTTCATGCATTAGTAGACGCTATACTTGGAGGTCTGAATTACTCAGACATAGGAACTTTATTTCCTGATCGCTCAGAAAAATACAAAAATAAAAATTCACTCTCTTTTTTAAGATATGCTAGATTTATTATGCATAAAAAGAATTACACCATTGGAAATATGGACATCATTGTCATTGCTGAAATTCCAAAGATAAGTCTCATTAGAAATCAAATTATTAGAAACATATCTTCCACATTGGCCATTTCTGAGTCAAAAATATCTCTTAAAGGCAAGTCCTACATACAAGAGCGCTCTGCTTGTCTGATAGATTGCGTATCTTATTGATTGCTTATCGTTTTCCCAGTTACCACTCCAATTGAGGGAGAAACAAAAATAACATCTTCATCATCCGTATAGTGTATATATAGAAAATATAAACAAATGTGTATGTAATACATCGAAATTGGTTCATTACAAAATGTATATCTATTATTATTCCCTCCTAACAACACACATAGGAAAAACGCATGAAAAATTAGGACCCATAGGAGAGAAAAAGGCAATCGAGTGCTTTGCAAATATTTTGTTAATTCGAAAAAAATAAAAAAAAAAATTATGAATTGTTCAGAAAATGAGCTTATCTTTGTTATTATACCATACTGTGGGGTAATTTCAATTTGCAAATAAAAATGTGTACATGAAAAATTTCTGTGTGTAAGCCAAGTACATCCGGTAGCTGTGTGCTTCATAGACGACTCGTCAATTTCTTGTTCTATGTCTACAATGTCTACGAGTGTGTCGATAATACATATATTTGTTTTTATTTCATTACTTCGCTATTTCATTACTTCGCTATTTCACTGCTTTTGCTATTTCACTGCTTCGTTAGTTTATTCTATTTTTTATTTTTTTTTTCGACCTCCACTACATGTACAGGCTTTCTCCAAATACACTCAGCTGGGGACTCCTTCAGGTGAACAATACTGCAAAATGGCGTATCTGAAAAAGAGAAGAATTGAGAGAAATATATGAGAAAAGGTTTCAAACTCAAAGTTATTTGCAATCATTTCGGTTGCCATAGTCCACATTATATCCATGTTTTTTTTTTTTTTTTTTTTTGTCTCGTTTATGTCTCATCTGATAACTTTTTTTTCTTTTTCTTTTTCGTTCTGTCATACTCTCCATAGTTGCACCAATCAGGAGACTTTTTGTTCAAATCTTCAACGATGTCTCTATTAACTCCACAACTGAAAAAAATGGGAAAGAAAATAAAATAAATTGGTTATGTAACAAGGGAGTGGCATGACAAGGGAGTGACATAACAAGGGAGTGACATAACAACTGGATGGCATAACATGGGGGGGGTGGAGCGTAATTCTTAGGGTCGAGATGCATCCCCCGTCATTTCCATCTATGCCACAAATGCACCCAAAGATAGATACACTTAGTATAGTTTCACGAGCGAAACCCATATTGTTATGACTTACCAGATTGGAGATTTCAAGCATCGCAAGGCGATAATTCTAACGGGAAAATATCCCAAAACATTTTTGTGCGAATGCCAAAAGTTAAACTTGAGGTCCCCAAGACACCTTCGATAATTTGCATCTCCTTTGAAACAAACAAAAGAACTTTTTTTCAATTCATCAACAAGAGTCTTTGGCATCACCCAGTAAGGGAGAGGCAGATTCCAGTACACGTGTTCCTGAGTGGGAGTGGAGAATGGGGGGGGGGAGGGGGGATAGTATGGGGACAATTGTATGTTAAAATGGGTTCTATCAAATGGATTCTGCTAAATGGGTTCTGTTAAATGGGTTCTGTTAAATTGGTTCAGTCAAATTGGTTCAGTCAAATTGGTTCAGTCAAATTGGTTCAGTCAAATTGGTTCAGTCAAATTGGTTCAGTCAAATTGGTTCAGTCAAATTGGTTCTGTCAAATTGGTTCAGTCAAATTGGTTCAGTCAAATGGGTCCGCTTGCATTTTTCAAGACTCTCGAACTTACTTGTATTTTCCATGTCTGTGTATCCAAGAACTTCTTCCACTTGTTCGCCATGAAAACTGTGTTAGGGTACTACAAAAAAAAAAAGAAAAAAAAAGAAACTCGACAATCAAGTGAATTTTGTTCGGGGAGTTGAACCCACAAAGTAGAAAACCATTTCAGCAGAATGATGAGCCAATGTAATCCATCCAGTTGGAATTCAAAAATAGTTATAATTCAATGCAGTTTAACGCATTTATATTAAGTATTTTTTTTTTTTTTTTTTTTTTTTTTTTACCTTTTCATCATTGCACAGAGAATCCAAAGCGTAGGTAATATCCTTGGCCATGGTATCCGAAACAAAGAGTGGGAATTTCTTCACGTGAATGTGCATTTCATCGAAATAGAAATTCAAGAAGTGTAGGAGGCATAAGTCTGTTATGAATTCTAATCCCATGTTATCTAGGACAATGTCGAATCGTGTCCATTTCTGTGGGTGGGCGTGAGTGGAAGGTTGACAAGTGGGCAGATAAGCACTTAGCACAACAAAATCGGTGCAACAGAATCGGTGCAACAGAATCGGTGCAACAGAATCGGTGCAACAGAATCGGTGCAACAGAATCAGCACAACAGAATCGACGCAACAGCGCCAAAGAGACGAGCTGGTGGGGCTCACCTTGGAAGTTATGTCCCTTCGAAGGATGTCCACATCATTGCATAGAACCTTGTGCAAATACATACTGTCATGCAATTTATTTATATCATCAATATCAAAATAAAATTTTTTTTCGCGTAAAGTTTTCTTCTTTATATCTTTTTCGTCTGATTTATGTTGTTCTGCCTTATTTTTTGTGGGGTTCCAACTAAGGTCAAACTGATTTGACCACAAAGAAAAATAAAAGAAAATATCAAAAATTTTTGCATTTTCAGAAGATTTATTTTCATACATTTCTAACAAACCTTTTGCACATGTACATATTTTTTCGATTACATTTCTGTTACAATTTATGGAATCCTTTTTTTCATATTCAAAGAAATCATAATTCGAGTTTTCAAAATCGTAAGAACAGCTCAGGTAACGATAAAAATAATATTCATTAAAAAGCCACGAGTTGTTAACAACTTTCATGTTTTTCTTGATGAAATAATCCAATAGAAAGTTCCAAAAGGTTATATCTTCTTTGCATTGTAACATTTCATATGTATGCTTATCTCCGTTCATAAACATATCTCTTATTTTTGCCAATTTGCCATCGATTTTCTTTTCTTTTGTGTATTCCTCATTGTGTTCCTCTACACCTTTCAGGATGGTTTGAGGAATTCTCCTTACTATGGTGTCATTTTCCTGTGATTGTTTTAAGTGGCGATGGAAAAAGGCACAATTGAGGTCTACATTTCAGGGATTATTTTGGTAATTTTTGGTGATATGGGCACCAAAATGTTGGACAGGTCTGTAGTGTCCCCTCAATCAGGTAGGTATACTCCGTTCTCAACTAGCACCTGATCAACTCATTCCCAATAGTTTTTTTCACTTTTTCACGTTTTCACATTTTCACTTTTTCATATTAGCAGTACCATCGTGTTCGGCTTCTCACATGTCAGAATCGGAGGTAAATTTTCATCTTCCCTCCTAAGGTATGTAAAGACGTCCTTAAAATTTTCGTAAAAATGGTTGAAATACATTGTATTAGTTGGAAATATGTAGTGGACTTTTTATAGGGGGTTAAAAAAAAAAAAAAAATCTTTTTTTTAGTGTGCTTTCTCAAATGTGTATTTTTTTTTTTTTTTTTTTTTTTTGATGAGGAAAATGGAATACTGAATATTATAATATTGTGCATTCGAAATGGATCTATTTTTATATTCTAAGTACTTTTTTTTTATAAAATGTATGCTACTCGAGAAAAGAAAAAGTACGGTAGAGACCTGTGGAGGGGTGGATCGGTATTATAACCTTTTTAATTCAAAAGTTTTATCGGAAATGTGGCAATTTTAATTCAAGCCTTTCATATTTTTTTTTTTTTTTTTTTTTCTCTTCATCAATTTTGGAACAAATGAAACCTTTCCTTCAAGCTACAAAAAGGTGGTAAATCCGTTGTTAGAATTATCTCCACATTGTTAAGAAGTATCTTTATAATGCTAGGAAGTAGTACTTCCATAATGTTGTGAAGTACTTCCATATTGTTGTGAAGAACCTCAATGTCGCTACGAAATGCCTGAACAATGACACAAAATACCTGCACACCTATTTTTTTTTTTTTTTTTTTTTTTTTCCCCTCTTCAAATTGAGCACCTATGGCTAGCTTTTTACTAACGGTTGTAAAAAGTATAACCTATTGGGAAAATTAAAAAGAAAAAATATAAAACGATGCCATTTCTGTCTAGTATCTGAATGGTTACAACACCCAAGCTCGTGGTGGAACAAGTGGATAAAAAGGCACATTCAGAAAATATATTAACATAATAAGTTTTCTTAGAAAAAAAAAAAAAAAAAAAAAAAAATGCAGTAGGGTAGTAATCGAACTATCTACCTCTTTTTCTGAGTTGTGAAATGAGGAAGGTGCAAAAAATGGAAGTAAAATGTAGCAAAATAGAGTAAATTTAAGTAAAGCTGAGTAAAGCTCAGCAAAGCTTGGTGAGGGAAAAAATCAAAGGATGACATAACCTTCTGCCATGCATTCGTACATGAACATGCTGTCACTTTGTTCTCGAGATCCTCAACTCTTGTGAAAGGATACTCGATACTCGGATTTACGTGCTTATACACTTATTTAATAAAGCTGTGTGATACACACCAATTTTACTGTAGTGACAAAACGAAAAAAAAAAAAAAAAATATTTCAACTTAAAAAAAAAAGACGTATATAGGAAGCACGAAATTATATACCTTTTCACATTATGTCTTTCTACATTTCTTGATGTTGATAAAGGGAACACCATAAGGGTAAGTAACTCCGATATTGGACTGTTTGTGTATAGTCCCTTGTGATAGATCCGTTGATGTAAACAAATAATTATTTAATATATTTAAGTTTTTCAAATGATATGCCTCATTTGGACCTGCTTTGCTCCTGTGGGAGATATAATTGTAAGGTTCATAAAATCTGTTTGGACAATACATGGAATTTATTTGCAATTTATTTAACCCAGTAGCATATAAGTTGATTTTTCTGTTTTCACCTATTCCATCAAAAGTTACTTCTTTATATCCAGGAAGCAAACTAGCAGAGACTTGCTGAGCATCATAATAAGACATTTCCTCTTTAAGTACATCGTTAGATGCATCATATACACCTGTGGTGAAATATGGATCTCTTGGTGCTGCTGTGAATAGTTCCTCCTTCACATGCCCTGGTGCTTTTTTACTCATCTTCTCATAGGATTTCCCATTTTTTCTGTAACCCTTTTGCATATTGTTCATGTTTTCTCCATTGTCCAATTCGTCTCGGTGCTGTGCCTTATCAAGTGAAGATGCTAATGCACCTACTGAGTTACTTCCATCATTTTGCATATCATTATGCAAGCCATTTTCCTCATGTACATTGTCATTTGAATCTGTTTTTCCCAAAGGTTGTTCATTTTTGGTACCCATTTGATGATTACTTCTTCCATTTTGTGAATTTCCACTTCCTGTGTCATCCTTCCTCTTACCATTAGTACCGTTCATCATGTTCATGCCTTTTTTTAATCCTAGAAAATGTTTCGTAATTTTATTTTTTTTTTTTTTTCCAAATTTTTCTGATGGTGTTAATAATTTACTTAACTTGTAATTATTTTTCCCTGCATTGATGATAGGATTGCTCAAATTGGGTAAATAATAATTTCTATTTTTTTTTGCAGGAGTATTTTTTGGAATATTAATCAAATAACTTTTCTTTTTTTCTTCAGTTGGGGTAATTAACTTTCTGTCTGCTTTTATCAATTTACTTCCTCTTGCATTTCCATGCAAATTTTTTTTTGTGGAATGTCGTGAGTTGCCGTTCCTTGGCTTTTCTTTCAAACTGCCACTGTGTAGTGAACCTTTCAAATTGCCACTGTGTAGTGAACCTTTCGAGCTTCCCCTGCGTAGTGTGCCTTTCGAAAAAAGATGACTTAAAAGGCCAAATTTGTTGCCATAAGATTTTTCCCCGTAACTGTCTTTATGATTTGTTTGGGAAATAAATCGTTCTAACACACGTAATTTGTTACCTTTTTTGTCAGAAGATGTAATAGAAGTGGTATCTGTTAATATTCGATTAAAATTTTTATATTTTTTTGTAACGGCTTTTATTTTCCTTTTACTTGAATTTTCTTTTTTCAATTTAGTTTTATAAAAGGCGCTATTATTTGCATATTTTTTTGATCCCCTTTGACATTTTTCGCTATCTGATCCTTCCAGGCCTTCCCGTATCATGATGCTGAGGTTCATTTTTGTTTGTGTCTTTTTTTTTCTTTTTTTTTTTTTTTCCCATACCTTTTTCTTTTTGATCCTCCTTTCTTCTTTTTTTAAATTCTATTTTCTTATCCTACTTTGTAGGAATATGGTTATGTGAATAATAAAATTGTCAAGTTTTCGTGGTAAGAGTTCAATAATGAACACTTTTTTTTTTTTTTTTTTTTTTTTAGCCACGTTTTACAACACGTTCCCAGGGGTAACAAAAGGAGGAAGATAAAAAAAAAAAAAAAAAAAAAAAAAACTTCTAAAAGACAATCAAGAAACTAATTACTTTATGACTTGTTCGTAAATAAACACACAAAAAAAGGTACAACATATATGTTAAGATAAGTGTTTTTTCCTTTTTTTTATAAGACTCCCAACTCACACGAGTTAAACATGTTCGTAGCTATTTTACATGAAACCCTAGTCCAGTGTGCAACGCAATTAAATATATATACACTACGCAGATAAAAGATGAAAAATGAAAAGTGGAAATCTAGCTAATAATGGAAAGTAAAATGATTTCAAAAAAAGAAAAAAAAAAAAAAAAAAAAATAGTGAAAATGTGTGTCTACTTATGTAATCAAATTTATGCACTGTCAATAGCTTAAACTATTGATAGCAAATTTTGAAAATTTTATTTTGATGTAGAACTCACCATTTTTTTTTTTTTTTTTTTTTTTCCCTACAGACTTGTTCTTTGTGCAGCTAACTCATTTTTTTTTTTTTTTTATCCCCTTTTTTCAAAAATGTTCTGAATTGTTCAGGCAAAAAATATGCAAAATAGAAAATGAACCAATAGACATGCACACACGTATACTGTACATGTGTAGCAAAACTTTATCCCCATTTTGTCATTATTTTCTTTAAATTTATTTTAACACATCACAGTTATATATATATATATATATCACAAAAGGACGGTCTTAGGACAAACTAGAGTAGTTTGCGTTCTCGTATTTAAAACGTGCCTTTGTGTCTATAACAGAAAAAAGCGACTACATGTACATGCATATATGTACATGCATGTAAGAACATACCTATGTGTAAAACCAACAACTACTTCCTCAGGAGCTATGCACACAAAACTGCATTAGAATTTAAAAACTAAACCACGCGGTCCTTCAGTTACGACACTACCATACCCCCAAACCCATTCTCGTAGGTTTTTTTCCGCACAAAATTTCCATAAAAAAAAAAAAAAAAATTATCAAAATAAAAGCAATAAACTTCTGATTTCAAAAAAAGATATAATTATAACCCAATTTAAACTTCGTAGTTGTGCTTAAGTGTGAAAGGGATAAAACAAAGTTACTTTTCTCAAAAGGTATATTGGCATCAAGCTGGATGCATGATGATTTACACTTTCTCAAGAGAATATATTCATTCTTATATGGTTTTCTTAACACAGCACATCTACCACATGTGTATGCAAGTGCATACAGATCTAACATATGAATGACCAGATCATCTTAAGTAATTTTTCTTAAGTATATTTTACAACTCAATACATGAAATCAAATTAACCATCTTGGTGTTCCTTCCCAAGTGGGATATATATACTATGTTGTGTGATTTAAAAGATGCACAAATTGGAAAAAAAAAAAAAAAAAAAAAAAAAAAAAAGAGTCTCATGTTGAAATGTTACAACCATGTTCTAATAATGCCATTAAAAAAAAAAAAAAAAAAAAAAAAGAGTCTTAAAAAAGGCAAAACGCTGCAATCTATAAACCTGCCAAATGGTAGTAAAACATCTTATCCATTTGGCAAAAATTCACATTTTTGAAGTTACTCCCACAAAATAATTTCACTTGTATCGGCTTGCTCGCACCATTTATGTACATCTTCCTGTGTGGCCACATGCACACGCAAATGGATGATCATTTCTACCTATTTAATTGGAAACCTTTAACTCCTTCTTCTCTTTTTGTTTCTTACGCTTCTAAATTCATTGAAATAAGAAAGGATGCTGAAGTTGTAAAGTTCCTTGAGTGGTTTAGATGGTATAAGTGAGAAATCTGCGAAGAAATCTTCTTGTGTGCACCATTTTTCGAAAGCCTGTAAAGGCGAGGGGGAAAGGCGGAACATTTTCATGCACATGCGTGTATATGTGAATAATGTTTTGCATATATGTGTGCACTACAGCACTATCATCTCGCACACCCATCTACACAGTCGCTAAACCGATGAACCGGATTGGGTGATAGAATAATTACATTTGTGAAGAGCGGGAACAATAGTAGGAGGAGGATCGTGAATACCCAAAAAAGAATTGCAAAAACAACCCATCCCCAAGGGATCATATCCATTTTCTCCCTCAACTCATCACTATAAAAAACCCCATCTGCAAATTCGATGAAAGCTGAAAGTAAAATAGATGTCCCTATATATTTGATACAAATAGACCAAAACATGGAAATATTTCCCATGAATACATTTCCACTAATGATTCTTTGGAGTTCCTTTCTCAAATCTTCGATGTTACCAATGTACAGGATGTACAGGATTTGCTTAAGAGGGGGAGGGGGAAAATGTAAAAATATGCATAAAAAGTAAAAACAACAATTCGTATGTATAATCCATTGGAATTATAAGAAAACAGATATGTACTTATGTGTATAAGACCATTTTTTTTTTAGACACATTTTTTTTTTATTTTTCTCTTCGCCACTCCGATTTGTACTTTCAACTGTGTGAAATCATATTTGAAGCTGCTCTTTTTTTTTTTTTGATTTTTCTATGATTTTCCCTTGTGTATCTCTTTTGTCAAACCTTGTAAGTAAGTTCATTGTAACTTCTTTGTACATGTTCCCTATTCGTCTCGGCCTGTCCTTTTAGAACCCAAATTGCCACCAAAGTGCTTAAAATGAATATTCCAAGTCTAATAATGTACAGTATGTATACATGATATGGTAGATAATTAAACAAAATGCTGAAGAAGATATTCAATGTCCAGTATGTTATATTGAATGATAGCACACCTATTATGACATATCAGCGGGAAGATGAGGGGGAAAAAAAAAAAAAAAAATAAATAAATAAATAGCGAGAAGTAACCCATGTGCTTCAAACCTCATTTTTCCATGTTTTTCTTCTACTTTCTTATGTTTAATTATTATTTTTAGACTCTCCAAAAGGGGACAAATGGAAGGTTCATTTTTAACTCATTATGGGTGTGTGTCTGTGGGTGTGCCCTGCACCCGCATCAGCGTCTGCATACCACTCTGCATACCACTCTGCACTTTAAAAAAACATCCTTTTTATTTTTCTCTTTTTCGCTCCAAGATGTCGAAAGACTTTCTCAGAAGAACTTACTTTTCCTCGTGAGCCTCCTAAACTGTGATTCAATGTTGCATAGCCATCCCAAAATGATGCAAATCAAAAGAGAAACAAAGACGCGCGCATTTTCAGAAATTGTGAGGGATAAAAACCAGAGGATGTTTTTCGCATTGTTGTTAGATATGAAAAAGGAAGACAAGAAAAAGAAAAATGAGAGAATCAAGACAATGGTTCGCTTCTTAACCTTCTTCGAAAATTTGAAATTTCGTATAGTCATTACTAAAACTTCACACTGTATGGCCAAGGAGACACAGGATAGAATAGTGTAGGACCCGTAGTATAACATGCACAAGGTTTTCTACAAAGTGGAAAAACGTAGACACAAAAATGGAAATAGGAATGGATATAGAGAGAAAAAGCGAGAAAAAAAGAGAGAGAAAAAGAGAGAAAAAGAGAAAAAAAAAAAAGGGGTTAACATGGGAGAATTCGATCAAGACGGATCGGGGGAAAAAAAAAAAAAAAAAAAAAAAAAGTATACTCACATGTGTATGAACTCGGATGTAATTTTCCATCTTTGCATCCTACTCTCCTCTCCTCTTTTTTTTTCTTCTTTTTTTTTCTCTTATTACCTCCATCCTTTGCAGGTGCGTAAAACCTACAGGAAATAGAATGAAAGAACAATCCTTTCTGGAAAATTCCAGCATCTCCACGAAGTGTGAACTTATGTTATTCGCAATGAAACCAATAACCGCAACTGAGTGGGCGAACAGGATAAGAAGACAGGGAGAAGAAGTGGACATAATGAAGAAATGAACATTTAGTCTGGATTGGCATGATTGAGATTCATTTTTGCTTTGACCCCTGATTACAGAAATCTACTTTCCCCCATTTGTGCAAAACCTCACCTGCTGAAAAGAACATGAGAGACGATATTATAGAATTCCACATGGTAATTGCGTATCCATCGAAAGCCAAGTTGGTTCCAATTCTGCAAGGCCAGGAAAAGGGAAAATGGGAAATGCAAAATGGGAGAGAAGCTGAAGTAGAAATGAAAATGGGAGAGTCGCTGAAGTAGAAATACAAAATAAGCAAGAAGCTGAAGTAGAAATGAAAATGGGAGAGTCGCTGAAGTAGAAATACAAAATAAGCAAGAAGCTGAAGTAGAAATGCAAAATGGGAGAGACGCTGAAGTAGAAATACAAAATGAGCGAGACGCTGAAGTAGAAATGCAAAATGGGAGAGACGCTGAAGTAGAAATACAAAATGAGCGAGACGCTGAAGTAGAAATGCAAAAGTTTTCCTCTTGCTAGCGCTGCATATGGAACCGGTTCAGAAAATGAAGGGTGTACCCTGGTTCTCCTTTGTCATAAAAATATACCTCGTTTTGGTGGCTAGTGAGGAGTAAATTCCCATTCCTATGGAGAGTTCGTAGAGGGCGAAGGAAACACACTGAGACCATATGGAGGAGTAGGTGTACAGGTAGGAGAATTTCCAAGACTCTAATGGGGGTGGGGGAGGGGAAGGAGGCGCGCATATCCATATGTATATATGTGCATGTGTATATATGTGCATGCGTAGAGGTGTGCATGTGTAGAGGTGTGCATGTGTATATATGTGCATGCGTAGAGGTGTACTGGTGGAGGAGCGGGGAAAGACAGAAGCTGCATGATAAATCTGTACACAGATGAGAAGACACGTCATCACGGAGATGTCTCCCCATCTGATTAGCAGTAGCATGTTCACCACCAGTTCTACCACACCTACGCATCCCTTTAACTTACTGAGGACATAGAGGTACGTTTGAGTAGCACTGGTCAAGTTGAACATGGTGGCAAACTGTGTAATAGATAAAAATCCAATAAGGAGGAGGACGAGGGCAGCGGAAAAGGCAAAATTTGTCAATCCCAAAAGCTGAAAGATAGTTACAAAAAAATTGCAAACGAAAAGAAAAATAAAAGTGTCCTTATCCATGTAAGAAGTTCCATTTGAAAATATATGAGCAAAGTTTTGATTATCATCTATTTTTAATAATCGATTATAGAAAAAATTGGGAGGGAAAAATTTATTCTGATATATTAAAAATGCTTTTCCTAAACTATTAGGGACACATGAAGAGATTTGTTTTGAAAAGAAACACAATGGTCTAAACCTATGACATTTAACAAAATCATTTTTAAAACTTGTACAGAAACTTATCTCCTTTTCGTTTAATTTCCATGGCAAATCTTTTTTAAAAGAATTGACTAAATATATAAAATATTCTGCAGCAGTTCTGTATGTATTTATATAGCTATTTATTACACATGTTATAACCATTAAAAATCCAACAGATGCACATTGTTTTAGGAGTCTATAAAATATAAATGGAGAAGAGGTTCTAACCAACTGTCCAATATACAATTCAAATGTCAATATAGGATGACAGACAAAACAGTAACAAATTATGTAAGGTAATACAAAAATAACACCATGCCATGTTGACATTAAAGACCAGAATGTTTCGATATTTCCAACACCAATAGCTATTGTTAACCCAAGAAGAAATAATGATAATCTTTCCAACCAGTATCCTTTACTTAACTGATAATCTAGCCATTTCAATATCCTTATGTTTGCACTTTTTAATGTTCTAGGATTATCAAATAAATCACTTAACTGGGAAATGTATTCAGGTGTATATCTCAACTTAATCAGCTGTTCCAAAAGGTTTATTTCTTCTTCGTTTGTAATATTACTAGTATCACTCATACTGTTTAATTCACGTATATCACATAACATATTTGTCTTAACTTGGTTTCCTAGCATTCCATCTGTACCACGATTATGAGTCATCATAATATCTACACAATTTTGAGAGAGCAAACTGTCGTTTTTATTCACTGCAATTCCAGCTGTCAGACTATAATGAGGATTACCATTAACCACTATTTTTCTTCTATTCCATAAATCTTTTAACCCTCTACTCGTTGTCTTCCCATCAGCAAAATATTCCCTGTATTTAGATCTGAATTTGACAACTTGCTGTCTCTTCTTTTCTCGATAAAGGTACTCGTTTAATCTCCTTTCGCTCAGTTTCTTCTTGGGTTCAGCAGTTCCCTCCCCAATTTGATTCAGCTCCTGATTCTGCTCATGTTGCTGCCTCTGCTTCTGGTTCTGCTTCTGGTTCTGCTTCTGGTTCTGCTCCTCATTCTGCTCATGATGCTGATCCTGTGGATCCTCGGCCACCCCCGGCAGATCATCATTATCATCTCCGAAATACCTTGAACCCAAATATTTCCTATTCACATTGACACAAAAATCATTCTGGTACTTCTTCCTGGTATACACATTTCGGTTGCTATACAGATTCAAAGCCTCCTTATAAATCATCTCTTGTTCATAACTCCTTGCATAATTGGACCTCTTCATATAATCATTGTACAAATCTATTGTGTTGTAATTATGAAATTTAGAACTCTTGTAATATGTTTTATTTTGACTATACGCTATCGATTCATCATATAACATAGCCCTAATTTTTTTCGTGTATACATTTTCTGAGCGAATACCAGAGTTTTCATTTTTCTCCTCCCCCTCAGATATGTCACTGCTGCTTTGACTGAAGCTGAACTTTCGTCTTGACATTTCCTGCGTCTTTTTTCACCGTTCTGATGCTTGTATCACTGCTGAACTAGCGATGAACTTAACTCAGACTTGTCAGATCTGATGCCCACGAGCGCCTTGTCACAAGGAATTTTATCCGCGCTACCCTTAACTATAGCTTGTTTTCCCACGAAAAGAGGGAGAAAAAGAGAGAGAGAAAAAAAAAATAAAGAAAGAAAATTAAAAAAAAAAAAAAAAATTTCCGTATTGTGAAAAAAACATTAATTCGTTCTGCCCTTACACATGTTCTTTTCACCATCCTGGTGCGATGTGCATGCATGCAGTTACACATTTTGTTCTTTTGACCTGTCCGTTTTTTGTTAAAAATTTTCCCTTAAAATGTGAAAATAGCGAAAAAGAGAGTTGGCAATATTGCAAAAAATGAGAAAAATTACAAAAAATGAGAAAAATTGCAAAAAATGAGAAAAATTGCAAAACTTGAGAAAAATTGAAAAAAATTGCAAAAAAATTAAGAAATAATTCCGAAAATATTCCGAAAAAAACAGCCAAACGCAAGGGATGGGAGGAGAGTTGCATCTCCAGCCAACAACCCCCGTTTCACAAAACTTGACCTTGTCAGTTTTTTCTCAAGTCACATTTCTTTACATCATTCCACTTTTTTTATACAATTAACCAGTTGACACATTTTTCCTTTCATCTTTGAAATATTTCCTTTAGTTAAAATTTCATTTAAATGTTATTGCTACGAGATAAGTGTCATGGCCATGTGTGTCCACGTGTCATATTTTGCACCCTTTTGACACTACTTCTACTGTTGCTACTACCGCTGCTTCTGTTTCTGCTACATGTGCATACTGCTTTAAACTGGATGAAGAAAGACCATCTTGGTACTTGGTAGCGGTTCAGCCTGAGAAAGTTCCCCAGGTTTATACGTCTAATCGAGTATCACTCCTCATCACTCCTCAATTTTTCTGAATTTCTAATTTAACGGTTAAAATGTTTTATGTGATAAGGTTTTTTGTGCACATTGGTCAAGTTGCATAAAAAGTGTATATGCGTATACCGGGGTTCGGTGTCAAATCTCATTATGCACGTTTCGAAGGAGAAAAAAAATAAAATAAAATAATTTGCCACCACTTTGGAGACAAGTTTGAAAATGAATTTTCAAAAAAAATTAAAAGTCTATCTTCAGCGGGGAAAGATATTTTGGTAAAGTTGTTTGCATGCTCCTGTGTGTACAGAAAGGTTCTTGTTTGTGTTTTCGTGTTGCCTGTGCAAATCGCTGGAACTACAGAGGAAGTGAACTCAGCTCAAGGTGTAACTAATGACATCGCTTATTATACTGAAGGATGATGAGTCAACACCCTCTGTGCCCTTGGGTTCCAAATTTCTCACTTCGGATTCATATGAAATGTTATTGTCGTGAACTTCATTGTTGCTGCTGTCACTTTCCCTCCCTGTGTCCATTCCCCTATTTTCATCAACATCATTTAAAACAGACAAGTACAAGTTAATATCTTTCCACGCTTTCGTTTCAATGTCATCGAGGGGATTGTACTTTGCAAAATTAATCTCTGTCATAGAGTATGCTTTCTCTTTTTCTCCCTTCCGTACACTTGGTGTGCTTGGGCTTTGTGCCGCATTGCCTCCTATCACTCCACTGCTTCTTATCACTCCACTTCTTTGTTCAATCAAACTTTCCCCTTCCGGTTGGCCAACCGACTTAAGGATGGGTTCATCGCCAATATCTTCTGCATCTTCGTAGTAAGAATAACGCGTGGTTCCTAATCCTGTTTTGGCTAGCTGTTTTTGTCCTTTACTCAAGTGTATTCCCTCCAAAACCATCCCTTCTTCTCTGATTTCCTCTGCTTCCAATCCCTCGGGTGCGCTAGGAAAATGCTTTTTCAAAAATCGGCACAGTATTCCATCGATTTTAAAAGTATCTTTGTCATACACAATTTTAGTTCTGCACGAAGGACACTTGTCCATGGAATATTTCTGAATGGCTGTCGCTAAGCATTTCCAACAGAAAGAATGAAAGCACGTATTTAGAGTTACAGGATCATTGATTAAGCAGAGACATATAGGGCAAATGTAGTTTTCAAAAGATATAGGACACTTGCATAGATGTTCCATGAATTCGTCTGAGATTATGTTTATAGATGATATTAGTTCGGGCAGTTCATTGGAAAGGCACCATGAGTACGTGCCCATGATGTTTGTCACTGAATTTGAGAGGTACCGATCGAATGCATTCTCTGAAATTCTCCCACCCACGCTACTACCACTTCTGCCACTAGCACCACAACAAATAATCTGACGCTGGAGAGGAACATGAAATTTCTTCTGCCTCTTCTTGAGGATTTTCAAGAGGCCTATGTAATTGTACACTACATAAGTCCTAATAATCTTGCACTTGTTGGAGAGCAAACTCAATCGGACACAGAAATCAAACAACTCTTGAGACATGATGCCCCTCTCTTTTAATATGTCTAGTAACGAATCAAACGATAGAATCTTTTTCTCAATTTTCATCTCTTCATTGTCAAAAATGTGAGGAGAAAATTTCTCTTCAATTTCATTTTTCATATTATTAATTTCGGTAAATAATCTTCTAAACGTTTTTTCAATTATTCTCAAGTCACGGTGTAACATGGTTTCAAATTTCTCACTCAATTTTTTCTCTTCTTTACACCTTTCTTCCATTCGACTTTTGTTAATTTGCTTTATTAGCCTTTTTAGTTCTTTATATCCTATATAATGCATACCAAGGTGATTCTGAATTTCTCTTCTTATGCTCTTTCCAAACTTCATCCTTACTCAACTGATTAATATTTGTAAAAAATGACGATAAGAAGAGACAGAGTGAGGGATAGAGAAAACGATTTTACAGCAACCAAATGTATAGATTCCCTTTACCCCAATTCAACGTTTTTTTTTTTTTTTTTTTTTTTTTTTGAGATTACTCAACACATTCCAAGTGTAAGATTTTTATCTGAATGAGCAAAGGTGATCCACAAAGCACACTGTTCCGATTCACGCTCAGGTGAAATCTTCTCTGCGCGGGTACCAGGGGGAGCTTATACATGCATACACATACACACACACACACACACACACACACACATACACACATACACACATACATATACGTGCGTATGGAGGGGGCAGACTCGTCTCTCCTCTCACCAAACGGATTGTTATCAGTTTATACAATTATGCAGACATGAAACGTGTACACGCAAATGCGAAATGTTTTAGACGTACAGTAAGTAGGAGAGATAGAAAGATCAGTCATTCTGGCACAAGTCATTAAGCGCATATCAGGAGAACATGGTTTCGTAAAAAAAAAAAAATTTCAACATGTTTGTTCCGAGAATATGCCTTATTTTAATATTCCTATGGGCAGCTTTACTTTTCCATTTGGTAGTAAAATCGCCTGAACAGGCAATATAATTTTATGTACAATAAATATTGGGTATATATAACAACATACTCTTCCAAATAATCATAAAACGTTATATTCTCTGCAATAAGTGAAAAAATTATATCGTTATTTCTGTCTACATAATTATGTCCATTTAAGGAGTAATGTACGAGATGAAGAAAGTCCAAAGAGTTAAATGTTAAAAAAGCAGTTGCTTCACAAAAGAAAAAAAAAAAAAAAAAAAAAAAAACATGTGATGTAACTGTGAGAGGAAAAACTGTGATAAAAATGAAAAAAAAAAAAAAAAAAAAAAAAGAAGAAGAAGAAGAAGACGCTAATAAGGAAGTTAACCATACTAAATTAAGGAGATGCATTTTGTGTTGAAAAGATACATCGATCATCTTGTGGCAGCGTTCTTTTTTTTTTTTTTTTTTTTTTTTTTTTTTTTTTTGCACACGCATTGGTGGAGGTTTCGAAGGGGCTGGAATTGACCAGGCGCTTGTAAAAAAAAAAAAAGAAATGGGCGAAAAGAACGAAACGAGGGGAACCATTCCAAAACATTTTTGTCTAATCCGGTCAAACATACGAGAAACTTATAGATACCTACCCCATACACAAATGCGACAAAAACAGCTCATACAACAACAGAAGTCACGGTCGATAGGCACAAATGTAGACAGAACAAATTGCCAGGATGAGGAAAAATATGTCGCGAAATCGAAATAATCACATTTTTATGGTTATTTAAAATGATTTTATTGTTCAAGGAATTTGAAAATTGGGAGGAAATAACACAACGAACTCATATGTAGAGGAAAACAAACTATGCGCTATACTCGTTCACATAAAAAAGGTAAAAAAAAAAAAAAAAGAATATCAAAAATTGTTATTTGTATAGCCAACAGTGGTAGAAACATCACATCAACAGTTATATACCACCCCTACAACTACAACTGCAACTGCAACTGCAACTGCAAACAGCTCACATTTCGCTTGTTAAAGAAAATTTAACGAACAGGAGAGGAGGATATTTTATTCTTTTATTTTGATGAATAAGACAGAACATTTATACCCACAGATACATGATTTATCAACCTTTAATGGTTAACACCAAGGTGAACAGAAATTTGAAAAAGTAAAATATGTAAATGCTGTGTGTATATACAACGAAGCAATAGAAAGAATCGCTCCCCATGTTACATTGACAAAGATTATGCAAAGGATTTCTTTTTTTTTTCCCAATTTATAAACATTTCAACCTTATCCTTTTTTCTCTTCCTTTTTTCATCTCTTAATGTATAGTGAAAATATTTATATTCACTTTGTATGTGAAGCATGTGTTGCGTTGTTTGACATCACAATTCCTCATTTTCAGCAACGCAAGTGTTGAGAAGGTGTTCTTTGCACAAACGGAAAAAAAGGCCAATACAGTTTTCCCTATCATATGTTAGATTATGCCCATTCTTTTATATCTCTCTTTTTTTTTTTTTTTTTTTTGGTTTTTAAAAAATGTTATTTCTTCTGATGTTATATAAAAAAATATTTTACCACTCAAATTTTTGCATGCATGTGAATGTATTTTGGGATGTTCATTTGGGGGTAATTGAGCGATTTGTGCTTTTTTTATATGAACTGTTCATGCGATTTTTTTAATTTTGCACAATTTTAAACAATTTTGCCTATTTTTGCACAATTTATTTTATTTTTTTTTATTTATTATTATTTTTTTTTTTTTTTTTTTTTTTTTGTGTAAATCACCGAATGGCTAGTCGTGTAGGTTAAGAAAAACTTCCTTCTTGTCGTCTCACAACCCTTTTCAACACTTTTTGAATGTACACCCCCCATCAGGAGGACATTATTTAAATTTTATTTTCAAAATTGAATTTGCAAAAGTTGATAATTTTAAAAATGTACTTCTTGCATATCTTCGTAAGTGCATAAATAGGTGTAAAAAAACAGCGCACGTGTGCACGAAATGTAATACGTGCAATATATTCCGCATGTGTCACATATACGCATACACATCCACACATCCTCTGCATATCTATACTTAGGTTCGTGCATTTTCATGAAACACACCAGTTCTTACATATAGCCCCATATGGGCATGTGATGACATAAATATATACATATATATATATTCACAATGGATTTCCCGCACAATGCGCATGGTGGATGGCTATGCATAGGGTGAAATATGTGTAAGTAGCTATGGGTATGTAGTTTTGGGTATGTAACAATGTATAGGGAGCAATATTTACGTAACAATGTGTAAATAGAAATGGGTATGTAGCAATGTGTAAGGAGCAATATTTACGTAACAATGTGTAAATAGAAATGGGTATGCAGCAATGTGTACGTAGCAATGTGTACGTAGCAATGTGTACGTAGCAATGTGTACGTAGCAATGTGTACGTAGCAATGTGTAGGGAGCACCATTCATGTTGCAACATTTTCCCCAAATTATCTTCGCCCCATTGTCTGCGCACCGATGTGCCTGCTGTAGCAATCGATTGGCTAGCCAAATGAGAGAAAAAAAAAAAAAAAAAAAAAAGAAAAGGAAAAAGCCATCCATCAAGCAATTCAGTCTTTTCCTACTGATTAATATATTCATTGCAATCAATTTTGTTGGGCATTTCCGAAATGGCTACCTCAAATCTGGTCTGGACTTCGTTCAATGCTAAGGTATCCTCCTGTGAGGAAACGAAAGTAACGGCAAGACCTTTAGTTCCAAATCTTCCAGCTCTGCCAACTCTGTGAAGGTAAGAATCCGAATTTTCTGGCATGTCATAATTAATGACAATGTTTACTCTCTCAATATCAATACCTCTACCAAATAAATCGGTTGAAACTAAAATTCTGTTTTCAAATTTTTTAAATTTATCATATCTTTCAATTCTCTCCTGTTGGTCAAGACCACCATGTATAGCTATGGAAGGAAAATTACATTCAGTTAATAATTTATCTAACGTAATTGCCCTAGTAACAGATTTTACAAAAATGATAACTTGATTAAATTCTAATGCATCTAAAATTTCGATTAATTTTCTTGTTTTGTCTTTTTCTTGTAATTTCACATAATGTTGTAATAAACCATGTAACTTCAGCTTAGCTTCATCATCAATAAAAATTTCCACAGGATTTTGTAAAAATTTTTTGCAAACATCTCTCATTTCTTTAGCCATAGTAGCTGAAAAAAACATTACTTGTTTTTTTAAAGGAGTAGAAATAAAAATTTTCTGTACATCACTTCTCATATCTAATTTTTCTAAACATTTGTCACATTCATCTAAAACAAAATGTTGAATTTTATCTGTCAACAAATATTTCTCTCTTATTAATGCTAGTATACGTCCTGGTGTTCCTATAATTATATGAGGAATATTTTCCTCTTTAAACATCTTTATATGTTTACTCATAGATATACCACCATATACAACTTCACACCTTACGCCTTTTAAATATTTACTAAACCTGTCGAATTCGTTCTTTATTTGATATGCTAATTCACGTGTGTGTGCTAGTCCCAAACATCTGACATATTTATTTTTTGACACGGTACTGTTACTATTTAAATCTCCTCCGATGTTGTTGCTACTGTTGTTATTGTTTATATCCTTTTCCTCTTTTATATCTTTACTATCGTTCGTTTCTAGTTGTTGTAGGATGGACAAGACGAACACAGCCGTCTTTCCCATTCCACTTTTTGCTTGACACAAGATATCCGTACCTGCAGGGGGGTGAGCAAGGGCGATGTGATTAGCGGTGCAGTAACGTAGCGGTGCAGTAACGTAGCGGTGCAGTAACGTAGCGGTGTAGTAACGTAGTGGTGTAGTAACGTAGCGGTGCAGTAATGTAGCGGTGTAGTAACGTAGCGGTGCAGTAATGTAGCGGTGTAGTAACGTAGCGGTGCAGTAATGTAGCGGTGCAGTGGTGTAGTATTGCACTGGTGTGGTAAGGTAGTGGGATAGTGGAGTGGTGGTTAGAGGGATATTAGTCTATGCTGCACTTCTGAGCCGTGCGTTCGGGGAATTAAAGCACGGGAAAATGGTTATACAATTTTTTTTTTTAAATTTTTTTACTTAAAAAAAAATTACCTGTAATAGCTGCGGGAATGGTTTCTTGCTGTACCTCGGAGGGATGCTCAAAGCCACTCTCACTTATGGCTCTGAGTAATTCTGGTTTTAAAAAAAAATCCTTAAATCCTCCTGTATGAACAGTGGCATAACTACCTCTCATGGCTCCATTTTCGTTTACTCCTTTATTGTTATTATTTAAAAGACTGTTTTCTAAATTCCCTTTAACATCCTTCGCATCTAATATGTTTTCATCATCTTCATAATCAACTAATTCGTCCTGCACGCTGTGATCCATTGTTGTCATTGCTTTTTGTTTGATAAATTGTTAAGATTCAATAGTATTCCTCAAGACGAGAAATTTCAGACGGAGATAGATTGGAGGTTGTAGAAAATTGCAAAACACGCAAAAGGTGCGAATGATGAAATAAGGGTGATGGAAAATAGGAGTGGAGGTGTGACGAATGGCTCTTTACCAACTCTATCACATGTATTTTCCCTAAAAAGTAGCGAGTTTTTCAATATCTCTGAAAAACGGCTTACTTGTACTCTCTATATAACATAAGCATATGTATATTAAAAGTTTTTTCTTCCTTTCGTTTTTGAAATTTCGTGAAACGGCGTTTTCTCATTTTTTTTTTTTTTTTTTCTGCTTTATTTTTTTAGCATTATTATTTTTTTTTCCTAAGGCTTGGGGATTTTTTATCGCCTTCTGGCCTTGTAAAAATCGTTTTGCATACTTTTGTGGGCTTAGAATAAAATTCGGCGTATTGTTCGTTTTGTTTTGTTTTGCTTTGTTTTGCTTTGTTTTGCTTTGTTTTGCTTTGTTTTGACTTTGTTTCTTTAATTTACGTTTTGTTTTTTTATTTTTGGCTTATGTTTTCGCTTCTTTTCACTTAGCTTTTCTTTTCATTTTTTTTTTTTTTTTTTTTAATATCCTGTTGATTTAGTTTTATATTTTTTTTTTTTTTTTCCCGTTTTTTTTTTTTTTTTTTTTTTTTTTTTTTTTTTTTTTTCCCCCTTTTTTTTTTTTTTTTTTTTTTTTTTTTTTTTTTTTTTTTTTTTTTTTTTTTTTTTTTTTTTTTTTTTTTTTTTTTTTTTTTTTTTTTTTTTTTTTTTTTTTTTTTTTTTTTTTTTTTTTTTTTTTTTTTTTTTTTTTTTTTTTTTTTTTTTTTTTTTTTTTTTTTCTTTTTTTTTTTTTTTTTTTTTTTTTATTGCTTTTGTTTTCCTACCCCACTTTATTTTTAGCTTTTCGACGTTTCTTCAAATTTTTGCTTGTTTTTGTCGTACTATGGATTTATGTTTTATTTTGTGTATTTTTTATGTTTTGTTTATTTTATTTCGCCTATTTTGTTTTCTTTTTCTTTTTTCTTACAATTTCCAAACAAGAAGAGAGCGGCTACTTTTTTTCTGCACAGTACGTGAAAGAATTACGTTTTCACATGCCAAAATTGAAAGAGTCGTAATATATTTATTTTCTCATACTTGCAGAAAAAGGTGAACCTCACAGCATCATCTTTTCGGTTCAATCCAACGGCTCTATGCATACATATACAAACGTACATGTATGCATATATTTGAGTGTAGCAGTAGCAACAAAAATGAGATCATCGCGCATGTAACTATTTCCGTTGAACACGCTTATATATGTATATATATATATATATATATATTATATAAAATGATAAACGCTCGCGCTTGCTGGGAGAATATACCAAAGTTATGTGCATGCATGTATATATATATAGATACATATTTTCTGTGCCTATATAAGTGCAGGGGGAAAAAACGTTAAAGGGGCACTTTAAAAAAAAAAATGTACTCGTACAACTTTGGAGACCACGAGGGGAATTACAAGAAATTATGAGAAATTACAAGAAATTACCAGAAATTATGAGAAATTACGAGAAATTATGAGAAATTACGAAAAATTATGAGAAATTACCAGAAATTACGAAAAATTATGAGAAATTACGAAAAATTATGAGAAATTACGAAAAATTACCAGAAATTACGAAAAATTATGAGAAATTACGAGAAATTAAATGTACCCCTCCCATACACAGTGGTAAAAATTTTATGAACATTTTTTTGGAGAAACAAATATATATGTAAAACGCATGTGCCCGTGTTTGTGCATATGTTATCTTATTAACACATTAACATATTAACTTATTAATTTTTGAACGTTTTAACGTGCATTTTCACATTTGCCCATCCGTAGTACTGCACGTTTGCTTTAACTGCCAACATACAAGAGTCGTCTCCAAAATGGCATTTCTCCCAAGTTGCATAACTGAATGAGAAAAGAAAATCCATGTTACGTAGTTATGCTTAATTAAATTTATTTGATCGAAGTAGTTATGACGTATGTTATGTGTGATACATGTATGTGTACATATATATGTTTGGGTCTAGCTATACTCAACTATTAACCTTGTGTAACAGTGTACCCATTATATTTACGGCAGATATAAAGCCCCACACACACACAAGTACAAAAATGCTTCTATTTGCACACTTTTACTTAGTGTCGCAATTTTTGTAGAGATTAAAAAAACAACATCACAATGTTGATATTAAACTCCTTTTTTTTTTTTTTTTTTTTTTTTTTTCAAAATTGCATTCCTCTAGTGTGAAAAATGTAACGATACATTTACATTCAGACAAATGTATGCACAATAACTCTAAATGCATATAAATATACACTCCGTGTGGCACATTATTTTGTTCAATTTGGTTTGTGCAAATGGAGAAAAATTCGAAATCGTATAAGAAGTAAAATTCCAAAACATATCAAAAAGGTGCTTCAGTTAAGTATATTCATAGATTGAACTTGATAACCGGGCACATACAACTTAGACATGCAGAATAATATGCAGATCAATAAGTTTTGTCTGATTTGGGATAGTTCAAAAAAAATAAAATAAAATAATATAAAATTAAAGTACATATAAAAATAATAGCATGAATTAAAATCCATTTCCACCTTAGATATAATAAAAGTGTAAAGACAGTAGGAAAACGCTTTATGTTTACTCCCTATTTTTTTTTTTTATTAATATTTTAATTTATTGCTGTGACGTGAAGAGGGAAACAAAATACAACTCTCATGTGATATGACCTCTTTTTTCCCTAACCCGTTTCGCTAATCTTAGGTGCGATATATACATATATATATATATATATAATCTCTTCCCTCGCAATACCAATTTTTATTTTGCTCTTTTTTTCATTTCTCCCAAATTAAGTGAATCTGGTTGTGCACATAGAAATGCCAGGATGCAGTGGGCATATTAACATTTTACATGGCCAATGGCGAGCTTAACTTTTGACATTGGAGGTATAAGATGAAAGAAAAAAAAAAAAAAAAAAAAAAAAAAAAGGGATAAAGAAGAGTGAAAAAAAAGGGATAAAGAAGAGTGAAAAAAAAGGGATAAAGAAGAGTGAAAAAAAAGGGATAAAGAAGAGGGGAAAAAATGGGGAAAAGACGAGGGAAAAAAATGGGGAAAAGACGAGGGAAAAAAATGGGGAAAAGACGAGGGAAAAAAATGGGGAAAAGACGAGGGAAAAAAATGGGGAAAAGACGAGGGAAAAAAATGGGGAAAAGACGAGGGAAAAAAATGGGGAAAAGACGAGGGAAAAAAAAGGCAAATTTATTCCTCTTTCCCCCCCCCTCCCCCTGCAGTTTTGGTGTCCCTTTTTCTTTTTTGCTGAAATTTCGTCTATACACAATACACAGATCGTTTAACAGATTGGTTAAATATCCAGATGAGTTAGTTTCTTATTTTCTTAAAGCCTTTGTTAAACGCTAAAAGCAAATGTGTTACCTGCCTTTAGCTCATGTTTTTTTCTACATATTTGTAACTTGCATACGTGAAATGTATCCATAAAAATGGATATAAATGGGCATAAATGGGTATAAATGGGTATAAATGGGTATAAATGGGAATAAATGAGAATAAATTGGAATAAATGGGAATAAATGGGTATAAATGGGAATAAATGGGAATAAATGGGTATAAATGGGAATAAATGGGAATAAATGGGTATAAATGGGAATAAATGGGAATAAATGGGAATAAATGTCTATAAAATATTTATGCATAAGTATGTACGCATATGTATGCACGAATAGGTACGTATAAATGCGAATATGTAAACATGTTCATATGTGTTATTCCCCTTTGTGCTTTCCCCCCTCCACTATCCTGGGGAGTATCCAAAAATATATATTATACAATCTTAAAAAAAAAGAAAAAAAAGAAAAGAAGCGAAACGAAATGAAACGAAGCGAAACGAAATGAAACGAAGCGAAACGAAGCGAAACGAAGCGAAACGAAGCGAAACGAAGCGAAACCAAACAAAAATGAACAACTGATTAGTTATTCTATTCGTTCGTTTACTTGTTCATTCATTTTTTGACATATTTTGGTTAATTTATAAAGTTCGTTAAATTGAGCTAACAATTTTGGCATATTAATCAGCCGGGTTTGCGGACGGGGGAATTATTGGATATTCTTGGGCAAGTTGCAAAAAAAAAAAAAAAAAAATAAATAAATAAAAAAAAAAAAATAAATAAATAAAAAAAAATAAATAAGTAAAAAAAAATAAATAAAATAAAACAAAACAAAATAAAACAAAACAAAATAGAACAGAATAAAACAAAATAAAACAAAATAAAAAATAAAACAATAAGAGGCAACAAATACGCAGGAAAACAAAAAATATAAGAATAAAGTACCAAGTAAAAAGCAACAAATAAAAAATAGGTTAACTATTTCCTTATTCGCCTTTTTTTTGCATCCTGTCCGCATGTATATATTTTATTTGATATATCCAGTATCTCTCAACTTCTGAAAAAGCAAAGAAGCGTGAACAGTTAAGGTTAGTCGGGAAAAAATTAAAGAAAAAAAAAAAAATACAGAAAAGAAAAAATAGGCAAATTGGAACAGTTGCATGGGGGAAAGCTGTTAAATAGGAAAAAAACAAGTACATGAAAAAAAAAAAAAAAAAAAAAGCATAGCAAAACATTGCAAAACATTGCATAACGCAAAGTACGCGAAGATGGATTATTCCACATAACACTTTAGCACATACACTTGCTAGCTTTTGTGTATGACTTTTGGCCTATTTTGAATATATAAAAGCATTTCCCCAAAATGTCTAACATCTCTTCCAGTGCACATGAATGTACATATGCACGTGTGTCTTTTATTCATTGTTTGAATGCTTATAACACTTTGTCAGCTTTTAAAAAACGCACAATAAATATAAACCCCCTTACGCCTTCCTTTTTTTTTTTTTTTTTTTTGCAGAGAACACAACCGTTGGGAAAGAAAAGAGGGGGCTTATACATTTTTACAAATCAATCCATTATCAAATAAATCATTTAACTGTTACTAGAACTGTTTAACCATGTTCGACATAAAGATTCCAGATTTTGTTACGGACGAAAATCATCCTGTTGGATACCTTGTGAATGGAATTCAAAACTTTGTTAGCGATAGCGTGAGATTAATAAGAAAGTGTACCAAACCAAACAAGAAGGAATATACAAATATTGTCTATGCATGTTCATTTGGATTTCTTATAATGGGCTTTATTGGATATACCATCAAGCTTGTTTTTATACCAATTAATAACATATTCGTTGGTTCTTATTGAGTTCTCGTCGAAAGCACCCTTTTGGGAAAAGAAGTTCTTTTAAAATATTTCTCCTTTGTAGAAATTTGTTAAAACATGCCAAATTACGAGAAAGAGAAGATTACGAATGAATGAAATAGCAAGTTAACATTTTGCCATTTATGAAATTAAAGCTTCCATTTATATATTTTTTTTATTTCTTTTCTTTTTTTTTCCTTTTTTTTTTTTTTTTCCTCCCCTATTGCAACACCTTTTTCCAAATGTGATAAATTTAAAAACTAATTATTTCGTAGCATTACCACCACTCGCACACATGCAATATATGATACGCTTCGACACACAGTGTGCGTGTGTAGTACCCATCGTGTCGTTCAATTATGCGTACGTACATATATGTATATATCTATATATGAATAAATTGTAATAGTTGTGTCTATGAAATCTTACTTCAGCATTCTTGTGTGTACACGTGAACCAATGGTTTAATCAAAGAGGGATGAAGAAGGAAAATGTGATGCTTATAATTTTAGCAGAAACGCATTTTTTTCCCCTCCATTTGCTTTCTCCATTTTTTTAATTAAATATATTTTTGTTACAGATTTAAAAGCTTGCATGTCAGATCGATTTATATGAATATATTCAATATTATGTATAAATGTAGAGGAATTGGGGCCCGAAGGGAACAAGTAATGTATTCCCCTGTATTGTAGGACGGCCATTTATATAAGCCGTAAAAAAAAATATATACATTTGTAAGGAAAATCCATATACATATATATGTATACATATATATATATATATATATATATATATATATATACTACCCCCCCCCCCTTCACAATTTCTGTGTGCATATTTTCTCTCCCCCTTGTAATTTAACTAAACCAAAATAAGTTAAAAATATTTTTGCAGTTAAGTTGTTTATCTTCTTGTTATTGCTACTATGTTAGTATTTTTTTTTTTTTTTTTTTATTTTATTTTCATTAGATGGGAAACTTTTGGAAAATTGTAACTAAATATCTCCCCTCTTTCTCTCTCTCTATCGCCATTTATAAATTTGTCAAATGTTGGACTAAAGTAGCGCTTGGGTTGAAAAGGCCCTTTTTTTCAAATTTCTGACATTCTCCCGTCGTGCTTTTCACATAAAAATACTCATTATTCATGGGAAAAGACATTCTACCTTCGGATTAAAAGAATATACCGTTTAATACCTTTTTGTATGAAGGTTGTAAAAAATGTTGAGAAAGTAATACTACAAAAAAAAAGGGGAAAAAAATATAAATATGGATAATTCCCATCTCCACAAATTCCTATTTATGTAATGTTTTCCTTTTCTTCGCGGTAAAGGTGTACGGAATGCCTCGGTGGGTTGGGGGAGAGGGTAATAGTTTGGAATTTTCTTTTTTTTTTTTCTCTCTCAGGAATATTTAAAAAAGTGGCAGACTTAAAAAAAAGTTGGATATATATTTAATCATCCCCCGTAATATTAGCTTTCTCTTTTTAAGTGCAAAGTAAACTGAACGTGTGTTATTTTTTTTCAGTAAATATTTTTGATGTATATGTTATATGATGTGTGCATACATTTATTATTTATGTATCATTTGTTATGTATGCATATATATATGTTACATATATATGACGCCCAACTTATTTGAGAATATGCTGGGTTGAATATTTCACACTCATATTAGGTATGTAAACATCCAAATTAATGAAACAAACCGGAAAATGAGCATCGGAATACCAATATTCCTTATCGTCAGAATCGAAACTTTTTTTTTTTTTTTTTTTTTTCTATTTATATATACACAAAAAAGAGCCATAATTTTTTGCACCGTATTGAGGTTTGGGGTGTGGTGAGAGAGAGGTGGAAGATTGTGTTATATATATATATATATATATATATATATATATACATATGTATATATATGTAATAAAAAAATGGTTTTACCCCTCTTATTTTTTCACACTAGAGGTAAAAAAGGTTTCCAGCAAAATTAAATCTTCGTTTCAGGTTGGGGAAAATAACTGACGAAACCTTTTAATAATACATTAACTTAATGTATTATGTTTGTGCCAATCCCAGCTATTCCCTTTTTTTTTTTTTTTTTTTTTTTTCAATTTAAGCGGTTCTCATAATAATACTTAGGAGTAAAAAAAAAAAAAAAAAAAAAAAGTTGTGCAGCTCATGCTTAGAGGGGTATCACAACATTGTATAATGTTCCCACTCCTTTCTGAATGTAAAATAAAAGAAAAAAAAATATATATTATTGCCATTTATTTTATTTATTTATTTTTTTTTTTTTTTCATCCATCAAATATGCTTATATATTTTAGATGATATAATTTAAAAAATGAAAACAATTTTCTTTTCTTTTCTTCGCCTTGGATTTTGAAAAATAAAAACAATTTTCTTTTCTTTTCCTTTTTTTTCTCAAAAATCTGTATTCTTTTAGAAGAAATTAAAAATAAAATTAAAAGAACGAAAAATAATATTCTTCCACCATACCCCACCCCAATCCATTTATTTTAATTTCGATTTTGTAAAAAATGTCAAGAAGAACTAAAAAGGTAAGAAAGAAAAAAAGGAAACTTGCAAAGAAACTTATGAGGGGGGAAAAAAAAAAAAAAAAAAAAAGAGGCGAGCAAAATTCAAAAGAATCCTTTCATACCCACATATGTGATATTTTTTTTATATATGTGGTAATAATATCACTGCAAGAAGAGAAGAGACAAACATATGCATTATTTCATGAATTTCATGTACAAAGAATAGAAGAGGAGAGGAGGGAAAGACGAAGTAGTGTTATAATGCACAAAACATTATCCATGCTTTAGATTTTGTAAACATGTGTAATATGTTATGTTCTAAACGCACTTGTGATTTTACCTACGAACAATGAACCATGTTGTTTATGTATTAGTTTACATGATTATACAATATGTTTATATATATATATGTACTTATGTGTGTATATATTTTCTCCAGTTTATGTGAAAATGACAAAAGGATGGGGAGAGAGAAAGCATTCACATGTTTGGAGAATTGTGAGAAATATATTATAAGGTGCAAAAGTATAATATAAAAATAAAAAATGATTATCCCCCACCCCATGAAGTAGCATTTTCCCCACGCACTATATATATATATACGTACATATATACATATATATATTTTTTTTTTTTTTTTAGGTCGGTTTGACGGGAAAGTACGGGACCAGATATGGATCATCCCTCCGAAAACAAATAAAGAAGATAGAATTGATGCAACATGCCAAATATATGTGTACCTTTTGTGGGAAGGTAAACAAAAAGTAGTGTCAATAAAGAAATGTTTTTTTTTTTTTTTTTCCAATCACCATTAGAATAATTCCTCTGCGTGTGAACATTTTTTCACACATATTATGTGATGGATGTGATGTTGTTTTATGTCAAACAAATTTACGTACCATCATATTTTGTTTATTTCTATATCTTCTAGAATGAGCACATATTACATTCAAAATTATGCACCCCTTTTTACAACCCACTTAGACGTCAACTAAAAGAACCTGTGTTGGCATATGGCAATGTAAGAAATGCAAAAGAAAGGTTTGTGGAGGAGCTTGGAGTTTGACCACCCCAGCAGCAGTTGCAGCGAAATCAACAATTATTAGACTCAGAAAACAAAAGGAAGAGGCACAGAAATCATAATATTAACGATAGCAATTACATACCAGCACACATATGGTTTATTATACACCTCGTGCGAATACACAGAGAAGGGTATGCCATGGAACATACTTCTATACTGAACTCATTTAAATGTAGAATATATATGTGTGTTTAATTCATGAAATTGTTTGATGCCATAGGTGTACCATGTTTTGTGTGAATCGTTTATTTTTTTTTTTTTTTTTTTTTTTTTTTTTTTTTTTTTTTTCTTTTTGCAAAAGTGGTTTAAAAAGTAATATTTAATTGAAAAAAAAAAAAAAAAAAAAAAAAAGAAACTTTGAAAACTGATATACTGAGTTTACCATTTTGAAATGAATATAGAATGTTAATACAGTTCAACAGGTAGAAGCGGTAAAAATGTACGTTTCGTGTAGAGTGCTTCTAAAATGAGAAAGAAAAAAAAAAAAAAAAAAAAAATCCCCTTTCACACCAATATGGATTAATGAGTCAATGTGTGTCTTCTTCAACATTTCGTCCTTATGCTATAGCAAGAGTATCCTTTTCACATCATCTTTAGATTTCCACCTGTTGCGAAGATCCTGAAAGGAGAGAGAATATAAATAAATTTGTACATTTTTTGTGCTAAAATTTTGATAATTAAGGTGTGGGGATGAGGGATGATGCTGTTGATAGGGGACAGAAAAATACAACATATATAATGGACGACATAATCCATTTGAATGCTTTTGTCCTTTTTTTGTTTTTGAAAAAATGAACAATCACAAGGGGTCCTCTTCACGGATCAGATTACACATTCATTATATGTACACGCTCATGTGTGTGTGTGTATATTTCGGAAAAATTGCCCAAGAGATAGACCAGGCACATTGTTAGGACGTGAAATTTTGGATGTGAACATTTGTATATACTCACATGTAGGGTCAGCTTACTCTGAAGTAGCACGGCCCACCTGACTCACCACACTCGAACAGTATGCATGTTGTTATATATATATATATATATATATATATATATATATATACATATGTATATGAACATGATTTGGAACATGCTTAGGTTAGGCAAATTTCGAACGTGTGTCTTACCCCGCTGGAAGCCATCTGTCTAGCTTTGATGAACACCTGCTTGACTCTATTAATAATATCACTCTCGTTGTACTGGTAAATGTTCTTGTTTTTTAAAAGTGAATCGATAATGATCTTTCTGTTTTTCCTGTAAATGTTAATGTAAACATTTTCTAACTTTCTCTTTTTGAAAAACTCCGAATAGTCCTCTACTGATGATATATCTTCCAATTTTCTCTTATGAACAACTTTCAATGTGTTCTTATCTTCCTCATGGCTAGTTTTATTTCGAACAAGTGCTTCCTCTAAGCTTGACATCATTCCCTCCCCGCCTTTAATTGGAACTTGGTTCATGATACCCACACTTGTGTGTATTTCATCTCCCTTGTTTGGGCACAATGTTTCTTCTGTTAAAAATGGAGAAGGATGATCTTTCCCCTTTTGCAATTCCCCCTTTTGCAATTCCCCCTTTTGCACTTCCTCCATGTTGATGTGTACTTTGTTTGTCTCCTGTGCTACTTTCGACACGGGTTCTTGTGTGGTTGCATCTACCTTAGAAGTAGACGCTATACTTTGCTCAGACAAAAAGTCAGGCGATTTGTCGTTCAGAATTAATTTAATATTTTTGTATTCTTTGAAAAGATTTCCCACTGTGTTATATTCACTGTCATACAGTATATTGTAAAACAATTTGAGCATAATTTTTAGCCATTCTTTCTGAACTTCCTGATTCTGCCATTTTATGAACCCATTTTCTTCCGATGAGCCCTTCAAAGCTATACAAATGTTTTCAACAAATGGAAGAAAACAATTCATCTCAATATTCTGATTAACATCGATGCTGTGCTGTGGATCTGCTGCAGTACTACCATCTCCACCTATGAAAGTGCTAGAAGCATCATCTTGTTTTGTCTCTGGGGAGATGACAATATAAGTTAACAAATCATTCATATTTAAGACAAACTGTTGAGAATCATCATTTTTTTTGCTTCTTTTTACATTCCACGAATTCAGTTTTTCATAAATGTATGTCAGAAGTTTGTCTCCTCCAAAGTATATTTCATTTGTTAGTTCATGTTTACGAATGTTAAAAGGTGTTAAAGGGGATGTCACTTTGCTGATCACGTAGAGGTAATTTAGGTACTCACAAACGCGTTTTATAAAATCAAACTTCTGTTGTGATGTAGGTTTAGTTTCTTTTTTTTTCTTCTTCTTTTCATCAATTTCTGCTTCTTTTTTACTTATGAAATCTTCAATTTCTTGTATTCCCAAAGTTTTGTAATTATTAAGAACTCGAAATCGTTCAGAAAATTCTTTTTCTTTTATGTGTTTTGAAATGATAAGATGTCCCGATTTGGAAATATATACCCATAGATATTGTAGCATTTTTTCCAGGATACTTTTCTTCTGGCAATTTTTTAGTACATCTCTATCTTTGGGTTCTAAAAAGATTCTGTAATCATCATCCAATTGGGAATCATTTATGTTGCTATCTGGGGAAGCAGCAGGAGCATATCCTTCGATTTTTACTTCTTTTTCTTCCCCTCCTCCTCCTTCAGTGTTACTTTTCCATTCGTTTGACCCACCTCCAATTTTTTTACTCTGAAAAAGAAAACTGCATTTGTCTCTAATTAGGTTTACTATATCGTTGAAAAATAATCTGAAGTCATCTTTATTCGATACGAACAAGTCATACATTAATTTGAGAAGTGTGAAAGTTCCCTTCAGTTTTGGAGGTTCTAGTAGATGCAATTCTTCATCAGTATAGTCCAATTTTTGATCATTATTATTATCATTAGGCTGCTCATAATGATTCCTTTTTTGATCCATGGGATCATATGTATCATCTTCGCCCCTTTGCATCTGTTCAAGGTCCTGATCTCGATTCCCATCTTTTTCCTCCTTTCCCGGTGCACGTAACCTGTCTCGGAGCTCTTTCAAAGACAGAGGAAACAATTCTTCACATTTTTCAATAATTTTCCTAAAAATATCTACATCTACATGATCGCTTAGAACCCATTCATCACTATTTTCGTTATACACGAACCCAATCAAACTGAGCAACCTTTTGAAATTGCTATGCTCTAACAATTCAGAGGATATACTTAAGGGAATATCAAACAACAGTGCTTTATAGGAGAAGAATTTACTCTTAGACATTTTCTTCAACTCATAGAGAGATTTCAGATTAGATGTAACTTCTTCCAGAACAGTGTCTACGTTGCAATTTATTCTATTCTGTGTTAGGTTCATTCCCTTTGTTTGTTCTTCATTTAGTTTTTTCAATTTATAAATGGTGTAGAGGAGTGGCTGTTTCGCCTTCCTCCTCTCTTCGGGAAGGGTGCATTCATCGTCTCCTGCTTTAGTGTCAACTTCAGAACCGATCCAGGATTTCGACCCACTTTTGGATGCTCTTTTTTTCCCAAGTTTCGGAGTGGACTCCCTCCTTTCCGACTCTGCTTCCGTTTCTGCCTCTGACGTAGCTAACGATTCTTCTTGCCCTTCAGAACTATCGGACGAATCAGACATTTGGTAATCATCCATATCATCTTCAATTATGTTTCCTCTGTGATCCATGTAATTCAAATAAATGAGCTGATTTTTTACACTACTAGAAGACTTATTTAACATTTCGCTAATAAAAGGAAGAAAGTTATGCATATGCTTAAATTGTTTGAAGTATACTTTCAAGCTTTCGATATCTTCATGACTCCACTCTAATGCTTCCAATCTTTTGCGATTATTCATTTCGATAAAAATATCATTTATATGTGTTCCTTTGTTGAGCTGTTCATATATGAACTTGTCATTTCCTTCAGTATAATTACTAAAAATAGACAACATATATTTTTCACTTAACAAGCTGAAAATATTTTTGTTTATGGCTTTACTGAAAAATAATTCAATTGGTATGAAATAATTGCTATTCCACAATTTAAAAAAGCATGCTATTATGTTTTCAAAAAAGGAACAAATCCAATGATACTTTGGATTTGTGTAACATTCCTCATCATTAATTATGTTCATAAAAATGAGAAAATATTTTATATCAAAAAATAAAAGGAAATTATATTCATTATTTTTATATTTTATTAAAAATTCGAAATAAGTAATGATTAAATGATTTATTTGAATGCTGTTTCTTTTATATTCTTCAATAATTTGCATGCATGTATTTACAATTTTACCACTATAAATTTCGTCCACTAAATCAGTTACATTTATTCTTTCCATTGCATCTATGTCTGGGTCTAAATCTCTGTTTTGCCTTTTTTTGCTTTTTAGACTCCCTTTTTTCAAATTTCCATAATCATCATAATTGTCTCCTCCGTATGATTCATCCGATTCCTCCTCCTCATCATCATCGTAAATTTTTTTATTCTCTTTCAAGATGTAAGTACTTCCTCCTAGCTTTTGAAGCAGTTCTATAATCATTAGGGAACACTTAAGAGCATGTGTAAAAATGTTTTTATCATGACTCATAAATTTAAAATTTTTTAAAATCCAACTTAAACTATTGAGTATGTTTCTCTTAAGAAAATTATCCAAAGAGGACTTACAAATTGATTTCACATTTTCATCTGTTGACATTGCATGAATATCAACTAGTTTTAGATCTGCATATAAACATCTTAAACAGCACAGAATTATCTTACTACTGTTCTTTTTCATTTTTTCTTCTCTTATTAATCTTTGAAATGTATCACATAGAAATTCAGAATGGATACTATTGTCTCCTATATATGCTTGCATTCCCAGAACCATTTGGATTCGAGAAATGAACAAAGAATTTTCACACTCTTCCTCCTCCTCATGCTCATGCTGTTCCTGCAGGTCTATTTCAGGTTTTTCACTATGTCTTAAGGGATGAACTGTATGTCCTCCTCCTTCTCCTCTTCCTACTACTACTTTCCCTCCTGTACCAATGTTCATACGACAGTTATTCAATCGATTCTTATTCTCGTAAAGATAATAATTCGTATAATATGTTACAATCCATGCGTGGATATTCAGAATTATTTTTATATCCCATTGATGATTATAATACTCGACTATGCATCTCCTCAAATCTTTTATACACACATTTAAAAAAACTTTAAGTGAATAATTGAAACTATCATTGTCATTGTTGCCTTCATAGATATTTTCAAATTCTTCATTTATTCCTATGATATTATTTAAAAATTCTTGCACTTTGTACAAATTCGTGTGATTGAATGTATCCAATATGTTGCATTTTTTAAAAGACACAATTTCTGAAAATATATCGAATGATAAATCTTCAAAAGAAAAATTTTCATAATGATCTATTAAATTTTTTCTTTCTATAAATTTTTTTTTTTTTTTTTTCATATGTTTTTCTTCATTTGGTTTTCTCACTTTTGATTTAGCTAGAAGTGGGTTTATTCGTGATAGATGCATAATCATTTGGTTTTTATTTTGTCTTGGATTTTTCAGACTCGTTCGTTTTGTACCATTTAACAAAAATGTTTTTCTCTTCTGTGTATTGTCATGTCTCTGAGTTCCATTACTAAGTCTTCCTCCTATTGTACCTACATACTTTATACCTTTCTTCTCACCATTTTTAGCAATATCCCTCAAATTGTTCATACCTTCACATGTCCCTGAAGGCTTGGGTTGTATCTGATGGGTGAGTGACTTTACCAAATCAATTGGATCTATATAACAAATAACATTGTAAAATAGTCGAACATACTCCCATATATCTTTCATTGTGTTCTGCCTCAAGTATGGTATATGTATATTCTTTTCATGATCGTACTTCTTTAATTCTTTTTCAAATAAATTTCTCATTTCATCAATGATTAAACTTAGGCAGCTATGTTTATCTAGAACATGCTGCAGAATCATGTAATGTACATTGTTTGAATTAATCCCATTTCCTCCTCCAGCATTTCTTATGCTTAGAACCTGCGTTAATATGCTACGAACCAGGTATACATTTTGTTTATATTCATGCACTAGTTTCTCTCTTTTTTTCTTATCCTCAACGAAAAAATTGGATACTTCCAAAAGTTCATCGTTTATTTCATCTATTCTCCTTTTGATGTTCGCTATTTTGCTTCGCACGAGTTTGTTTTTTCCCCTCGGCTTCTCTCCATCATCATCGCCATTTCTAACATCATCACCACTTCGAACATCATCGCCATCATTTTCCACCCCCTCCTGGCCACTGATTGCGAGACTTTCTCGGCAGAACTGCAACTCCTCCTTGAGACGACTCTTCTCCTCTATCAAATCAGCATCCCGTCTCTGCATCTCTATAACTTTTTCATTTTCCTCAATTCCACGATAATCTGCATCTATGAAAAGTTGGCAATTGTACCTAAATTCGTTCAGTATAACCAAAAAGTTTTTATTAGACAACAAGGACTTTAGACTCTGCAAGCCATTCTGGTACTGTTCAATAATGTTTGATCTTTTTTGCAATTCTTTAAAATAAATGTCATTTTTTAAAACTCCTGAAAAGATTTTCCTTTCACTTTTCTCAATTTGTAAATAATTATATACATTGAATTCACTTCTCTTATTATTAAAGATAGGCATGTGCTTATTCCAATAATCAAACCATTCTTTACTAGGTCTAGACGTCAAGTAATTAATTAAAATTAAGACATTTTTAATCAACATACTTTCGTCTATATCTTTATAAATGGAATTGTCGAATTCATTTTTCACAATATTTATTACTTGTAATATCATTTCTTTTAAAATTTGATTATTGTAAATGTATAAAGTTACATACATTGGATTTTTAAAAGTAGAATCTATATGAGCTCCAAATTTTCGATTCAGATATTCCCTCTCTCTTTTTAAATATGTATTAATATCATTTAATATATTAACTACATTGTTATCTAGTATGTAATGTTGTTTTTCTATAGATTGTATACTTTTAGCTATATCTAATGGATTATTGTTTTCATCCATCTCGTTATTGCTACTATCTCTTTTTTTTTTAGAAAATCCTGATTCCATATTTTTGTCTTCTCTCTTTTCGCCTTTTCCTTCTTTAGAACTCAAATTCATCTTACTATAAATAAAATTGTACAACTCTTTATTTTTTATTTTCAAATTGTTTTTTTCTGGTTCTTTTCTTTTTTTATTTCCTCCTTTTTCTTTTACTTGCACACTCATGTTGTCATCTGCACCGACAATGTAATCACCACCACCCGTGTCATCATTGTACAATGTCAAATCTATTTGCATGTTACTTTTTACATCCTTATTTAACACCACTTCTTTTTTCAGCATGTTGCTAAATAAAACTAGAATCTCTTGTTCTAGCACCTCTCTCGTTTTAATGGCATGTAATAAGTTGTTTTCATTGAAAATGTCTTCTTGGACTTGTTCGCTTTCCTCTCTGTAGGTATTTCCTTCTTCGTCTGCTTCGTCTTCTTCGTCTGCTTCATCTGCTTCGTCTTCTTCATCTTCTCCTACTTCTTCATCTTCTCCTACTTCTTCATCTTCTCCTACTTCTTCATCTTCTCCTACTTCTCCTACTTCCTCCTCAGTATCGTCCGAATATTCTGAACCCACTGAACTTTCTGAATCCCCCAGCTGTTCAGGTAATTTTCTATTACCTGAAAACTCTTCCGTTTCTGCACTCTGTTCATAACTGTTTTCGTCTAGGTCCGACATCTCGGTGCAGGCTGGTGGTGCCGCTAACGGGGCAGCTAACGGGGCGGCTACTTGATACTCCTAACAGTGTAGCTAGTTAAAAGTGCCCAAATTAATGTGGTCAAGCAATTTGGATCTTTCCTTCCTATCAATGTTTGCTGTGAGATGATGCACACAAATTTACAACTATAAAATATGTGTGAATCTTAACGTTAAAATAAGATTTTAAAAAAAATGTGAGAATTGTATTGGAAGAATACACATTTTTGTAATATATGGAATAGATGGTACTACGTAAGAAATAAAGAAAAAAAAAAAAAAAAAAAGTTCAAAGAGGAAATTGTTTAATATGTGTAAGTATGCCCATATGCATGTAAGCGCATGTATGTAGCTTTTTTTTTTTTTTTTTTTTTTTTTTTTTTCTGGTACGCAGACAAATAAATAGGTACTTAATGAAGAGGCACGTTTTCTTCTCTCCTTTTAGTATATTTGATTTAAGTTTTGCTCAATGTGAAATGTCCCAAAAGGATTATAATTTAATTAACTGAATATTATCCTAGCTTTTCACTTGTCTTTTTTTTTTTTTTTTTTTTTTTTTTTTCTTAATCCTTTTTTTTTTTTTTTTTTTTCCTTTTTTTTTTTTTTTTTTTTTTTTTTTTTTTTTTTTTTTTTTTTTTTTTTTTTTTTTTTTTTTTTTTTTTTTTTTTTTTTTTTTTTTTTTTTTTTTTTTTTTTTTCTGCTTTTAAAAGGATACATTATATGACCACTCAGCACGTTTTGCAATACACAAAAAAAAAAAAAAAAAAGAAAAGCAATAATTTCTGAATAAATTTATATTTTTTTTTTTTTTTCACGGGTATATTCAACAAGGGTTTTCTTAAATTTCGGTATAGTGAAAAGGGGAAGAGAAAAATAAAAGTGTCTGCCCATAGTTTTTTCAGAGCCCAAATTTTAAGTAATAATCAACAACCTCACATTTATAAACATGGGCATTTTTTCATTGTAAAGTTTTGCAAAATTAAAAAGGTGCATAAAGAGCGGAGAAGATAGTATTAGAAGGGAAACATTATCTCCCTCAAATTTTCATGTGTTAATTTAGGGAAAAAAAAAAAAAAAAAAAAACAGTTCGGAAAAATTGAGTTATTTTTAGGCTTCTTTGCGGGAAGAATTTTGTATGCACACATTTGAGTAGCATTTTGACAACATCTTAGGTGTACTTTCTCTCTCCTTGGGTTGTTGCACCATAAACTTACCACTTGGCACTAACCCCAAGGCAAAAAAAAAACAACTCATGTAAGCAAAAAAAAAAAAAGCACTACTCGTAGATTTAAGATATTCCCTCTACTTTTCCTACAAACATTTTTTTGAACATATAAAAAGAAAATTCGAAAAGAAGATAAAATCAAATTAATTTGCTCAGGCGCAAAAATTCTAGTTTCTTCATAATTCGAAAGGTTGACACTTCTTTTTTTTTTTTTTTTCTTTTTTTTTTTTTTGACAGTCGTCCGATTGGCTTGTAGATATACGTAAAAATATTCGTGTTGGTGTAAAAAATGACACACACACGAAACAGCTTAAAATGAACCCTGTAATGTGAAGGAGGGAAAAACCAAATTGCATCAGCTAAGGCATACATAAGACACACCTGAATTTGAATGGGTAAACAGGGATGAGACAATTAAACCATAACCCCTTATGAAATATGCATACAGTGGAATTGAAACTCATAGGTAACTAGGATACGTTGGTTGATATGTGTAAAAAAAAAAAAAAAAAAAACAATTAGGTGCAGATAAGAATCATCTATCCATATATATATATATATATATATATAGATACATACATATACACATGAGTGCCCTTTTGAATACTTAATTTTTTCGAATTATCACGCTTTTCAAAATAAAAAAAAAAAAAAAAAACGCACATACACATCTTTGTATGTGTGCAAACACGTGGAACAATAAAAACCCTCTACAACTTCATCATTTCGTATATTTACGTAAAAAAAAATAAAATAACAGAAGGAAGATTACATTTAATGTATATCTTCAAATAAGACCTTGGGAAAAAAAAAAAAAAAAAAAATTGGACATTATGTAAGCTGGAAAAAAATATGAAAAAAAAATTATCGTTTGCAATCATGTTTATCTAATAATTTTGACACATTGTGGATATATTATATCAAGGGGGCCAAAATATTGTTAGAAGGCTAATACCAACATGATACTTACAAAGGATGAAATAGAAACTAGTGCACACATGGCGATATTTCCAATACTATTTAAAATAACTGCGGAAAGCATAGCATTAATAATGCTAGAAAATGCCCTAGCTGTGAAAAGGAGACCAAATATGGGTCCAAAATTTTTGGTTCCAAATGTATGTGCAGTTATGGATGGGAAAATAGAAAATGTGCCAGCATGACAAAAGAAAATGAGACATATCCAAATGGAATATGTAATTCTTCCATAAAAACCAGACAATGTTAAAGTAACTGTTAAAAAACTCATCAACATACTCATTAATATTAAAGCAGTTTTAAAACTTGTTAAATCACTTATATATCCCCAAAAAATTCTTCCAAAAATGTTAAAAAGTGATGCTACAGCTCCAACGAAAGACAAGGATCTATCATCAATGTATAAGTAATTTATTCCAAATATTTTCCAAAATACTTGTGTATATGAAATAGCTTGCCAATTAAAAAACACCATTAACCAGATTAAAATAAAATCACGATTAATAAATGTACTGCCTGACTCTTTAAAGGAAAAATTTGATGTATTTGACAGAGTTCTATACGAATTAGAAATTCCTTTATTATTTTTACTTGTGAATCCTTTATCATCAAAATATAATATCTTACTATTTTTATCGTTAAATGTTAAAAATTCTTTTGATGTCTCTCCTGAGTCACAAATTAAACATGCACCTATGAACTGAATAAATGCAAAAAATATTCCCTCATAAATAAATAAATATGGTACTCTGTTCAGAATTTCCAAATTGCTGAAATATTTCTCATCTGAATTATCCAATTCGGGACTATAATCAGGCATATAATTATATTTGTTTATGAAATAATTCTGCAAAGGGCATATCAAAAAAACGGCCATTCCTCTCCCTATGAAGATAATTCCGCTGATCTGTCAAAATGGATAGAAGGAGAACAGGGTGTGTGGGATGTAAGCTAGTGAAAATGTTCCCATTCGTAGGAACATATTCATATACTCATATATGAAGACACTCGTATATGCATATACTCACACGTAAGTACAAGGATGCACTTGCTTTTTCTTTTTTTTCCCCTAGTCCCGTTTCAGGAGATGTTTGAAATTTCCTACCACTCCCTTAGAGTCAAAGTGCTTCTTCACAGCCACAGATAGCGGAATTGGATATGCAATTCCACATCCTATGCCACACAATATCCCATAAGTCATTAAAAAAAGATAAAAATTAAATACAGTAAAATAGGATAAAAGAATGCCTAGGCACATTAGCCATCCACCTAATAAGACACTAATCTGAGGGCCCAAGTGCTGATTTAATATTCCCCCAAAAAAACCAAAAAAACATTGGAAAATTAAAGTCAGTACATATATCCAGCTACTATCTTTATACTTAACATTAGAACACCCTATTATTTTCATATATGATATCACGTAAATGCTGATATTGGAGAAGCAGTAAATACTTCCTAAAGTACAGTGTATTAAGAAACCGCCTAAAATTATTTTACATTTTGACAGAGTTTGTGAATTATCGTCCTTTTTCATTTCTGATTATATTCTGAAGCGTTGATTTTGGCTAGCTTGGTAACGCGGCACCTGCTCGCGTATTTACATGCAAACACGTGTGTATGCTTCTCCGTTTGTTTACACACGTGTGTATGCTTCTTCGATTGTTTACACACGTTCGTACGCTTCTTCGATATTTTACACACGTTTGTACGCTTCTTCACTTGTTTACCTTTATGCCTGTGCATTTGTATGCCTATACGTTTTTTATTTTTTTATTTTATTTTTTTTTTTTTCTTACGCCCTCCTGAGGATAGCCAATTAACAGCTCTTCTAAAACTACGCCACAGTTACGTTACAGTTGATTCTGTTTTTTTTTTTTTTTTTTTTTTTTTTTTGTTTTTCCTTTAATACATTATATGGGATGTATCACACACACTTGTAGAGGAAAAAATTCTGCACGTTCATACAAAAAAAGGGGATGACTGAAATTAAGGGCCTTCATAAATGCTTCTTCGTTTGTTTACTTGTTTGGTTGATTGCTCGTTTGGTTGATTGCTCGTTTGGTTGATTGCTCGTTTGGTTGATTGCTCGTTTGGTTGATTGCTCGTTTGGTTGATTGCTCGTTTGGTTGATATTACTCGCTTGATTGATTGGTTTTTTTTTTTTTTTTTTTTTTCATCTTCTGCTACGAGTAGAAAAGTACTTTTCTTCTGCTAAGCCTTTTAGTTTAGCTGTTTCACTTGGCTTTTCTATCTCTCCTGATTTAATTTAAAAATTCCAAGTTTCCTTAAGCGTGGTAAGCAAAATAATTCCTTGTGCACAGAGAAAAATAAAATAAAATGAACAAGGGATGAAATAAAGCAATGAAGCGAAATAAATCCGCTTGTTCACACCCCTTTCAAGTGACACACAAATAAGAGTACACAAAATTCACACATGTGACAAACATGGGGATGTCATACAAGGCAATTTTTATTTGTCGTGCGAAATTGTTTTTAACGTGAAAAGTGTGTTCAGTCGTTTTTGAAAGTTTGGCTTTTTCTCACGACATATATATATATATAACGGTTCCATGCTTCTTTTTTTTTTTTTTTTTTTTTTCTCTTCATTTTACTCTTCTTCTGTATATATTTTCTTCGTACTACCATATACCCGAAATTTTTTGTTCTGTTTTTTCACCTTTTTCGGTTTCTATCTCTACCAAAACCAGTGCATACGTTTAAACTGGTAAAACATATGCGTGCATAGAATTAATGGAATATGGTAGTTAAAACGTTCATTTATATTTTCTTATATCTAATTCCCCCATACCACCAAATACTTTTAAAAGATTGAAATAAATTTTAAGTCCACAAAAATGACACACGTGTTAACTACATGTATTAATTATCCTTATTGTATGCACATTTCGTACAAATCAAATTATTCCTCACACATATATTCACTTAGCCAAAAGGAAAAAAAAAAAAAAAAAAAAACATCAAAGTGACAACAAAAGCTATTAAGATAGATACAAATATATATATATATATGCATGTACAGGTGAAAAATCCCAAAACACACCATTAAAATGTTGTTCCTAAGTAATGTATTATTTAGATCCAGAAGCAAAAGGGTTCATGTGAATTTAATTTCTTCATGTGCAAGCAATTACATTTACTCCACATATATCTCCCCTACCAAATCCAAGTTCCGATTGTCCCTGAGGAAACATGACCCCGTTGTTAACCGTCATGTGTTCGTACAAAAATGAAAACAAAATAGAATAAAATAAAAAATAAAAAAAAAAAAAGTGCCATGATATATATATATACTACTAGGAAAGAAGCACATCTACAAGTAAACACATTACATGTTTTTATGAATATTGTATACTAGCCGATGTGTCACTCCTCTTGCTTTCTATTTCTACAGCATGTTCTACCAAAAACATATGAAATCTAAATCGAAAAAAAAGCTAACAATGCATGGGATTAATTACGCCCGTTTTACAGGTACGCACGAACGTACATATATATTCCCCTGTATGTATGTATATATGTACATGCGCTTGTGGTGTGTGTATGTGTTAGACCCATTTTTTAAGTTCAAGTTGGAATATTAACCCGGATGACGCCCCTTGTTTCATTCATTAATTCTTTTTTTTTTTTTTTTTTTTCTCCACCCCTTAGGAAAAAACAAAAACCTGAGACCACTCCTAAAAAGGGTTGAAAAGTCCTACCTATACGGAAAATTCAACAAACTCATAGATAGCACGTACAGGTCTGTTTGGAAAATCCACATGAAATATATATGCATGCTTTTATGAAGTGAAAAAATTGATGATAAAAAAGAGAAGAAATCTAAGTGACCTAATTTTGTAGATTGAAATATATATATATTTTATCCCTTTTTTTTTTTTTTTTTTTTTTTTTTTTAATTTTTATATAAAAACGTTCCATATTTTGTTAACAATTTGTATTTTATAGGAGTCTACCAAGGATGAGCTGACATTTTAGAAATGGCACCAATGATCCCCACCTCACCTACATCACGTCTTTGTATGTGCAATCCTTCCTCTCTGTGCATGTACAAAGGATTCACTCATTTTGAAGAATAAGGAAAACTAGTTATTGTGTATCAATTACCGATTTGTTGAGACATAGTTGTGTAGTGTTTTGAAAAGTATACCTCAAAGAGATTACTCATCTTTTGAGAATTCCACAGATGCGAATTTTAATTATTTTATATTCAATATCTTAAACCATTTTTTATGGTTGAGATCTGGTTTTTCCCCGTTACCACAAGCTGTTTATGTAATGTTGTATTGCTTCATTTTATTTTCTCCTTTGTTTTATATATTTTCCTACCTCTTTTCCTTTACCTGCACAATGCTTCTTTAATTTCACCCATTTGTGCGTACCCACACATGTATTATCACCCCATTTTGCACCATTCATTTTTTTGAAATTTAATTTCAATTTTTTTCCTTGATTCAAAATGACAAGTCGAAATTTTGGCGATGGCAACAAAATAAAATGGAAAAAGAACTGCGTAAAAAAAAAAAAAAAAAAAAAGAGAGAAATTTATTTATCCATTCCATTGTATTATATATATATATATATATATATATATATATATATATATATATATATATAGAACCTTTACCAAAAAGCACAAAGTTCAAAGAAATGGGAAGAAAAAAAAATATATCTTTCCTTTGCTGCTTCTTCTACATCTATTAAAAAAAATGCATTAAATGACATAATATTATAATTAATATAAAAGAGAAGAAATGAAAAAAAAAAGTATAACCCCACAAGTAAAGAATATAAATCTGTGAAATGTTTTTTTTCACCCAATGAGGTGTCAAAATGGCATATGTTTATTAGTGCCACGTGACCCATTTCACAACAAAAATTATCACCTTGCTGTTCATACATTTTTTTTTCATTCCCTACAAAATGATAACCAAAAAAGGAAAATTTTACAAACAACAAGAGATGAAGGTAATAAAATATTATTTTGTGCAAACCATCTGTTACAACATAATGGCACCAGGAACCATGTCCCCAAATTTATGCAAATGAAGATAATGAGTTATACAAAAACAAGCAGCATGAGAAGAAACACGCTTGGGCAGAAAATCAAGGAAGAAAGAAGTAACACCCATGAATACCATCCAAAAAGTAGAATAAAAACAGGTCAAAGGAATCATAAAGAAAATGACCATATTAAACATGATGTTAAAGATAAAATGGAACTTGAATTTTCCACATGTAGGAATGTTATAAATGGTTGTCTCCCACCGGAAGAGAACCATCATGATGAAAACCGTGAAACAAATGAGTTGAATAATTTATGCAAAAAAATTTATTACCTAAGCAAGAATAGAGTGAAAAATGAAAAAGTATGGATATATTATATAAACGAATTATACAAAGAAAAAAAAAACTTCCCTTTTGTAAGTATAAAAAATTTGCTGCTCATATTACTAGGAATAACTAAGAGTCAGTATGTTGTTAAAGATATACTATGTTGTGATATCCCAAGAGGACATAATGAAGATCAGTTGGGGAAAAAAACAAACACTGCTGATATTGTGGATGTTCTTATAGATATACTCTCTGGAAGAATGAATCAAATGACAAACAATCAGTTAAGTATCTTTATACACATTATTCAAAAATGGAACAGGAGCGAACTGTACAAAGATATTATAGACAAAATTAATAATAAAATTTTAGTTGAAACCCCTTTGAAAAAGTTAAGTACGAGAACCTTTTCCAATATTCTGCACATATATGCCAAGGGCTCAGGGAAAGTTACATCTAACAAGCACATCCTACAAGAAACCATCAATAACTCTTTCATACAACCAAACGGACAAGCAAACAGAATCATAAAGAATCTTCGCAAGGGAAATGTTCGATTAGAGGACATACTTCGCCTCATTTGTGCCATGTATAGATTAAAAATAAAGAACACAGAACTCCTAGAAATTGTTATCCAGGTATTAAATGATAAAGTAAAGGAAGGGAGTTACTTCTTAACACCTTCTATACTTCTCTACCTAGCAAATCTGAACATATACAATGAAGAACTGTGGAAAAGGTTTAAAATGATAATAATTCAGAATTATCAATTTTACAATTCAGTACATCTAACTAATGTGTTCTATGGGTTCTCAAAATTTATCCCCAGTGGAGTGGAAGAGCTGTTTGACCTATTGGCTAGTCATATCATGCATAATTTTGGGGATAAATGTGGAAAAAACGAAAAAATATTATGCAAATCTGAAAAACATTCTATAGATACAAAACCAGTTGACCTACTAAAATCAGATATCCCCACCATATGGGACAATAAAGTTAACAAATTGAATATCTTTCAAATAACGAACATTATAAAGAGCTGCATAAATTGTAATTACATAAATTACAACTTTTTTGAATTTTTACTTGATCAGTTAAGAAAATCAAAAGAATCACAATCGTTAGATAATCAAATCGATTCATTGAAAGTTATTTCTAAAATTTTAAGAACGGTTAACAACCATTCTGTTTACAAATATGTAGTGTATTTTCATCAGACAGAAAAAGGAAATCTTTCCAATCATATGGAAGAAAATCCATATATCTATTTGATGAACCAAAAATGGATACATAAAGAGATATATACATACATCTCGGGCTACGATATATGTAACATTTTTCAACCAATGATATATTGTAACCATCATATGGGTTCTAAAAGAAAGGAAGAACAAAATAATTTTGAAATTTTCTTGGATGAAATGAGTGAAAAAGTAAGAGAAAAAATTGAACAACATTTATATGAACCCCAAATGAAACTACTGTTTCATAAATTAATTCTCTGCCTATCTTTCAGCAAAGTGATATTTGTAAATTTATACGCATTATGCATAATCATGTTAGAAGAAAACAAAAAATATTTTACTATTAATAATTTATATTTTTATGTAAAAATTATGCATCAAAATAGAGTTTACAACTATGAATTGTTTAGTTGGATAATTGAACATGTGAAGAAAAATGAACATCTGCTAGATGTGAAGAAAAAAATAAAAATTATTTTGCTATCGTACAACATTTTTAACAAGATAAACAGAAAGGATATGCAAGAGTTATGTCACTTCTTTTTAAGCACAGATGGAGCTACTGATTCAGGAAAAGAAGGAGCAGTAGCAGCAACAACAGAAGCAGAAGTAGCAGCATCATCAGCAGAAGGCAGTTCTGCAAAAATAACACCAATGTGGAAAATTCCAGAAAGCCTAAATAAAAAGAAAAAAGTTGTAAATTTGGATCATATTTCCAACGGTTCCATCCAAAACTGTATGCAAGATGATATGTGCCATTTTATAAATTCTCATGCAGACAAAGTTGGCAGTAAGTACATAGATGGAGAAAATGTCACTAATAACTCACATTCCATGAGCGAAATTGAAAAAGATTCAAATTTTTCCTTAACAGGAAAAGAACTTTTTTTGAACAAGATAGAAAAAACAGACATAACACCATGCCATTTAGACTTTAATGATTACATAAACTTTATGTTAATTTTAATTCATAGTCTACAAGACGATGCAAATGGAAAGTTTCAGTTAAATTCACTTATTTCAAAAGGGGTAAATAATATCCCAAAAATAAAACAAATGAACGAAGCTTTAGATGAGCATACGAAAAAGTTAAGAAAAAATTTGCATAGTAGAAGACGTATCATTATTCAGCTTTTTGAAATATTTGATACTTTTTTGGGAAAGACACCTTGCATGGAAAACAATTGTACAAGCTTGGATGATTTTCCCAAACCGAAGGACATGTACGAATCTCGCATCTGTCAAATGATGTACATTCTGCATTTCATAAAAATGTTAAATGAAGATGTGTACAACGATATAATGAAATTGCAAAGGATGAATAAATACAAAAATAGAGAAGAAAGGAAAGACTCAAATGATTCCAAGAAAAACTTGTTCGAGTTAAAAATAGAAGATTTAGAATTCTTAAACTTATCGAGAAATAACCATATCAGTTCGTGCACACCCCATTCCATGATTCCTAATAATCAAACAGTTAGTAGATATAAATATAAAAGTGTTCATGATACTATAGACTTATTTATGCAGAGTTTCAAAATGCACAAATGCACTAATTATGCTGATGTGAATTTGAAGAATAATAAGAATGACCTGCACAAAATGGAATCATATTACAAGCTAAACGATTTCTTAATTTCAGATATAATACATATTTTTGAAAAAGGAAAAGATAAAATTTTCCATTTTCTTCTATTTTATCCTCATGAATTAAAAAGAACAGTTGTAAAAAAAAGAGAAAATAAAATTTTTCTAAAGCACGAATATGATGAATCTCTTATCGTATGTACAGAGGTTATATTCTTTTACAATTTTTTAAAAAAAAATTTTCAGAACCAGTTTTTTTTCATGCTTCTGGATACCACTCCGTTTGTTAAATTTCACACATGCACAAATGGCGATGCACTTCAGGGGGATGTGTTGGGAGATCCACATCGTGTAATGCACGAGGCCTCTAGCTTTTTAGAGGCCATCATGATGCAGTAGCGCACCCTCAGCTGGAAAAGAAGCGTATAAACGTGTGAATCCATGCACTAACGTATAGATCCATGCACTAACGTATAGATCCATGCACTAACGAAATAACGTGACAAACATGAGTTAATCCAAATTTCTATTCTTCATTCGGCAAAACGCAGATATGTGCACCAGTTTAACCAAAACAGGTGAATCGGATCATAAAAACAGAGTCAAGTGGAGTGGGAAAAAAAAAAAAAAATACTAATCGCTGTAATTGCACATATTTTGAGAAATGTTCTTCAAGTCGTGTTCGAGCTCATGAACATTGGTATGATTTTCGTCCTTATCAACGTTACTCAAAGTATCAACTATATTTTTTTTGTTCAGATATTTATTTTTTATAGAATTGTTTGAGAAAGAACGAGATAATTGTTTATTAATTTCGATAATTTCCTTGGATGCCCCTTCAGCATAATTATTTGTTAGTTCTTTGATTTTATTTTTTCTATTTTTTTTTTCACGTCTATAATTACTAATCAGTATGATAAAGTCATGAATGATGTTCACCCATATATTTCTGTCTTTATCCATAGTTTTTAGGTACATATAGTTTTCTTTTTTTTCTCGTTTTTTTTTATACTTGATGTAGAAATACTTGTGGCTATACACATCGCTATATACGTTCATCACGTATTCTAGTCTTATGTATCCAACTCTATTCTTATCAACCTGTGAATCGAAAATGGTAAGAATTGTGTGTATGTAAAGTGCATGTACACATTTGCATGACTATACTGTATGAACATATTTGCATGACTACTTTTTTGTGAACATCTTGCATGCAGAGAAAATTTGTCGGTGCCAAAACGAACCTTCGCATCAGCCTCCTCATTATAGTAGCACCAGTAGAATTTTCCCTTAAAAAAGTGCATATAAAAATAATACTTGTTGTAGAACCTCTTTATGTAAAAATTGCTATGCAACAAATAGCCATTCAAGTTTTTGCAAAAGAGACGAATTTTATCTTCAATAGCAAGGGATGAAATGTTATTGTATATGGCTGCAAATGGTGATGATGGAAGGAAAGTAGAAAAAATGCATTTGGTTTTTAGCACAGCAATGGAAATAAACGATATTTTTGACAAAATGTAGAAATACATAGAAATGATGTTACAGTGAAGATGAGTCATTTTTAGAATCCGATTGAGTCTTACTCGAGCTGACATCTGTTTCTTTAATGGCTTCGAAATGTTCCCTTCCTGCATTTATGAGTTTTTCAATGAGTTCATTATTTCTACTCTGATTTTTCTGAACAGATATAATCGTTTCAATAAATAAAGATGTGTAAATTTGGTCTTCCTTCCTTATACAGTCTAAGTTAATGTAATGAAAAGATAGACACGTCGTTGCTACTATTTGATTTTTATTAACTATATTAAAATAAGCATTACATGGAAATAATTTTTTTACAATGTCTGTATAGATATGAAGATCAGCTGATCCGATGAATGTATTTTTAAGTGTTCCTTTTCTGTATACTTCGATTCTTATTGTGTCATTGTTTTGTTTGACTACCATGTTTTTTCTTTCCTACTCTTGTGTAAAAAGGGGAGTAGTTATATAATATATTGTAATTCACTTTGACACAGATTATTATAATGTATCTCTCTATGCATGTGTACGCGAGTTATGACTTTCACTAAAGTAGTAAGTACTTGTGTGGACATTGCATCTTACAAAAGCAAACAAGGGATTTTTATTTTCCCTCGCTTTTGTCACTCTTTTGCTTGCCACTTTTTTGTCACTCTTTTGCTTGCCACTTTTTTGTCACTCTTTTGCTTGCCACTTTTTTGCTACTTTTTTTTTTTTTTTTTTTTTACTTCTATGTGTATTTTGTTGAGGTACTGCTTGTAGTAGTGGGTGTAGGAATATCGATTCCCGATCTTCAAATGAACAATGTACTTGCTGTTGTCCTCATCACCCATCTTTAAATTGATGTGATGAATTTGAATTATAATGTTAAAGGATTCATACTTGTGGATGTTTAGAAGCCGATACAAATTACCTGCGAAAGGGGGAGAAGGGGGGGGAAAAGTTGTGCATGTGATGTCGAAAGGGAGATGCAGAAAGGTGGTATACCAAGAAGAGAGGCGGGAGTAGAGAGGAATGAAAACGGGAAGGAACAGTAAATGCTTTATGAATTTATTTATTTATTTTTTTTTTTTTATTTTTCACATTTCATGTATGATCAAAATGGGAAAGGGCGGGGAAGGGGGGGGGGTATTACGAGGGATGTTCATATTCTGGACATTTTTTTTTCACAACATTAAAGTTTCTTCTTTGTCTTTTTTTTTTTTTTTTTTTTTTTTGCAATTTCCCTCTATTCTCCCTCTTTTGACCATTGCTAATGTGTTCCCCCTTTAGTATACCTATTTGTTTATTTTCACTGATATGAGGAAATAAATCCCTATTTCTACATGCACAGAGAGTACAAATGGACGCAATAAAGCATCCACTTGCGTACAACACATTGTGAGGATCTAAATAAAACATATTGAGAACAAAATGTGTTGTTACAAAATGATCATGGCCAGTAAAGTGGTATATTAACACTTAGAGGTAATTTATTTTTTCACATAAAACTAGAGTTAACATACTTCAGCGTATGAAACGAGGAGTTAAAAGACAAATGGCAATCTTTTTATTTGTACCACTGTTCGGAGAGACGGAATATATATATATGTACATGTACACATTTGAAGGGAAAAAAAAAAAAAAAACTTAGTTCATTACACATTACAACTTGTGCAACTGTTAAGTTGAAACAATGACAGAGGAAAAGAAGGAAAATTCTGTATAAAATTATGCACCTATTTTTTTATAGAAAAATAAAAAGAATTGACGTTGTAATTTTTTTGCGTACATTTCTTTGTGTGTGCAAATATATGGCGGAAAAAAAAAAAAAAATAGAGGACATTTCTCATTTTCTGGAAAATTTCACCTCCATCTGAATGTTGCGACATGTTAAGAAACAAAAAGAAACTAAAAGAAACATAAAGACGTATAAATAAGATTAAATACGTTAACATATTTGTTTCGATGTGTCAAATAAAAAAAAAAAAAAAAAAAAAAAAAAAAAAACCATCCTAATTTCCACACATGGTGGTAACCTATTACCGCTTTTTTTTTTTTTTTTATATGTATAATATATTTATATATATATGTAAGTATAGTATATTTATATATATATGTAAGTATAGTATATTTATATACATATGTATGTATATATATATATATATATATATATGTATACCTTCTGAAGAGACCGAGTAAATGCGAAAAAAAAAGTTGTAAACGAAAATGACACCACCAATGGGGAACACTGAATACGTGGCAAAATAAGATAAAAAAAAAAAAATTCCTTCTCACCCCCTTTCTGATTCCCCAATGGTAAGTTAATATTATATGTAGAAGACTATATTCTATTTAGTCATTATTTTATTCATTTAGAACATCAACCACATCAGCGTCACATTGCACACTTTTTAAAATGTTAAAAAGGTTACCTCTACTGGGTGGGTGTGTGCATATATATATATATATATATATATATATATAATGGTACTCATTAAAAAAACAAAAAAAAAAAAGAACGGGTGAAAATATACCTCTCTCTTGGTTAGACAGTTTGTTAGGTTATTAGTCATTCACCTTTTTGACGCTCATTGACTAATGAATTTCCCGTTCATTATTTGGCCATTTTTGTGCTTCAGCTATTTTCCTTTTTCTAGCAAAAAAAAAAAAAACAAAAATAGAAAAATTCCTAATGTCTTTTTCTCTCCACCTAATGTATCCATTTGTATAATTTTACTTCCCACACAAAATGTGTTTGGGACACTTTCGTGAACTTTTCAAATGGGAAAAGTGTAGAAAAGGAAGAACTTACAGGAAAGTTTTCAAAACAAAATATATACATATGTATAATAAAATAAAAACGCGAACCTGTCCTATGCGTGAAGCAAAATAAAATTCCACCAGCAAGGCGAGAATTTTTTTTTAACCAGTTTTCCCAATTTTTGCGTGAACAAATTAAATATACATGGTAGGTTTTTTATTGGCTAATTTTCTTCCCTTTTTTTTTTTTTTTTTTTTTTTTTTTTCCTGGCTTAGTTTGTTTTTTTTTCATTTCTGCAATTTTACACTTTTTTTTTTTTTTTTTTTTCACTTTTTTTTTTTTTTTTTTTTTTTTTTCACGCATTTTTCCACATAAAAAGGAGAGAGAAGGTCACTTAAAAAATATAAAAAATCCTACAACGTAAAAAAAAAAAAAAAAAAAAAAAAAAAAAACGTAGGTGCATACTACTTCATCAGGAAATAAATTCCAAATTTTTTTTTTTTTTTTTTTTTTTTTTCCCCCTTGCTTGGATTGTGTAACATATGCTATACATGAAAAGTAAGGTTTTGTTTATATTCTGAAAGTATAGCCTTTCGAACTTATCGCTTTGGTAATTCGGTAGCTTCAGTAATTTTGAAATTTAGCCATTTTAAAACTTAAAGACTTTAAAACTTAACCATTTTAAAACTGAGTCCGTTTTATAACTTAAGGATTCTTCATGTTGGCTCTGCTTCAACTTCATACCCCTCCTACCACGTGGCACGTTTTCAATTTTCCTCCGTAATTGCTGTGTTCAAATGTTGAAGTGTTGTAAATTTTGTGGTTCCAAATTTTTCCAGATTTAGAAAGGACGGCTGATTTTGGAAGGCAAAGAGCGCCAAGCGAAGAAAAAAAAAAAGTAAAAGGGAAAAATTACACAAAAGGCGCAAAATTGGAGACCATTCTGAACGGTTTGAAGGAAGGGTCTTGAAAAATGAGCATCTGCCTGAACTGTGTGTTTATCAAGCACTTGTAGAGAACGAAAGAAAGAAGCGGAAGAAAAAAAAGGAACTTATTCTTACAGACACATACACATCCTCCCCCCGTGTGTTATACATTGTGCTTTTAAAAAAAAAAAAAATGTGCCCATAATAAAATAATGACGTGCATATAGGGTGGGGGAGGAGTTAATTTCCTGTAATTTTTTTTTTTTTTTTTTTTTTTTTTTTGTGATTATTCATGCTGACTAGCATGTATATAACATATGTCCTCCCCCACCCCCTCCCCTATTAATCAATATGCACACGTATATGCTAAATTTTGAATCATGCAAAAACGTCTGAATGCACAAATGTTCAAATGCCCATAGAATATGATCGACTTTTTTAACGACCTAAAAGAACTAGCGAGGAAGAAGAAGCAGGAAAATGCGAAATATATGTCCCAAGCACTAAGATTTGAAAATGACAAGATTTTAGGTGAGTATATTAGAAACAGCAATGAGGATATAGTTATAAATATTGAGGTGGAAAAGAACGATGATTTAAGATGTTATGTGGATGCAGTTAATTTAATAAAGGAAGATATAAAACAAATTTACAGTATTATCGATAATATATCTTTGCTAAGAAAAAAAGTAAACTTATCTGTAACAACAGAACAAGAAAATGAATTAAGTATACTATTAAATATGGAAATAAAAAATGGAAATAATATTATTCATTCAATAAAAACAGAAATAAAAAATTTAAGAAAAAAGTTTTTACTAAAATCACAACAAGATAAAATTATGAAAAAAACTATACACGATAACTTAATTCATACATTTAAAAAAACATTGTATGCTTATCAACAGATTCAAAATGATTACAATGATAGTATGAAAGATAAAATGACAAGACACATAAAAATTATTTACCCTCATTATACGGATGAAGATATAAATTCTGTACTAAATCATGATGATATAATAAATACACAAAACCTAGTTAAATGGAAATTACAAGGGCATGAGAATTTAAAAAATGCATTAACAGATGTAGAAACCAAATATAGAGATGTTAAAACGCTAGAAAAAAATGTATGTGATTTACACCAAACTATAATAGAATTAGCAGCTCTTATTGAGATGAATGATGAAGTTATAAGTAACATACATGACAATGTCAAAGACGCACAATACTTTACAGAAAAGGCAAATGTTGATTTGATTGACGCTAGGAATATTCAAAGATCCACTTCCAAGTGGATGTTCTACATATCCATGGGAATTCTTATTGTTGTGATTATTATATGTCTACCCGTTCTAGTGAAATTTCTTTAGCTGGATCCATCAAAAAAAGCTGTCTCTCCTGTTTATATCGATGTGTGCGCGTGTGTTCTGCTGCACGTTGTAAATGTATTTCTCATCCCATCCTAACGGCCCTTTCTCATAGATGTAACGAAATAATAAAATGAAAATATTTCAGTTTTTTTTTTTTTTTTTTTTTTTGAAAATATTATCACAAGAATATAATCCTTTTTTCAAGAATCTGAAATTTTATGCCTCCTTTTCAGTTCTGTCCTTTCTCTCGGTTCTGTAACGCATTCGATGATGATATATTTTTTCCCGTTAAAGAGGTCGTCAAGCAAATTTATCAATAAATCGACCAATAAACCAGTCGTTTGTTTTTTTGTTTTATTCTTTTATTATTATTACTACTACCATTATTGCTACTATTATTATCGCTATGATTGCTACTGTTACTATTATTATTATTATTATTTTTTTGTAACCCATTTTTTATAAAACTAGTGAAACACTAATTTCATTTCTCTGTACAAGTATGAAATGCGATCGACTAATACGGCCAAGCGCATTTACTAACCGTCTCGATAAGTCTCCAATCATTTGTAACTTGGAAAAAAAAATAGGGAATTTTTCACTAGTATAATATTCTTCCTACATTAACGCATATATTTTGTTATTTTATTTTATCCTTTTTTTGGAGCACGAGGATATATGATAGGACACAATTTTGCACACCTGGCCTCACTGTTCTATGGACGTGAGGTATATATATGCTGAATTTTTCTACCACTACTGCATTCATATTATTATTATTATATTTTTTTTTTTTTAGTTTCATAACAATGTTTAAAGGTATTCATTTGTTTTGTTCTATTTATTTTACCCTTTGTATTTTATTTATCCTTTTTTGCATCCATTTGCATTCCCCATTTGTATATGTATATATGGATATATATATATATATATATATATATATACATACACATACAGCCATGTGTTCGTTCAATTTCCTAAAACTTTAACTCCTAATAAAACAACAATTGGACATATTACAAAAATTTCATAATACTGAAAATTTTCAAGTAAGGCAAACAAAATTTTTTTCTTTATTTTTTTCTTTGTTTTCTTCTTTATTTTCTTCTTTTTTTCTTCCTGACGTTTGAGCACAATTTTGCACACAAGTATCCACTTCTGTGACCTTGCACAAGTGGAGGGATTTCACCCACCATTAGAACCTTTTCAAGAAGAATGAATTTACACTTACTCATATGAAAACAAGATTTTTGATTAACCAAATGAAAGTGAATTTAAAACACGCATGAACAACCCTCCTCCCCCCCCTTGGTGAATTTTTTTTTTTATATACAACATAATAAGATAGAACAACATTTGTATGAGTTTATTCAATAGAAGATTGGTCATTATAAAACACAAATTTATCATATTCATCATTTTTAAATTGGGTATGTCGACATTGAGTTGTCTTTTTACTGTTTCATCCAAAATGTTCGACAAATTTTTTTTCATTTGTTCAGTTTCTACAAATGGACTAAAAATAGCGATGGTATTTTTCTGAATTGTTAATGTGAAAAATGTTTTATAAGTGTACAAAATTTGTTGTGCTGAATATCTATCACTAATAAAAGTTTTTAAAAGGATAAATTGAACATTAGTGTTAATCAGCTTCATAATAGTGTTAATACTTTTTTTAAAAAAATGTTCTTCAAAAAGGTGATAAAATTGGACGCCATATATATTACTTAGTGCAGATGAAAGTTGACTATCATCAATTGTTGATCTTTTAATGTATCCATTCTTCTCCATGATATAGCAATAATATTCATTCTTTTTTAAGAAATCATCTATTTGGGTCCGTATTTTTCTATGATGCTTCTTTAACATGTTTATAAAAAGTCTATCAATTTTTACTTGATTCCATATATACTTCTTTTCAAACATAGATATATTAAATATTATTTTGTTCAATATATTCATATTGAATTTATGACAAAAAATTTTATGAACTTTTTTAAGTATGGATAATATATATGGGTTCAAAATTAGGATTTTCTGCAGCATACAGTAATACATAAAATTCGTGTGAAAATAATGTATGCTCTCGCTAAAATGTAATGGGAAATTCAATCTTTCTTGTTTCTGAACAATTCTTTTTAGTTTCTCAGTTATTTTTTCCTTATCTTTATTTATTATATCTAAGTAAATTAAATTCACAATTTTTTTTTTTTTATTTGAATATACTAAATCTTGAAAAGCGTAATGTTTTATGGGCTTCTTTATTCTTTTAAAAATATGTACGTTGCAATTGGCATACTTCTTTTTCCTATTTCTGGATGATGAAACGATTGGGAGTTTCCAAATTCCATTTTTTGTCATTTGAGATTTCAACATGCTCACCTTTTTCAAGCATTCTGTCTTCCATATTTGGTGTATCGATGACAAGAACATAAAGACGACTATGACAAGTGCTGAATTCATTTTGGACGTTTCTCCAGCACACATTTTAACGCACGATACACAATTGTGCACATCTGCACACGTTTACACATTATTATGCTTGAAAGTGGCTAACTGATATTGATTCTACCTGACTACGCACATCTGCCACATCTTCCGAACATAAGGAGGGTGGTGTGGGGGGGGGG